AACTTTTGCTTCTAGAAGACAATAGTTTTTTTCTGGAATCTTGCTTGTCTCTCTTTCCCCAGACTCAGTCAAAGGCTTTGGGGCACTTTCACCCAGCATTTGACTCTCTGTCACTCTGAAAAAGAACTTACTAATGTGACAGAAAAAGAAGATTACAGAACACACTTTAGCAAGGGATTTAAATATCAGTATTTTAGGAGCTGGAAGATGGCTCAGTGGCTAGGAGAACTGGCTGCTCCTGTAGAGGACCCAAGTTCAGTTCCCAGTACCCATGTGACAGCTCACAACCATCTGTAACTGCAGTCCCAGGAGATCCAGCACCCTCTTCTGGCCTCTGCAGGCACTAAGGATGGAAATAGTCCCCATACACTACAGGTAAGTCACACGCGCACACACACACAAGTCTTTTAAAAGTCAGTATATAGAAGTTAAATGTCACATGATAGTTTAATTATATCACTCCATTAAAAGATAAAACCAGCATGTCACTTTGACATTTTTTTAATATAGTAAATAAAATACACCTCCAGAGTTTAAATCCATGGGCTTCCTTCTCCTTACCATCTCCTGCACGTGAGTGTTAGCATGGCACAGAAGAGTGCCAGAACGAGCCCATAGCAGGAGGGAGAGCCGTGCACGCTTGGCTCTGTGTACAGACCTCAGTGCACACATGGTATTTTACTTCTCAACACTTTCTATTTCAAACGAGCCTGTGAGGAAATAATCTTTTCAACACTTGCTTTGTTAAGACCTCTTATAGGGTTTTTTTTTTTTTTTTTATCATATAGTTTTGCCTAAATACAAAGCCTATTTTTTTTTAAAAAAAAAAAAAAATGAGCTATTATTTTCAGGGAAATGGGAATAGCCTAAGGCAGGCTGAAAGGATTAAGAATTTAATGTTTTATAAAAATGCTATCACTTCTCCCTCATGAAATGAATTCTTGTGGCTATCAGGGGAAGAATTAAACTGTCAAGGAATACTTGTTTGCAAAGACCACTTTTCAAAACAAGTTGACCTGAACATTCTAGAAATCCATTTCTCTGGAGTCTTAGCACACAGTACACCCACAGTCCAACCTTTGTGTTGGAAAAAAAATTCTTAAAAAAGCTTTATCAGAGTCTGAGAAAAACTCAGCATCATATAAGACCCTGTTGTTTAACCAATCACAGCTGCCTATGTTCTCCAATTATTTTGTTTTCAGAAAGATGATTATCCTGGATTGTAAAACCAACCTTGAAAAATAGAGATGAAGGGTTTCTCAGTCTTGCACAAGGGTGTCCTGTTTCCATGGTGATGAAACCAGCTCTTGATACCAGATTAACCAAGATGATCCTGGGTTTCCCACTTTGCTTCCTCATTCCACATACCAGAGAGCCCACAGAAAGGGGAGGGAGAGCCAGAGGTCAGTGGCACTCCTGGGGGCTCCACAGAAAACTGCCAAGAGGCTGGTGACTGCTGTCAGTCTGCCAAGGCTGTCGGTGTTGTTTTTATATATATGGTAGTCTACTTTAGACAATACCTTTAATAAAAATTCAAAAGCAGCTTTCATCACCCAGTTCCATGCCATCTGGATACACTCTGCCCTTCATCTCCTGATTTCAGCCTGCCACACCCTCAATGAACATTATTATACAGGTTACAACAACAGCACCCTACCTTGTGTGTCAGAATTGTCCTGTGGAGTGCTGGGCTCTGTCCTGGATGTATGGAGCCAGGTTGTTTTTGAGTAAATCTATGAATGCTGCCTGGTTTGGGGGAATCACTGAAGTTTGACAATGTGTCCATCCTTTGTTCATGCGCCCCACAGCTATCTGCATCCATTTAAGTGTATAGGGTGTGTTGAGGTAGGATAATCGGATATATGCTAACACATCTGTCAGGGTTCATTGGCTTGCAGAGTGCTAGGTCCCAGCCTACCTAAGTCTTCCACATCTGACTCTGGGAGTTATGGCCTGGAAATTGATCAAGTTCTCTCCCACTCCTAGATAAGCAATTACTCATACAGGAGAAACACTGATCTTTTAAGAATCAAACTGGAATTCTTGATGGATGAGGCATCAGGCAGACTGAGTGGGAAAATGACCAAAGGGAAGTGAATCCCTTTCAAAGGGGAAGCCACTCCTCTATAGATGGCTCATTGCTGTTTTGCATAGTAGACAGAGACCTGGCATTGCCAAAGCTTTACATTGTTTAGAAGCTAGAAATAAGGAGAAATTTAGTTTCCCATGACTCCAACCACCAGCAAATACCCAGCAGCCATTGCCATCTTGTGTCCTCTGTCTTTGGAGGTTTTGTCCCATCTACATGGGATCTCTGGAAGTTGCCAACATAGAACACCATGAGAAGCCTGACCAAGCGACTCCTTAGGATGAATTAGTAGTATGAGAAAAGGATGACATCATCCGCCATTTAGGGTTCCTGCCTGCACTGGCTGTATCTGGATGCAGTTAGGCAGCCTCCATAAGGAAGCCTGCTGCACCACAGATACTAATTAGTCTGTTGTGCTTTCATGCCATTCTGCTAAGTGATGCTTTCCTGCTTTCTCAATGAAGATGGAGACATGGGTGTCTGCCTTCATCCTTTGCCCTTCCTCAAACCCCCACACTGGATATCTATCAAGACTTGATAATTCTACCAGTAACAGAAACCGAGAAGCCATCAGTCTAGACAACCTCCTCGTATAGTTTTCATATTACACTGCCTCATGACCTGCCAATTTGACGGTTTAAAGAAAATCCTGGGGCTGGAGAGATGGGTCAGTGGGTAAAAGTACTTACCTTGCAAGCTTGAGGATCTGAGTTCAAATCCTCAGTACACAGGTTAAAAGCTGAACCTAACTATGTGTGCCTACAACACCAGCTTACAGGGGTGGTAACAAATGAATTGCTAGCTTGAATAGGTGAGCTATGGGTTCTATGAAAGGCCCTGGCTCAAGGTAATAAGGCAGAAAGCAACAGAAAAGACACCTGACATCTTTCTCTGCATGTGTATACAGAGGCATATGTGCCTGCACACTCACATGTATACACCACAGACACATAATATACAGCCATGCCCAAAATAAAAATAATAAAATAAAATAAAATAAAAAGAGTCCTTCTTTGGGCTGAGGCCTGCTGAGTCTTTGGCTGAGACTTGAGCTTATTTGGAAGAACATAATTTATTAAAAATGAAGTTCTCATTTAGGCTTTGGACACTTGTCTGAAGTTGAGGACGCTGGAGCGGGCTGCTTGTGTGACTATCCTCCATTGGCCACTGCCATCCTGGAAGTCCAACACTGCCTTAATCGCACATGGCTTCAGGGGGGAGCTACAGTACAAAGGCTGAGGAAGACTAGAGGGAGGAGGCTCCATCTATATGGCTACTGGACAGCCATCATCCCTGCTTTGCAGACTTCCTAGGTGTAGCCTTTGCTGGAGGGGCACGACATCCCTGGAGTAAACCCTCACAGGTGTTTTGTAAGGGAGCCTAATCAACTCATTGGTTCCTCAGAGTGAACTCTGGGGGAATCACGCCTCTGTGACCTCTGTTTGTGGCTGGAGATTTGGGAGGAGTAAATGTTGTTTATGTCTGCCCCAAGGGAAGGAATTTCAGCAACACCAACCTTTAATTTAAAAAGCTGTAAGTATGGACCAAGCAGGCTCTGCTCACATTGAAAGGGAAATGGGGACTTAGGGGCCTTAAGCAGCCAAATGGCTCCGGGAATCCTGCTCCAAAAGTCTTTTCTCCTAGGATTCCTGGTTGCAGCCTCTCTCAGAACCCATGTGTGGATCTGGAGAAAACCCATTCAAGCAGCACTTCCAGCAATAAGGGAGGCCAGCCAGAGACATGACAAGGCTCACAGAACCTGAAACACCCCAGTAACTTCTCTTCCAATGCCAAAGCAACTGCAGCTGAAACTACAGTCATTTCCACATGAGAAGCATAGGCCCTCACTTGGAAACTCCTACTTCCCTCACATAGTGCATTCCATATCTGCAGTTTGTCATTTTGGCATCTTCAAAGAACTTATAACAAGAAAAACAAAAGCTGAAAGTAATTATTAGGCTTCTCAAAAATCTAATAGAATCAAATTCCTTTCATACTGTTATTAAAAGAGAAAACATTTTATTAAACAAAACAATGGATTGCCGGGTAAACCTTAACACTTTAACACTTCAACAGTAAAACTTTTGTGTAAGAACATTTCGGTAAAGTATGAAACAACCGTACCTCCCCCTGTTTCCAACAGTTGCTCTAATACCACTTAGGAAGAAAGGACAAAGCAGAAATCTGTGGGTCTGTAAATAAAGATCCTTCAAGGAAACTGCCTCTCTAGCTTTCATCCTACTGACATGGTTGCAAAATGCAACCAAAAGCATATTAATGTAGGCAGTCACCAACTGGAAAAGCAGGCACCACTCCATACCCCCCCTGGATAATTTAGTTTGGGAGATGAATGAAGAAGGGGACTCTTTAAAATGCCAATTCTAGAAAAAAAAAATCAACTAGAAATCAGTGACAGAAATGAGCAGGCTGCAGGATCTGTGCTTGGTGGCCTGAGAGTATCTTAGCTGTTTACACCCACATGGGTCTTCTTCGTAGCATGATTTTCACAAAGTGAACAATAGTTTTTGGTAGAATGAATGTGTGTGGGTCACTCAGGCTGCCAGCAGGGATGAAGATGACTGAGAACACAAAGGTATCACTGCCATCCACTGTCTTTCTATGTATCTTTGAAGATTCTAGCACATTCATCAGAAGCCAGGGTCACCAGCTTTCAGAAATCTTTCTTTGTCCCTTCTTCCTGAACTGAAAAACTGTTCTCAGCATGTGGTCTAGAATATGAGCCGCAAGCATGCATTATTAATATGCACCAGACTGTTGTAAAAGAAGGAGAAGTACACATTACCTGAAGCCTGGCTCATTCTTAATGTCACAAATGCATTTCTGTATCATAAAATAGTTTATAAAGCCAACTGGAGTCTACAAGCAACTAAATCTACAGGTTTTCAAATATTTACTTTTCTTGATGCTGGGGAGATGGCTCAGCGGGTACAAGCGGTAGCTGAGAAATCTGATGATCTGAGTCTGAATCTTGGGACCCACGGAAGACGATGCTGGATGAGGTAGCTCGAGAACCCACTGGAAGCTCATGGCCTGGAGTACACTGCACAGAGACAAGAGAGACTGCCTCAACAAGGAAGAAACGAGAAAAAGAAAAAGCTGTCCTCTAACTTCCACATGTACATTGTGGTACACACACACACACACACACACACACACACACACACACACACACACCTTAAAAAATAAGACAAAAATATTTTCTTATAAAAATTACACATCAAAAATATATACAATAAGTAGATGTCAACAACTAAAAACTAATCAGGTGTGTGAGCCTGTAGTTCCCAGTGTGTCAGGTTTAGAGTGTGAGCCTATAGTTCCCAATATTTTGGGGTGGTTTAAGCAGAAAGATCATTTGAGGCTAAGAGTTCAAGACCAGAGCAGATAACAAGGCAGGATCTCATATCAATCAATCAATCAGCCAGTCAGTCAGTCAATCAGTCAATTAATCAATCAGTACTATAGCATCCTCTTTGTCTTGGTCTTCCTATTCTGACCATCGCTAGCACTATTAAATCTGCAACACTCATATTCTAAGTTTACTCTGTAATTCCCTTTGGGATGTCTTTCTCACAGTGTATCTTAAAGCAGCCACTATTATTCCTGTCTCACAGATGTCACAAAGAGTTGACAACACTCTGCTCTGGAAGGGTTGCATTAGGTATTGTCAGACCATGGCTTTTAAGTACACAGAATACATGGCTTAGTTATGGCCTCCAAAGACTTCATTGTTTATGCTGACCCATCCATGCTTCTCTTGCTCATCTCTGATTCCAGACCCCCTATGTGGTTAATTCTTTGTCTCTGGATCTTGACTTACACAGTAAGCACTTCTCCAGGGACCAACAGTAACCGACTTGACTATATGTCTTCTTCCTACATGCTCCAACCCATATCACAGCTACCTGCTTCTCTGGCTTTATCCCTAAGACATTTCATGAGTGTGAGCTTCATGTCTGTAGATACTACCTTCCCAGAGGTGCCAGTAAGCACATGTCCAGAGCATGAGGGTACCCAACGACTGTTGTTTAAAAACTGGTGTCTGAACTCAGCCTGATGGTAAATGGAGGATGGGTTTTCATATAATGAGAGTAACTGCTGCTGAGATAACAGAAGCAGTTATGGGCTGAGAACATAGAGGAATGGGCTGCAGTGTCCTAGGAACTCTGAATGGAAGCAGAGGGGATAAGGAGGGGTATCCAGACCCACAAAAGCACGATTCCACTTGGTCATCTAATGCTAGACTAGCTAGGCCATATCCAGATTCATGATATAACTAGAAACCAGGCCTGCACCATGGAGAGTAAGGGCCTGGGTTAACTCCAGCATTTATCATCACTCAGAAGGAGTGACTTAGAAACCAACACAGTTCCTGGGGTACAGACTATGAGCTTTGAGACCGGAGCATTAACAGCAAAGTGCAGTTCACAGGCTGGAAGCATCCAGTCTGACTCACAGACCCCAGAACACTTACCGGACAATTGGGACAGGTTGGGCAAGTTTGGCAAAACACAGAACTGCAGTGCTGAGGGAGAAAGTTGGAAACACTGGACACAGTGGATGGTACATAGATAGGAGCATTCTGGTTTGTTCTGGCAGCTGCATCATGGGGAGGGACAGCCCCAGAACAATATCTGACAGCATGGAAGGAATTAAGAGAGAGCGTTGTGCTGGGGACTCTCGTTTTATAAAGATCCTCAATAGAGCTCTCTGAAGCAGAGCTTGACTGACCTGTAACAAGAAAGAAAACAGGTGTCTGTGAACACTGCGCACAGTACTGAGACTCTGAATTACAGCATGAGAACTGGGTGGCCCTCGATTTCATTTCCCCATGTCACACACATGGGCAGCTGCACTTAAACACCTATGGCAAAAGTGTGCCATTCCTGTAACGACATTTAACTCAACATAACCATTGTATGTTTATGATTAACCATGAGAGATTTTAGAAAACAAGCAGATCTCTCTGCTTGTGAGTGAGTGTTTGTGTGTGTGTCTACCATATGTCCTGGTTAGTTTTGTGTTAACTTGACACAGGCTGGAGTCATCTGGGAAGAGAGACAATAAAGACAATTCTTCCAAAAGACTGGCAAGTTGATAGTATATTTTCTAGATTGATGTGGGGGCCCCAGCACACTTGGATAGTGCCACCCTTGTATGGAGGTCCTGAGTTTATAAGCAAACAGGCTGAAAAGTCAGTAAGTAGTGTTCCTCACTGGCCTCAGCTTCAGTTCCCCATCTACAAGTCCCTCATTGAGCTCCTGCTTTGCTTTTGCTGGATAATGGACTGCAGGCTATAAGATGAAATAAACCCTGTCCTCCCAAAGCTGTTTTTGGCTGTGGTGTTTTACCACAGCAATAGAAACCCTAAAACCATTCTTATAAAGCAAAGAAGAATGTGAGATAAACCAAACTACACTCAGTTGCAAAGGAAGTTTGGCCGATTTTTTTTTTTTTTTTTTTTTTTTTTTTGTGACTGAAGTAGGCAAGACCATCAGTTATTTATTTTAGTTCTACACAGTAGCTAGAAGAAAAAGATTCTTAAAATACATAATGTTTTAAAATAATTTTTAGGGCTGGAGAGATGGCTCAGTGGTTAAAAACACATCTCACTCTTGTAGAAGACCTGAGTTAGGCTCCTAGCACACTCATGACACCCTCTAATTCCAGTGCCAGGGGATCTAACACCCTTTTCTGGCTCCCAGGTACCACACATAGATGGTGCATATACATACATGCAGGAAAACACTAATACACATAATAAATAAATAGCACATAAAACAATAAAAATAAATAATAAAGAATATGAATCTTTTTTAAATTATGAAATAAAAATGGGATGACCAATCTACAGAAAAATATATATAAGGAAAACATAATGAGTATGGTCAGTTATTTTTCAAATACGTAGTAACTAAATTGGGGATTCCCAATCCCTTTGGCTTTGCATATCCTATAAGTCTACAGTACTAGTATAGCTATGTCTTCCTAGAGTGGTCTCTTCATGTGATGTGATCCCACAAAATAGGCAAGCACAGAAAAGTGTGAAGTTGCACCATCAACAGTTTTTGCAGAACGGTGTTGTATGTAAAAATACATCCTTAACAGGCATTGGGTATGAATTGGGTATGACCTCACCTGACATAGTTTAGATCAGTTGAGTCATGCCATGTTACACTGTGCCACAGAACTTACTGTAGCTTGGAGGTGACTTTTTTTTTTTTTTTTTTTTTTTTTTTTTGCTATTCTCCTCCCTTTTCCCCAGGTCAAGAAAAAGGCCTAAACAGACCACTGAAATAATCTGGATTTTGTTCTTTGGCTTCGGGACTAAGGGGGTTTGGTTCTATTTTGGCTCCTCTTATGACTTTAGACACAACTGTAGGAAACGTATTTGTCTCAGAGCTCCCCTGATCCTAGAGACATGCATGTGGTGCATTATCCTGCACTTAAACACACTGGGTGGACCAGTTTGCTTCTGTGATCCTGTCTGCCACTGAGTTTCAAGGCCCACATGAACAACTCCTGCATCTATCTCATCTATCCGTGTTTCCCCATCTCTGAGGCAGGGATACCAAGAACCAGAGCACAGACTTGCCATTAGTGGGGAGAGTGATGGTCAGGATGTTCCCAGCACAGCAGGATGCTATCACAACACAGTTCCTTAGAAGAAGGACTCGGGAGACTCATGAGAGACTAGATAAGGAGAGGGGCATCCCTGTCACTCAGCAGCAGTCACTCAGACTGGACAGGCACCTCTGTGAAGATTATCCTCCATGAATACCAAAAGCCATACACTTGCCCTCTTTTGCTTTGGCTTTGCTCCTTCCCATCCTTATTTCCAGAGCTACGTGGAAATGCCTAGGATGGCATGAAAATGTAAAGGAAATGCCTCTGGAAGGAGGGCTGCATATGTCCAAGTGGGTATTTGTGGTCTACGTGTTTCACGGCCATCACTGTTCTAGACACTAAAAATGCAGCAATGGATAAAACAGGAGGGGGGAGCCCTGTACCTTCATAGACAGCCAATAATAAGTCATGGGAGTAAATGACATTAGCAAGTGATGAGTACCAAGAGGACAAATCCAACAGAGGAAGTGGGTTCAGTGTCCTGTAGAGTATGTAGCTTTAACTAGGCAGTTGAGGACTCAGAGTAAGTGGCCTTTAAACAAAGACTCGAAAGAAGGAAATAGATTAACATTCTAAATGCTCAGCACACAAGCTGCACTGCACTGAATTAATAAGAGCTCAGTCAGTCCTCTGTATCCTTGAGCTGGCATTGCAACCATGGACTAAAAATACTAAAAACAAACAAACAAACAAACAAACAAACAAAAAACCCCAGCAACAGCAAGTCCACAGAAAACATGGACAGACTTTGGTCTTTACAACAATATAATGTAACAACTATTTGTGTAAATCTACATTGTATCAGGTGCCATCCAACCCACAAAGATTTAAAGTAAACAGGAGGATGTGCCCAGGTTATATGCAAATGATATTCTGTCTTATAGAAGGGAGGTGATACTGAAGATCTGGTGTCAGCAGAGGGACTTGAAACCAATCCTCTAGGTACTAAGAGAACTATGCTTCGTTGTAGATTTCATTTCTATAAGAAATAAATTTATTAACATACTTATCTGCTAGCAAGATAAACATTCTGGCAATTGTGATCAGTTTTGAGGCAGTTCATATTTTTTTTTAAATTTTATGTGTATGAATGTTTGCATACATTTATGTACACTTATCATATGCATGCAGTACCTGCAGAGCCCAGAAAAGGCAGTGGATCCCCTGGAACTGGTGGTACAGCCTGTTGTGAGCTCTGCCATGTGGGTGCTGGGAACCGAACCCAGGTCCTTTGCAAGAGCAGCCAGTGCTTCTGCTCCTGAGATAACCCTTGTGGTTGAATCTGAAACTCACCCCTGCCCAACCTCATTTTGAAGACATGATCCCCAGCTGGTGGCACTGTTTTGTGGGGTTGCGAAGCCGGCTAGAGCTGCGACTTTCCACCCGATTCCATTCTGTTCTGACTCCTGATCCCTGCTTTGTGACGTTCTACCATGGGAAAGCTGCCATGCCTGCTGTTGCCAACACAGACCAAATCCTCTAAAGTGACACAAAAGGAGCTAACAGAACTCGATTTAAAAACTGCAGGATGAAGCCAGGACCCACGGTGATGTTTCAGCTCCACCTGACCACCTGGCTATGGAGGGAAGCGAACAGGGACTCGGGGGACCCAGGGGCTGCAGAGCCTCCATTCAGGCCCATGTGCTCTGTGAGCTACACAGGGTTAGGCATAGCTCACCTCTTACAGCTTCCTCTAAGGGCCCTCCTGCAGCAGGGACAGGATACACATTCAAGTGCTGATCAGCCAGGAGCTGGATCTCCCGTACAGATGAGTAAGTGCTTGCCAGCACACCATCTTCCCTGCAAAGACAAGAAGAGTTCACTCTGAGCATCTCTCCAGGAAAACAACAAGAACAATGCTGAGTTCAAAGGCTCTTCTAAATTGTGTTTTTAAAGTTATGTTTATATTTATGAATGTTCTCCTGCATCTATGTATGTGTACCACATACACGCAGCTCCTGCAGAGGACATCAGATCCTATGAAACTGGAGTTACAGCTGACTGAGCTACCGTATGAGTGTTAGGAACTGATCCCAGGTCCTCTGCAAGAGCGGCCAGTGTTCTCAACCACTGGGCCGACACCCCAGCTCTTCCAAGGCGTTCCTATTAGTCAAGACCTGAGAAGCCCTGACAGAGCCTCCGCTATAGATTATCTAGGTAGAACGAAGAGGTACTCAGGACGTTGAATGATTCTTCAAAGGTCTGTTTTGATTTCCCTTTGCTTGCACAGACTCATCAGTTTGAGTAAGGAAGTCATCACTTGTCATATCACATTTTGTGTCAGTGAGCTTAAGGACTGCGTACTAACTGGTTTTACATGCTCCACAGCCCTCAACCTCTGCCAGAGAATTATAGGCTCCATCCTGCCCCTGCTGGACAAGCAGAGTCAAGCTGTATTTTAAGGTTCTCACGGGTAACAAAGACCACAGCCCAGAGAATATTGTATTCGTTTATCACAGTAATGAAATGATTAGTATGTGCAGTAGGAGACATTCCCAGATCCTTAACCTGGGCTCTCACTGTGTATGCTTTCAGTTCCTGTCCATTCATTCAGCATGAACAAGGAAGGAAAAACACACACAGACTAAGAATTCACACAGCGCTGGCCATACCTCTGTGATGTGGCTGCACGTGGCAGGAACAGCTCAATGGGCATCTGCCTCTTAGAGAACCTTTTATTGTTCTGGAGGGTTTCGGTAATCTAAATGAATACAAAGATGCATATGTAAAAACAGACTTATGGACACATTTATTTGCAATTACGAAAACAAAAATAAAAATTGGTGCCCGAAAGCAGTGCCAAGCAAGGACTTTAGAAACTGAGTACCTGGGCCATGACGGCTGGAGAGATATTGTCCCGGACGTATTTCACATAATCGACTGTCGCCTCAATAACCGAAGCCACATCACTCTTTCTCCCCTTGACGTATGGCAGAAGGGTGCGCAGCTGCTCACAGCAAAACTTGATGCGTTCTCTGTTCAAAGAATTGTGTGGAAATAAGGGAGCATCAGTCTCACTTTCTTCTTTGGTCATAAGGATAAACAATTCTTCCTGGGTTTTCTGTGAAAATGGGACTGTCCCCATCTTCATCTGGTCCCTGTTTCAGAGGCAGGCCATGTCCCCAGGCCAGCAGTCCTCACAGCCCTTGAGATCACAACCTTCAGAGTCCCAACTTGAATGCAGCACAGGTTGAACAACTGCCAAAATACAGAGTCTTTACCATGGCAGCCCCGGCTTCCTCACCAGGCCCAGACAGTGCAGGCATACCCCTCACAGCCCCTAAGGATCTGTAGAACCCTGCCCTTGGGAAAAGAAACTCATGCTATACAGACATCCTTTTTTTAATTCACACTAGAAGCCTAGCAGGCTAAGGAGTCAGGATCTGGGCCTGAACCATATTTTTAACAAGAGGATGGTGTTTTGTGACATGTGTGTTTACACATGCTGTGGCCTGAGCTGAAGGAAAACAAGAAGAGAGCTTTCCTAAGCAGATGAACTAAAATGCAAAGGACAGTGTCTGAGCTAGGATCCAAAAGAGAGATACACAGGAAAAGTAGATCCAACTGAATTAATACAAGCCCTTGGGATTTTTTCTGAAGTACTTGTTTTATCTAGGCATGGCCTTGACATGTGCAGGGCAACCAGCTGGAACCTGAGGCAAGTCCCTACTTTTCTCTTAATTTCAGAAAAGAAGAAAAATTAAACTAAAAAAAACTTGTTTGACATATATTTAGTCAGGGTGGAAAATATGTTGACAAGTGGTATTTTTATAGGGCTTCGGGAGCTCTAGGGTTTGGCAGAGAGGTCTCGGAAACTATTCTGGGGGGAAAGCATTAAGGAGTCAACAACTGGACACTATTATTGGAAGGCTTTTCACAGAGAACGTTCGCTTACAAAAGAACTGAAGATAAAACACACAGCAAAGTTTTCAAAGCGATCTCTCAGTAAAATATGAAAAGCTGCCTAAACATGTTAAACAGGAGGAGGCCTTAAGAAAACTATAGTCTATTAGATCTTCAGAATTTCATGTGCAGTGGGAATGATGTTATAAATCTTACTGGGAAAAGTAGTATTCAAGACAGGGTATAAGATGTATTCCTAGCCATCAAATAAAGCAAGAATAAAATACAAAAAGGACTAAAAGCAAAGATATTAAGCCATTATTATCTACAGATGACTTAACTGTTAACAGTATCTCTCCCTTTTCTATAGTTTTGCTAGATATATGCCACTTCCACAATGAAAAGCACCATTGTATATTGTTCCAATGTGCATCAAGAAAATGTGAATCCACAAGAAGCAGGAGGATCACGGGCGAATATGCGCATTCTCCCACCACTCAGAATCCTTACTGTTCTCCAGTCATGCTTCGGCACTGGCCCCTACTCAGCTAGCTGGTCACTCAGGTGACCAAATGGCCGAAAGGGCGACATACATTTAGTAGTCACATTTACTAGTTTCATTTAGACTAATGTTAGTAATGGTAAAGTTAGGAAACTCTATTTCTCTACGCAAAGGAACAACCATGAAACCAGAGGCTGCGTAGACATTCACCTCCTCAGCTTTTCTTTGCTTGAGTGAAGGGCAGATGTCTTCCTGTTTCTCTCGGGACGTGGCAATGGGGCCTTTGCTTCAAGTTCTGTGTCATTTTTCAGCTGCTCAGTGCTAGGAGTAAGTGAAAATAATGCCACATATTAAAGAGGAAAACTGTCAGGCAATTGTCAGCAATAAACGCCAATTCACTAACCAGATGGAGACTAATTCTCTTGCTTCATACAAAAGGGGAAATACATTAAGTCACTGGACCTGACACATTTGGTACTGAATCTTTACTTCCAGATTTCAAGGTATCATAAATCCAATGATGAAAATTCTAAAAATATGTGGATTAAATAGAACATATATTCGGAAGCAAGACATTCTAATTTTATCAATTATGGCTATTCCAAAATACAAGCAGTCACCCACAGACAATGCTTTTTTTTTTAAAGCTTCATGTTGTTGTAAAAACTTTGCAATATCAGCCTATTTCTCCTTCCAGTTGTATTTGATAAATTACATACAATAGTTGATACCTGGACAACTTGCTATGAAGCAGACTGAATCAGATGGCTCCCGCCCACCTGTAAGTTAGCATTAAATATTCTGAGCATATTACAGGGCAGGCTATGTCAGACAAATCAGATGCAGTTTTTACCTACAATATTTTGAAATGGGTCTTATAGTCCCTCTGTAAAACAAAGAGCATGACTGTATCTACCCTTAAGAAGTTAAGGCACATGGGGCTGGAGAGATGGTTCCGGAACTAAGAGCAAAGGACACGGTTTCCATTTCCAGCACCCACATGGTGGTTCATAACCATCTATAACTCCAGTTCCAAGGTATTTGATGCCCTCTGCTGGCTTCTGCAGGTAATACATATCTGAGGTACACAGACACAAGTACAATAAAACCCATTTACATGAAACAACAATGTAAAAGTTAAGGTCCATTACAGAGAAAAGAACAGAACAACTTTACACACCCTACTCCAGCTTTATCAGCAAAATTAGTTTCTCTCCCTTTTAAATTTTCTCCTTTAATGGACATTGTTCTGACTACTGTCCAGATTGTAGAAATTCATGGTTTTGCAAGATTTTATTAATTTTTTGGTGTATGATATGCAACATGTGTGCCTGGAGCTCACAGATGCCAGAAGAGGGGACAAGTCTGCTGGAACTGAGTTATAGACAGTTGTGAGCTGCCACACTGGTGCAGGGAATTGAACCTGTATCCTCTGGAAGAGTGACCAATGCTCTTAATGTCTGAGTCATGCCTATAGGGTCCATTTGCATTGTTTTTTTAAAATTTAAAAACAGTCCCACTTTGTGTGTGTGTGTGAGAGAGAGAGAGAGAGAGAGAGAGAGAGATAAGGCTAGAGATCCCCTTGGTTTCTTTCCTTGGGTGCTATTTATCAGCTTTTGAGATAGTCTCACCCAGTGGGCTAGACTGGCTGGCCAGTGCCCAAGGACCCCCCTCCTGTTCTCACCTCCCGGGGTTCTGGACACCCAGGCCTCAAAGCTTTTGTGTTTGAGTTCTGGGTTTCAAGTTCCCATGCTTTTGAACAACTGCTTTATTAATCAAGTCATCGCCCTAGCCTTATAATCCAATTGTCTTTATTCAAAAGAGTGGGACTTGATCAGAAATTTTACTTTTATTTACAGTGGGAAGATTAGGAGGGAGAATAAAGAAAAATTCAGAACTAGCAGACACTGAAACATGCTTTCACGAGGTACACCCTTCCCCACCTCACACCAGACAGGGGTCATCTTTCCATAAAGCTCTTTGAGGCTCAGCTGCTAATTACGATTCACAAAGCTGTTGCTCTCCATGCAACACTTAAGTGAGATCACCTTTGGCTGGCTATACTGAACTGGCTGCCAAGTCCCCTCCTTGCTCCAAATAGTGGACGGCTACATTCTACACATTCTGAAAGTGCCTGACTCAGAATTTCCCCAGCATCAGCATCCAATGGACCACAGTATGTGTTCATTCTGGGAAGCTCTAAGCTCTATTAAAAAAAACCCTTAAGGTGTAAAAAGACAGGGCAACATTCACAAAAAAGCTAAATAGGAAGAGTCTGATCTCAATTGTCTGTGGGAGGTGGGTTTGAATGCCCACTCTAGCACACAGATGTGCAGACACTGAGACAGCTTGCCCATTGGCTCCATAAAAACAAACAAACAAACAAAAACACCGAGAGCTTCCTTCAGGATGTATAAAAACCTCCCCTAATCACTGGCACTCAACACTTGAAATGTTGAGTTTGTGAGTTCAAAGCAGACAACAGGGAGAACGTGCTGTAGACATAGACTAGGTTAGGTTGTGTTTGTCTGTCCAAATACCAGAGTTTCAAACGTGTGCTTGACAAAAAGGGGGTCTACTATTATTTTATTTGAGTATCAGTGCACTTTCTTCTGCTGCATTGAATCCTCTTGTGAGGTGCACCCTGATCTCAACTCTAGAATCTGGAACTGAAGAATGCTTCCCGTCTTCCGGGCAAGAGCCTTTCCCTCTTCGCCACTCTCAGCACCAGGGCTAGCATCCTATCATGAATTTCTTTGCGGTATCTTTAATGAAATGCACACACAGTAAGCATATGTAATATGGAAAAGTAGGGGAAAAAATAAAACTAACCAAAGAAACAGATCAGGAGCAAAGTGTCCCCCGAGTTCAGCACAGGCAGTCTGGAGGTGCAGTCTATATTCTGGAAGGCTCTCGATGCTTTCCCCATCTGCCAGGATTTTAGAAAGAGGCTCATTTCAGTCCTAAAATCACCACCAATGACTTTTATAAAGCAGAGTTTTTAAATAGAAAGCAAATGATAGATTTTGGTTCAGGAGGCATAAAACCACTCAGTTTAGTACCTTTAAACAGCTCCCCATGCTGTACCCCAGGGCACCCTTTTCAGTCAGTACCTGGTAAGTCAGTGACTTCTTTTATAAAGCAGCCCCAACCAAGCTTATGCATCACCTTCCTATTTCTAAATAAATGTCAAGCAACTGCACTGCCAAGATATTGCCTCAAGGGAAAAAGAATGTGCAGCTGTTGGTCCTTGGAGCAATGATAAAACATTTAGAGAATGACTGTGACCCATCAAAGATGCAGGGCAGGTGAGCAGCAGCTGCTGTTTGCACTGAGGACCAGAGAACAGATTGCAAAGGGACCTTGACCACATGCTTCATCATACCCAGGAATACCTCTGAAGCCTGAGGGGTTAGGGATTGGGGGTGGGGGTGAGGAGCTGCTACAAATTGAACTCACTACACTGACCATGGAAAACTAACACTATAAAGAGGCAGACATTGATTCCAGAATGTGAATTTATATATAATGCCCCTCAGTATGTTTCAAAAAAAATATTAATTCTAAGATTTAAAAAAGGTTGCAGATCTACAGAGATATAACTGAACTCTCTCTGTGTGTTTGCAGTATGTAGAGTTGATAAACATATATGCTGTAAACATAGCACAATCAAGTTAGTGTATTCGTCATCATGTCACCTTACATAATTATTTTCATGTGCATGGGATGCAAACATTTAAAATGGATACTCTGAGCAAGTTTCAAGCATTCCACACAGTGTTTTTCACACAGCCTTCAAACAGTATCTTAGGTCTTCAGAGTTTACTCATATGATGCAGCACCCCTTGACCAATGCTCTCCATCTGCTATCAACTTAATTCTGAATGATTTCTCGGCTAGTAGCCCAACCTGCAGCAAGCATAAAGTTATTGAGCCACACTAATTCCAGGACTTGGGGGCTGTCAGCTATCCTTTTAGGATAAGCTAATTTAATTAGTGCTCAAGTGTTGCAATACACACAACACAATAGGTAAGGGATTACAACGGAGAGGTCTAATTGAGGCATAGACATTAATGCTTTGTTATCTAACCTATGCAAAAGAAAGAATGACCCTGTATTCATTTCAAGAGGTAAATAATTACACAAGTGTTTTGCAAGGAAGGAGTTACTGTTCAAGTTAATGCTTCTGCTTTTTTTTAAACATCCCTGTAATGAAGTAACCTAATCAATTATATTTTAATAGCTAAGCTATGAGAGCAGCCAGGTTACCAATGAAAAGAAACTTAGAAACAATCTCAAACAAAAACAGAAACAATTATTACACAGCTATCATGCAACTCATTTGAGATTTCTGAACATTTCAGCTTCTCTTACAGAAAAAGAAAGTAAGTTTTTTTCTCCTTACTTACACTTATTTCCTGACTATGATTAAAAACACACTCATAAAACACATAGCAAATTGTTAATTCACAAATAAAAGGCTTAAGTGGGAAGCTAAAAATGTGCAAACATTGGCTTTTGTAGAATTTAATGAGAATTTCTTAAACCTTTGCAAATATATTTTTAACTCACCCATATCTGTGAAAAATGTTCTCCAGTAGTTTACCACCATGTTCATTTTTTCCAAGGTCAATGGCTCAGTGAAACTTATATCCACTCCATATTCTGAAACACAGCCTAAAGAAATTGTGTTAACACCAACCTTGTAATTCCCGATTGAAAACGAAGCACACACTACATGAGGAAGTTAGATACATACCTTTAAATTTTTCAGGTATTACAAAAACAAACAGCAAATGTGTGTTTTTCTTGAGATATCTGAGGGAAAAGTGTTACCAAGAAACAAAATCATCATTCAAAGAAAATCAGACTCAAGGGTTTAACTTACTAGAAACTAAACTATAGATGCCTTTAACTTGGAGAATTTTAAATGAGTTTTAAATTCAGCATCTTAAATCAGGGAGGAGTTATATAATAGACTTCTCTTTCTTAACTAAAGAAAATAACCTCAACCTTATCCATATTTTCAAATTCTCATTAGTTTAAAAAAGGTTGAGAAAAAAAAAGCACATTAGAATAAAATCGGGGGCTAGAAAGATGGTTCAGTGGTTAAGAGCACTGACTGCTCTTCCAGAGGACCAGGTTTCAACTCCTAGCACCCACATGGCAGCTCACAACTGTAACTCCAGTTCCAGGGGATCCAATACCCATAACAAAACACTAATGCACATAAAATAAAAACAAATACATTTTAAAAAAGAATTAAGTCAGCAAAATCCAGATTGGAGAAAATTACAAAAAACTCTTTTTAAACACATAGATGTGTGTGTGTTTGAAAAAAGATACATATGTATAATTTAAGACAAAAATACAAGGAAGATAAATTTGAAATTTGAATTTGTATCAACAGGTGTTTTCAAAATCAAAAGCAGGGATCACTGAACAATGATTAGATATTTCAGCATTACAGAATTATTAATCTATAGCTGTGTCATTGGTGCCGTGGCTTTTGTTGAGTTCAGTCTTACCCAAATATTTACTAAAACACAGATGGATGAACTAAACAATGTCAGATTTGCTGTACAATCCACTTGCAGCAGAGTTTTCTGGAAAAGGGAAGGTGTCCCACCAAGAACAATCAAAGCTGCACTGAGGACTTAGCAATTCACTGGTCTGTTCTTTCTACTTTCATATGCTTGAAAATATTCAAACCAAAATATACTGTGAAATAGTTAACCAGTTAACTGCACAGTATGCCAGCTAGGCGACAACTGATCCTTCAGTTCACAAGCTTGGGCCTCATGGAAGAGGGAACCTCAACTGAGAAAATGCCTCCATTAGACTGGCCTGAGGGCAAGTCTGGAGGGCATTTCCTTAATTAAAGATTGATGTGGGAGAGCCCAACCTACTGTGACTGGTCCACCCAGGTCCCGGTGGTCCTGGGTCAAATAGAAAAGCAGCTGCACAAGCCATTGGGAGCAATCCAGTAAGCGGCAATCCTCCATGGCTACTGGGGGTATCTGAGATGATAGGGTCTGGACTCACATCAGAACCCAGGAGCCTTATCACACCCCAGAAACAGATTCAGGCCACTGCCAGCTCCACACAGAACTCAGAGTGCTTGCTTTCCTATCCAACATAACTCTTAACAACTCTGAAAAGATGTGCCATTTTAATGGCAGTTATTAAAAAAAACCTTAAAGTGGACAAATTTTATGTCAAGCATATCAATATACTGTATCTTGTGGATTTAAGAAATGGATTTTAAAGATGTAGAGTCAAGATTGGAAAAATTTTACCTAATTGACTTGACAGCCTCCAGTTCTTCCACAGTTAAGGTGGAAGTCACCTTCAAGAAAATTATGTCGAATGAGCTTGCAGCCAAAAGCGTGGGTACCTTCTTCACATTGCTAATGGTCAAGGTGACATGTGCCATGCTGGCAAAGAATTTCTGTACAGAGCCAGTCAGGAAGTATCTTGTGGCATCTCCAACTAGCAAAAGCTCTAGTTTTCTCTGAAAGAGAAGAAAGGAATCAGAGGCCACATGTAATTACTACCAAAGGGACAGGAGTGAGAAATAACTCAAGGGGGCTGGCAGCACACCCTGCCAGGAAGCTCTTCATTGCCTCATGCCCAGGGCTGTGCTGGGGTCTGAGAATCTTGCTACTTTGTTAAGATCCTGCCCACTACAGGCCTTTGGAGTGCTTTCCCGGTAAACTTCTCTCTTGTTCCATTAACAGATAAGATTATGATTGTTTCTTAATTGGACTTTTCTGTTGGAAAATGTATTTTTCGAGAAAGCCAAATTGATTAATCTTGCATTATTCATTTTTCTAAAACCACTTTTGGAAGAACAAATTTTTTTTTTAAAAAATCTAAATTTGTTGCTAGAGTGATGACTCACGAGTTTTGAGAACCCTGGCTACTCTTGCAGAGGACCCAGATTTGTTCCCTGCACCCATATGGTGGCTTACAGCTCTTGCTTAAGGACAGTTACAGAGGACCTGGTGCCCTCTCCTGGCCATCACAGGCACCAGGTATACATACCATGCACATACATACATGCAGGCAAAACATTCATACAAAAACATCTCATAATGTTTTAAGCGAGTTTATGTTTGTGTGTTGGGCCTTGGCCAAATGCAAACCATGGGTCGACAGTTGAAGCCTTGCCTCTCTCCACATAAGGGAGCACCCTGCACATGACTATCTCCCTCTCCCCCATCCTCCAAGCACTTCTGCTGGGAGTGCCTGGAATTTAAGACTTTATTCTATCTCTTCTTGTATTTTCCATTAATATTTACACACAACGACTTTTGTTGTTGTTTCTTTGATCCATACTGTTCCTTGTAGCTTCTACTTGATTTTTCCTGGGATCTATTGAATGTCAGTACAGGCCCAAGAGATTCTTCTAGGCTGAACATGCTGTCACTGAATTCTCACAAGTCAGCGCTAGCTGGTCTAGGTCAGAATCGCCCTGTCTCTGAATTTGGAAGATGATGCTCTGTCCCCTTGTGATTTCCAGAGTGGGGAGTGGTGCTGAAAGCACCAAGCAACTTTGATGTCTTATGTCCTTTTGTATCTTCTGTGTTCTGATAGTATCTGAGTATTAACACTTATTATGGGCTCTGGAAACTGACTGTATTTCTTCAATCATGGATCACTTTTTCCTCTCTGTTTTCTTTCTCTCTTCTGTGACATTCTTTTACTCCACTTCTCTGTCATAAATTAGATTGCTTGCGTGGCCTTCAGTCTTTTAAAAAACAGTACTGAATTTAAAGCAAATTGTACTTTTTTTTAAGGTTTTATTTTTTGGTCTCTTCATAACCTGGTGTTTCTGGAATGTGACTTCTCTGAAGACAGTAGAATGTTACTTGTGTCTCTGTGTGTGTGCATGTGTGTGTATCTGTGTGTGAAATTCACAGGACAACCATGAGTGTCATTTTCCAGTAGTGTCCACCTTGTTTGTCAGGATAGGGTCTCTTGAGTTTGGGCTTAGAGTTGCCCAAATATGACAGTCTGGCTGGCCAGGAATCTCCATATCTTCACTTCCCCAGAGCTAGAATTACATGAACATGCATCCATGCCTGCTGTGTGTTCATTTCTGATTGCACACATGTATGCCTGCAGGTGGTGGGTAGAAGTCTATGTGAGATTTCTCTCCATCTTATTTTTTGAGGCAGAGTCTCTCACTGAACCTAGAGCTCAAAGACTTGCCTAAACTGGCTGACCAATGAGTTCCAGGGGCTCCCCTGTATCTTCTTAAGGCAAAGGGTGGGGGGTAAAAGCTTGAGACAGTGTGACTGGTCTTTACACAGACACTGGGTCCTAAATGCTTGCACAAACCCCCTTTTCCAAATGACTTCAGTTTTCTCTTTTACAAGGGCCCAAACAAAGTTGATTATGAACAAAACAAATTTCTTTCTTGTAGCTCTGGAGACTGGAAAAGATCAAGATGAAGGTGTTGGCAGATCCAGTGTCCAGTGAAGGCATGACTTCAGTGTGCTTTTAGGTGGTGCAAGGACTGATGGGTCCAGCTTGGTCCTCTTCTAAGGTAACACTAATCTTATTCTTGCTGGCAGAAGTACCCTAGTGACCCTAATCACCTTGGAACAGCTCCACCCCCTTGTAGTGAGGACATCAGGCAGTGACTTCGGAGAGGACACCAACACCCATACATAATAAAGCAGACTTACAACACATGCCTGGTAGAGCTGCATGCCCAAACCCAGGACCCTTCCCCTAGAGAAACTCATGAATCAAGAGCTGAAGGGTTGTAAATGTCCCTAGCAGTGGCTTCCTTTAATGGAAATTGATTTGGGTCCAGTGTTAGGGAGCAGGAAATTAAAAATCAGACTGGAGAGCAGAGGCTGGGGCTGTGCCCTTTCGTGGCCACACAGACAACTGGAGTTACCCACACCAGGAGTCTAGATCCCAGGTGCAGCCACTCTCCGGAGAGAGCAGTTCACAGGCGTATCTGGAGGCAAAAGCATCCTTACTCTGGTCAGATGAGCGCAGGCACCCTGCACACAGCTGCTTCCACACCAGGTGCTCATCCTGGTGGACCTTTGTTCCTGTCCATCTGCTTCACCCCAGCATCTCTCCTCATCCTGTCTACAAAGCTGTAGTCTTTCCCTGTAGTGGGCATTTGATCCTGGCAGTTCTAGATTTCAACTCTGACTGTGGATTTTAGCTTCTGAGAGGAACTGCAGTGTTGGGACCAAGAGTCCATGTAGAACTGTGGATTGTATTCTCTGGCTCTGGCTCCTTGGAATTTAATGTAGAATTGCCCCTCCCCCCTTTTTTTTTGCAGTGATATTTACTTGCTGGAGGCCTCATTACTTCAAAAGTGCCTCCTGCTGTGGAGTTCAGAACCGAGGACTAGGATGTGGAGGAAGCATTCATGTTCAATCCACCTGCAGGAGCCAGTCTCTCATCTGCTCCACCAACATCAGCTCCACCAACATCAGCTTCACCAACATCAGGACGGATGAAAGTGTCCACTCATCAATGTGCTGTTTTTGTTTTGTTTTTTGCAAACTGACATCAGCCTGCTTCACCAAACTTACTTCTGTTTTCTTCGAAAACCCTAATACTTTCAAAACATGCCACAAACCTTTTCCTTTAAAAATGATTATTTCATTAATTACTCGAGACACCACCTTGGTATGTTCCCTAGATTGGCTTGAAGCACTCAGTCCTCCTGTCTCAGGTCCTGGAAACTACAGAGACCCAGGGAGAATGTGGAGGCCCTTGAAATCTTTCACTCTATTTGAAAACCACACCATAGGTCAGTAGAATTTCAGGTGCAATTCATTAGTGTTTGTTGTCCAACTACACTGTATCACTCAATATTCCAGCACCTTCCTGAGAGCCCCTCCCCAAAGATAGGTGCTGCTGTAACGTAACAGTGATATGTACTAAAGAACTTACTCTGAGAGTTATAGTTTTGTTTTGTTTGTTTTTTAAATCATGTGTTTAGTAGAAGCAACTGTCAATATGCAGTATAATCTACCTGGTACAGTAGGGTAACCACAAAATAATTATATAAATATAGTGTGTGTGTAATGTGTGCATGTGGTATCTGTTTATGTGGTATGTATGTAGTGTGTGTATTTGATGTGTACATGTGGTATGTGCTTATGTGGGGTGGTATGTGTGTGAATGTATGCGTTGGGTGTTTGTGTGTGTGGTACCTGTCTGTGCATGTGATGGGTGGGTGGGTGGGTGTCAAGTGTCTTTTGCAGTTATTCTCTACCTCATGTTCTGAGGCAAAATTTCTCACTGAACTTGGATTCAGGCATTGGACTAGACTGGCTGGCCAATAAGCACAGGGATCTCACTGTCTCAGCCCCCTCTGCCTAAGCACTGGGGTTACAGACGCGTGCTACTGATGTGTCTGGCTTTTATACGGGTACTGGGTACCAAACTTGGATTCTCATGCTTGAGCTGCAAGCCCTTTCCCATCTAAGCCACCTACCTCTCCAGTCCCTTAATTTTTCTTTTATCTTTATATAGTAATTTTTCTCTCACTGAGCCATTTGAGAATAAAACAATGTGGTATGAATAATGACACTAAAAATAGGTACAAACCAGGGGGCTGGGGCTGGGGCTAATTTTCTATTAGGAAGTTCTGTTCTTTTAGTCTTCTCAAAGACCTTGCTACTTTGTGCTCCTGCTCATGTGTGCTAATTACTCTCCTCACAGGTATTTATTGAGCCCTCCTACTGGGCAGAGGCAGTGCTGGCAGCACAGGGCAGCCAAGCACCCAAGCACATGCCTTCTCTGTGGCAAAGACAGCAGGGCTCACAATCCTTGGAACGAAGAACAGTGTGTGATCCTTGGTTACCAGCCCATTCCCAACATCTGACTCAGGGCCAAGGGAGGAAAAGGCTTCAGGGCAGGAACCAGCATCTGCCTCTTGGTTCCAGGTATCACCACCGGCTCTAAAGTAAGAGACACGACCTGCATTTGAAGGGCAAACTCACAGTGCAAGGCCCTTTGCATGGTAGACACCTAAGCACCTCTATATTTACACACACACACACACACACACACACACACACACACACACAATGCCATTTCAAGCTGAAAGGATGGGAAAGAATTACAGGGATGTGCATTCAGGTTGGGCAGTGGAAACTGTTCTCCCCACTGTATGAGTCACAGGTTCTGAGAACAAAAGCAGCTATCTATTTGAGCCTTGTTCTAGGTGGCACCTGATGTTCTAACTGCACGAATCTCCTCCCAGGCTCCTCTCCCAGCGTCCCCAGAATCTGTCCAAGAGCCATAAGAGCCAGAGGAGACTGGGGGAGGTAACTAAGATGAGGTGGGGAAGTAGCAGCATGGGAAGCCGTGTGCAGTAGCCTAGGGTTTGCGAATGTAATGTGCTGAGGAACACAGTACAAAACAAAGCAGTTCCAGAAAGATGTGATTGGTGCACTTGCTTCTTTCCATAACCTACAAAATCAAAACTACAACATACTCAGGGTATCGGCAATCACAGATATGAACACTTAGAATGGCACTCAGGTCCACTATCCAGTCATGTAAATTTAGCAGATAAAGTATAATTAGCTTAAACCTGAATGTTGACTCAGTACCTTGTTGATGGTATAACATCTGAACACAGGCAATAAAAAGGTTTGCCAACAATGAAAGAAAAGCAATGGAAAGTTCTAGCATACTTTCCTTTGCAAAATTGCCTTTGATCATGTTTATAATTTCCACCTAAGGACACAATTGGCTAGATTTCATTTGACAGGTTTTTTTTTGTTTTGTTTTGTTTTGTTTTGTTTTGTGTGTGTGTGTGTGTGTGTGTGTGTGTGTTTTGTATGAATTGCTTAGTGAATATTTTTAACCAATACACATTCATTGGGAATTTTAAAACGAACAAACAAACAAAAAAACCGAAGTGAAAATGAAATCTCTTGGGGTGTGCCCTATTAACACACTTCCCCTTGTCCTTTAATTATAGCCAGTTTCATAACCAATGCCCTTATCGACTCTGTCATTTCTGGCCACAGCACACAGGGCACTGCAGTCCCTACAATTTAAAAGCACTAGGTTTCCATCTGCAGTTGGTAGCATTCTAAACCCTTAATTAGTAACAGCAGGTGGTGAAGTGCTTAGCGCAAATCACTCCTACATTTTAGTGAGTCATTATTTATGTCACTCTTATCAAGGGGAGCAGCACTGACAACCAGCCCTGCTGTCTGGGCCTGGACTCTCAGAGGGCCATCACTGGCCTCCGGTTTCCCAGACACCAGGGGATTTAGCTCTATCTGGAGACTGAACTGTGGTGCTCGCCAAGAGGGCTCCACACTCTCCTGGGTCAGAATCTACAGTTATTTGTGTTCTGGATAAGCAGGCATTTTATCATTTTTGTGCAGCTCTGCTTAATCCTGAGCCACTGGAGTATCTTTCCTTAGAGCTTTTGCGCTCGCACAAACAGCTCGCCTGGAATTACCAAAACCCAGTTAAACAACCTACAGAAATAACTCCGTTTCCAGAAGCTTCTTCCTAAGCAGTCAAAGCATTCAACGGGATTTAACAAAGCTCCTCTAGGTATAAGTTAACCCTCATATAATGCTGGCTTCGCTTTCTGGGGTGAGTAATGCTCCTCTATGCCTCTATGCTTCTCTAGCCAGGCCATGAGCGACCCTGCTTTTGTTTTTGTTTTGTCTTGTAGACAAGGTCTCACACTATAGCCCAGGACAGGCTTTGAATTCATAGCAATCCTCCTGCCTCGGCTTGCAAGTGCAGGCATCGAGGATGGGTTTCACTTTCCTTTTTTTTTTTTTTCTAAAGATCTTGTACAGTTAATAAGGGTCTGGTCAAAGTGCGTTTCTGGAGCCTCTATCTGCAGAGTACGGATGCTGCGAACAACTGGCAAGCAGGCTTTGTTTGAGCAAGGCCACCTTGGGTCGCCATCTTCGAAAGGCGAACAATGCAAGGACAGGGACTCCGGAAATAAATGCAGATAAATGCGCACTCCTATAGCTCAAACCTTTCCTATAGGAAACCTCAGGCAGGGTCTCCCAATTCCAAGACTAGCCTGAGGTTCTATTCTGAGCTTCGGGGTCAGGGGTTCGAAGTTTGGCCTGGTGGCTTTCTTGCCTGAGGCAACAGCCCCACACCGAGCACCACCCCAGACCCTTGAAGGAGCCTCCTGAGTGTGCTCCCTCAGGTGTGGCTGTGCCTGTGGGGCCAGGCTGGGGTGATGCTCACTGCCGCCTCCCGACAGCTCCTACCTGCCCTGGCCTCCGGCCTAGCTTCTCACTGCTGATCAGGTCGGCCATGGCGCCTAGTGCTCTGCAGCTTCTTGGCGGGCCCGCGCTGCGCTGCGAGGGGCGGAGCGAGGCGCAGGGAGCGCCCAGGGGCTGTGGGAGCGCTGGGCAGAGTGACGTGGACACCCCAGGCCCGCCACTCACGCCTCAGGCTGGCTTGCTCTACTACGCATGGGCAGAGGGTGTGCTGCCATGCCTGGGGTGGGCGAGCAGCTTTGTGTCCTACAGATGCGTGCGCTTGTCCTATAAAATATATTTGCCTGATTTCTGTGCGTATGAACAGCGCTCTTATGGCAACTGCTTTAAGTCAGGATTTTGGAATTGCTCTGTTTTGTACTGCGATTTAACACGTTGTCCCCATTGTCTTAGCTGAGAAACTGAGGCAATGAAGAAATTTCTGGTGGTTGCTGACGTGAGAAGCAAACCCATTAGTCAGCCTTGGCTCAGTATTTTCTTGAAAGCTGTTGAGACAGGATCCTTCTCTTGTTACTGTGTCTAGGCTTTTTTAATGCTTAGAAACCTGTTTTGTGGTGACACATCTTCCTTGGACACAACATGACAGAGCTTTGTGAGACCCACCACGGCAGGTGGTCTGTCTCCAGCAAACCCTCAGACTATCCTGCACTACTGCTGCATTCTGCTCTGGGAGCCTGATTTAGGTTATCAGAGTATACAAAAAATAGTACTGTGCCTCTCTGTTATTTGGATGGAAAGAGGTGAGATAAATTGTTTTGGAGCTCCTCCTTCATCCATGATTCTACCAACTGTGGGCTGAAAATATTAGAGAATACTGTCCAGGTGTGGTGGCACCCGCCTTTAATCCCAACACTGGGGAGGCAGAGGGAGAAGGATCTTTTGAGGCCAGCCTGGTGTATCTAGTGAATTCCAGGACAGCCGGGAGTGAAAGAGACCATCTCAAACAAGGAGAAATATTAGACTTTACAGGATGTCCCTTATCTAAAGCCTTCAGGTCTGAAACCTTTAAGAAATGTAGGAATGCTTTCTTTCATATATAAAATGAGACATCTTAGAAATCTAAGCATCAGACTCAGTCTAGGCAACACAATGCAGATTCAGCCCTTACAGATGATGTTCAACCATGTTCATTAGCATCTTATACTCAGAACCAAAAGGTGACTTTATACAGGTTTTTAAAGTAATTTTGCACCATGAACAGCTCCCCAAATGCAGTTGGGTATGGAAAGGAAGATCATGTGACATCATGTCAGCAAAGTCCCAAGTTTCAGAAGAGTTTAGATTTTCAGATTTGCTATGTTCCACCTGCAAAAGGCAATCTGGAGTTGATTTAAAATCTTTAGAATGTTGTTTATATGCAAAATCACCAGCATTTTATATAAAGGACCTGAGTACTAACAGATCTTAGTATCTACAGGGGGGCTGAAATCAATGCTCTGTACTCAGAGTGAAATCTGTATGTATGCATATTAATAAGCCTGAATCCCACATCGCTTTTGCCTTCTACCTCCTCAGAGCCTGAGAGTAAATAAATGTCTGTGAAGCAGATGGATGGCCTCCTTCATCGGCATGAGATATGGGACAGGGGAAAAGCCATACCCAGACATGGGGAGATAGTGTGAACAGTTTTCTCTTGAACAGTAACCAACTTTCCTTTGTTCCAAGGGTAAGGAGCAGTAACTATGGGACTAGAGAGATTAACACAAACATATTTAGTCTGAATTAAAAATGGCCTTAATTAATGAAAGAAAGTCATTCCTGGTTGGGGTGGGGGGTTAGTTTGTTGTTTTGTTGTTGTTATTTTGTTTCTAGAATGTGAAAGTCTAAAATTGAGAAGAATCAAGGTAGATGCTTTCATTTTTAGCATTTCAAAAGAAAGCTTAATTTTTAAGTGGACAGATACCTACAGTTTTATAGTGGATGTCCCTGAAGGGGATTTGTGGGGCAGGTTTCTCCTGCCTGACATATGGCAATGTTCAGAGACACTGAGGTGAACTGGCTTCTAGCTGGCTGGCTGAGTTCAATGATGCTACTAAATAGTCTGCAACGCTCAGGGTACCTTAGCAGCATCTGCCCCAGAGTGGTGTTAGTGTGAGATGGTGAAGACTTGCCATCAACCTGTTCCCTATAAAAGAATATAAGCCATAAATATCCTATGTCACCTTTACCTTTCCTAAGCTATTTTTGTGTGTGTCACCTGAGACACTTTCCTCAGTCCCCACAGCATCAGCATACTGAATATAGAACCATGACATAAAATATTGTAACACTAATTCTACATTGATAAGTTAGAAAAAATGCACCTAAAATTACCAATTCAGTCTATCCTACAAGATGGCTAGGCCTGTGAGTTTTGCATGATTCTCCTAACTGAATTATTACTGTATACTTTTCTTTCTTTTTTGGTTCGGAGGTTGAACCCAGGGGCCTGTGTGCACTAGGTAAGTACTATACTACTGAACTCTGCCTCAGCCTTCATATTTACTTTTCATTTTGAAATGGGGGTCTTACTAAGTTTCCCAGGCTGGCTGAGAACCTGTAATCCTCCTGCTGTATAGCTAATATTACAGGCTTGTGCCACCAGGACCAGTTAATTGTTTCTTTTTCATAATATGCATATGGAATATAAGGTTTGTTCAAATGAACTCTTGTGTTTAAGAAAAATAAAACAAAAAACCTAATCTTTCACTGTTTGGAAATCTATGTTGGTATGTCCTAGTGATTAGCACATAACATGTGTCTAAAGTTGTTGGTCATCTGGCTTATTTTCAAAGCTGTCTCTTTTCAAAGATAATAGGACTGAAGAGAATATTTTCTTAAGACTATAACCACAAAAGTTGAAAGCCAGAGAATTCACCAATTTCAGTCATTTTACTTTAAACCTTTCCCATGTAAGACACTAATGTGTGTGTATGCATATATATATACATGAATGTGTATGTATACATACATATTAAATATATAAGTCATAGCATATATTTTCAACAATATAAGAACAATAATATTATTTGCAATATGCATGACTACCAGAACTCCACTAATCATGAACTCCATTGTAGAATTATAAACAGAAATATTTCTGTAGTGTTTAAACTTCTGCTTCTGCTTTCATCTCCTCCCATCTTCTCTGGAAATTCACCAGAAAATAGCCAGAACCAAGGCTTAAAACAGAAGCCAGAATATGAACGCCTTTTCTTAAAACCTCCATTAAAAATGCCCAGAGATTCTCAATCTCTGGTCATGATGCCTTCTTCTTGTCCTATTCTTTGTTCCTCTCATTTTCTTTCCAGATAATTCTCTGCTGTGGCGACACCTCCTGGGCACTCCCATCAGAATGGAGACCCTTATTCTATTTTCTGTGCATTGTTTACCCTGATGTAAATAGCACATTTTTAAAATCATCTCCTAATCTCTAGAATAAAGACCCAGAAAAACACCTGACTCATAGCAGACATTAAAATATTTGAATCAAAGAATTAATTATGGAGCTGGAAAGATGGCTTAGCTCAGAGCACTCACTGTTCTTACAGAGGACTCGTGTTTAGTTCCTAGAACCCACATGGCAGTTCATGACCATCTGTAACTCCAGTTCCACGGAATCCAATGCCTTCTTCTGGTCTCCCAGGATTTCTACATGCATGCAAACACATACATTCCCCTCCCACACCTCTCTTTCCCTTTCTTCTGCCCTCACATACTTACTCTCCCTCTTTTCCCCCTCTTCTCCCCCATATACACATACCCTCTCTCCTTTCTCCCCCCCACATAATATACCTCTCTCTCTTCCTCTCTCTCTGCCTCTCTCTTTCTCTCTCTCTCACACACACACATGCTTGAACAATCATAGGCACACTTTTATCTCACACATATACATATAAAAATAAATATATTTGAAGAAAAGGGTAAATTAAAGGCATTCCAGTAGTTGATTGACACTAGTGGACTTTCTTCATGACTTTAAAGGTATGAGTCTGTAATCTATTCCATTTCATAATGCTGCCCATTGTGTAGTAGGAGACAAAAGATAAGATTTGTCAGAAAGGGAAATAATTGCATAGACAAAATAAGTTCATTATCAAAGTGAATGTGCTATGATCACATGGTTAGGGTCACACAGAGAGAAAAAGTACAGTTTTAATCTTGTCCTTTCGAACTTACATATGTGCAAGATCCTCTCTGCTTAAAAACTTAATTCTTTTCCTCAGTGTGACAGTATCAGGCTTTCAAAACTCAGGGTGTAATCAAATCAGCCAAAGAACTTTTTTGGTGCTATGGATGAACCTTATGAAGCCCAGAGAAGTCCCCAACTATGCTTAAAGACAGCATTGGCCATCAAACCTCTGTGGGCCACTTTGTTGACTTAACTGTACTTGCTCCCCGCTAAAGGCTCATTTACCAACCATTCTCACTTCTGCCTGAATTTTCCCATGTCACTTTCCCTGCATCTGACAGGGCAGACCCTCTCTTGCTTGCATGTCTCCTTCCTGATTCAATCTCAGCTTTCATAACTCAGAAGTGTGGTTCTAACAGCTGCATGGTCTAAATTAAAGATGCCTAACCATGGGCGTTCTCATCTGTCCTACTTGGACCTCTCCACAGCATGTACCAACTCATGCTTTCTTCTGTAGTCAATCTGTGAAAGCAAGAAAAGTTGCAAGGGAATTCCTAATTCTCTCTGCTGCAGATATTCCATATCTCCCTTAAAATTGTTCTGCTGAGATTCTGGCTCTGAGATGATGGTATTAGGAGGTGAAATCCATGAGATGTTATTGTGTCATGAAGAAGGAGCCCTCATTAATTATATTAGTGTCCTTATGAAACAGAGGCCTGAGGGGTCCCTAGGCTTTTCCACAGTGAACAATGAGAAGATGCTGTCTCTAGAGCAGGAATCCCCATTCCATTGAATCTTCCAAAACACTGACCTTGGATTTGGCAGCTTCCAGAACTGGAAGAAATAAAATTCTGTTTTTCCTAAGCCAGTCTGTGGTGTTTTGTCAGAGCAACTCAGTAGGAACCCTCTTATGCCTCTGCTCATCAATTTCAACTATTTTAGCATCAAATGGCAGAGACTTTTACTAGAATTTGTATCCCAGCAACTAGTAAGTTGATAACAACTTACTACATACCCACCATAGGTTAAGACATATTTCCCTTAGGCAGCAAAAAAGACGACATAGAGACTGATTATGCCCAGCAGTAGACTGTAATTGGTCTTGACAGCTTCCCCATCAACTAATATACTAACTTTCAAAAGCAGGAATTGGCTCTAGTAAATCTACCTCATTTCTAACCTCGGAGCCTTGTAAGAGTATAGAACTAAATGGAAGTGACAGGAGAACTATGGCTGAGGCTGTGTCACATGGAATCCAGAGTGGCCCCACTCCTGGGCAAAACCATGCCACTGAACCATAGAGTCAGCAGATTCCTCAGAGCTTCTGTGGATGTGCTGCCTGAGAAAACAGTTACAGAGGGTCTTGTTTTCCTTTAGCCGCAGTGACAGCTGGCCCAAGCCAGCAGGAATTTCTGTCACCAAAGATTCAAGCAATCTCAAAAGGAGAAATTTCTTGTTCATGAATGTTGAGAATAACGCAAAGTAGAAAAGGGGATATCTTGTGAATAGTGGGATATATAGTCATAGGAGAGTAAAGTTGACTGTATTAACTTTGAAACTCTCATAATACCCAAGGGAGTGTTGTGTAATATAAAGTACAATGATATGGGTACATATTGATCCTCTGACACTACCAATGATTTGAACTCTTAGACATCTCAACATACACCCAGTTATAAAGTCTTTCTATAATTACTTATTACTTCTATTGATGAAGCCAGATGTGATCATCGTATAAGACAGAAAACCTTTTTTGTGGCACTTCTGTCACCTGAAGTTAGCTGCTGCATCAACAGAACTCTGACACAAGTGACATTAACTCAGCAGCTGGTGGTAGGGGATAGACAGACACTGAGGTTTAGAAACCTGAAAACTCATTTTCCTTTTTTTACAGAGGACTAAGTATCAGCAGACATGTAGTCCCAAGAAAAGATGCTGGGAAAATATTAGTAGTGAGTGTGGGGTATTATCAGTTGCCTTTAGAAGGTAAAGACAGCCATTATGGTCTACAGAAAGAGATCCAGGACAGCCAAGAAACCCTTGTCTAAAAACAAACCAACCAACAAAAAAAAAGTGAGTTTGGGTGCAAATAACCCATTTTCAAGGAAAACCTAGAAATGTAGGACATGTAGGACTCTGAAGAGTGTGAAAGTATTGGAAAGTTTAATTACTTCTAGGGTTCCCAAAAGACTAAACGGAAGTGTTTTGAACACCCCGCAAAGGCCACTAGGACCCAAACTGCTGCAGCAGGACTGTCAACTTTACCCTCGGGAAGATTTTTCTTTTTAAATATATATTTGGTGGCTCTCATGAGAAAGGGCAAATGGATCAAAGAAACAAATTATGCTTGGAAATTATTACTATTATACATAGAATTAACCCCTCCTTACTTACTGTATGGTGTGTGTGTGTGTGTGTGTGTGTGTGTGTGTGTGTAGTGTGTGTGCACAGAGGCCAGAGGTTGGTACTGAGTATCATCTTAAATCACTCTCCATCATATGATTTGAGACAGAGTCTTTCATTGAACCTGGAGCTCAAAATTTGGCTAGACTGTCTGAGCCGTGAACTCTAGGGGGTCCTTCTCTCTTCCCCAGTGCTGAGATGACAAGGCAGACCATCATACTGTCTTTTTTATGTGAATGCTAGGCATCAGACTCAGCCAGTCAAGTGCTTCAGCAACTGAGCCACTCCCCCACCCAGCTCTCTGCTACTATGTAGATGGAATTATATTATCCCCCAAAAAAACTGTAAACCTGGAAACAGTGTTTTTTAAAGGGGCTCTAAAGTCACCTCTGTACACCGCACTTGTTTGGGGAATGAGCCCTGGAAGTTGTGCATACCCAAAGGGCAGCATAATCCTTGGCATCCACTTCAAAATGTGAGCAAGATGACTGGAAAGAGAGAAACAGAGTGAAGCAAAGGCTACTAAGAAAACATAGACAGGAGTGTTCCCCTCAGAAAGATTCAGAACCCAATCAGGGAGCCTCCAGATTCCCTAGGAATAAGGACTTCCCTGTGTCTGCCCACTGGGGTTCCATGAAGATCATGGGCTGGTGAGGCTGTATAATCCTATCCCAAATGAAGCGATTCTGCACATTTCCCATTCAGACAGATATTAATGGAAATAGAAAGATATTGTCTAGTTAAAAAAAATCATCATCATTGTTCTAGTTACTGTCAGAAGACTAGAGGGTAGGGTTGGATTCAATTTTGAGTGCTAGTTGAGAATCCTTGGGCCAAAGAACATTACATTCCATGGATGGCCTGATTTATGTGTGATTGTGAAGATTTTAGTAGATACAATTAGCTAGTAAAGCACCCAAGACCACTAAGATTTATTAGAAACATTACTTGGTGCAATATAAATGAGAACAGGTTAATTGCTTTAGTAAGTAAAATCCAAATATTGGTGGCCAGACACAGAACACATACAAGGATAGAATGCTTTATTAAACACACAACAGCCAAATGAGGGTCCGTGTGGAGAGCAGAAGCAGTCTGCTATATCCGATGATTCAGGGACCTGAGAGTCTTCCATGATGCAGGGCTACCGAACAGCAGGGCTTAGAGATTTGCTTCTTTGGAATGTGTAGTGCCAACACTTCAGGAGCTGAACAGGAGGATGGCCAGTTTAAGGCTAGCATAGATATTCTCATTTGATTTTCTGTTGCTGTGATATATAACCGACCAAAAGCAATTTGGGGAGGAAAGGCTGTTTTTGTTTCTTCTTTCCCATCTTCTAGCTCACATTTGAAAGTGGTGAGGGGTATGCTTCCTTTTGGATTACACAACTTTCAGGGTTCGTTCTCTGGATGAACATGGGTGCTGAAAGGTGCTTTTAGAGCCCTTTGCAAAATCACTGTAGTACAACTTTATAATTTTTTGAATAATGTAATTCCATCTATATAGCAGCAGGGAGCTGGGAAGACAGCTCAGTCAGAAAAGCACTTGCCTGAGGACCTGAGTCTAATCCCCAGCATTCATACTTTTAAAAAATGTAATCTAAATGCTTAAAAGAATGAAGCTCAAAAAAAAAAAAAAAAAAAAAAAAAAAAAAAAAGATCGACAACACTAATGCACAGCATCAGTAAAAACTATATAATGGGCAGAAAATGAGATCAGAAATTAGAAGAAAAATCAGCCATAGAAACAGACTGGATAAAGGACATAGAAAATGAGCCCATTAAAACCACTGCTGTGTTTCTAATATATGCAAAAAGCATAAGACGACCAGGGTGGGGAGTAGGCACAGCCAAGGAGAAGGACCCTGCAAGTTTTTGTGGACCAGTCCTAGAAATGACATACATGGTTGGTGCTTAGATGATTGGTCTGGCTGTGCGTGGTGATACATGCCTGTGGTGTCAGCAGTTCAGAGGCTGAGGCAGGAGGATGGCAGTTTTCCAGCCTAGGAGTTCTAGCTTACTTTTTTGTTGCTGTGTGCTAATGCTTTCCGAACATAGTTTAGAAGAGGGTTTATTTGGTTTACATTGCCATCTCACAAGCCATCTCTGAGTGAAGTTGGGGCTAGAACTTGAAGCAGAGGCCACAGAAGAATGTGACCTATTGGCTGGTTCAGATAACCTTGTTTACAATCCAGGATCACCTGCCCAGGTGTGGTGATGCTCATGATGAACTAGGCCTGCTTCCATAAATTAACTAGCCAGAAGAAGCCTTGCATATAATCCCATGGACTGATCTGATGGAGTCTGTTCAATTGTGTCTCCCACCTCCTAGATATGTTCAGTTGACAATCAACCACTACAATAAGCTGTATAAAAGACAATGACAAAAACAAATCTATAAAGACCACCAGAAAGAAGACAAAAAAGAGTGTATCTGCTTGATACAGGGTCACACACAATTCTTTACCTCTATCACTAAACACAGCCACATGCTCTTGAACAGTGTTTCTAACACACACAACAACACAGTATATATGAACTACACACTGGTAAACAGAGTGCTTCCCACCTGTGAAACATGATCTTCATGTGTGTTCCATGGAGAATGGGAACTGCTGGCTGAGAGTAAAGCAATCTAGGCTATAGATTGATCACCAAATACTCTTCTTCTTCTCTTCAAAAACAGCACTCACTTCCTTTGCAAGGAAGACAAGACAAAGCCATGTGCCTGATTTTATTCAGGCGCTGACACATAGAGATATAATGGTTGAGAAACCAAACCAGATTTTTATGTTGGATTTTAATACAATGTATTTGCTTTAAAAAAAAAACATTTTAGTATCAAGTGGATGAGTTCTTTAATTCTGGCCTTTAAGGAGTGGCAGAGCCAAATTTATCCATTCGCTGTGACTAAACAAAGGGGTAGATGAAAATAGATGAGACAGTTGTTTGCAGGCAAGTTGTTTGTAAGAGTGTGACCCTTGAGAAGTGAAGCAAGCCCTACACCACTTAGTTCCTATCCCCCAAGCACATCACAGACCTCAGAGAAGGAGGTCCCATGCTACCAGGACCACTTCTTGCAGCTGAGGAGGCAGATGCCGAAGAGGCTGATGCTGCAGAACACAAAGACATACAAAACAGAATCCCAAATCTTCACAGGTTACCAAGAGCCCCTGCTGGACACCAAAGCACAAAGAGCAAGGCAGTGAAACACAATCCCTGCAAGCTGGGGCCAGGCAGAGCTAAGTGTCATTGTGTGTCACTCAGGGTATCTTTACTAGGGCCTCAAGCTAGCTAGTCTTAGTAACCAAGCTCACAGGGAAATGTACTCACTCCAACAGAAGTCTGGGAGATTAAGCAGAACTGTAAGCACCTGAAATGCTCATAAAAACATTATAATCCACAATTACCAAGTGTGAAATTAAAAATGCCCAATCCAATAAAAATCATATAGATACAAGAAGCAGAAAAGGATACCCAAAGCCAGGAGAAAAACTAGTCCCTAGACACACACTTAGAAATAAGAGAATAAGGGAAGAGAAAAAAAAAAAAGTACATTAAAGTCACGATTGTGCCTGTATTCCATTTTATGAATAGAGTTTATTGAGAATTCCATACACACATACAATGTTTTTTATATACTACATACCCCATTTCTTCCCAGATCTTCCCATAACCACCTCCCAACTGTATACCTAACACACACACACACACACACACACACACACACACACACACACACATTCTGTTGAAGCTAGTAAGTACTGCCCATAAATGCATGGATGTGGGGCCATCTACTGGAGAATTGCAAACCTACCAGGAACCACACCCTTAAAAGAAAATGTACTCTCTCCTCCCTGGCAACTCCTACCTTCACTAGTTCCTCACCTGGGGGTGGGGCCCATGTGCCCCTTCTCCATTGGAGCAGGAATGTTGACTGATTTGACCTTGTGCAGGGTTTGTGCTGTGAATTCACAAGTGCAGCAGCAATTCAAACCTCTGCACATATTACACATATGTACGTACATACACACACACACACACACACACACACAAAAGTCTCTGAGTTTCAAGAGACATGTCACATATAGAAGGAAACAAATGACACCTCTTATCCAATCCAGGCCAAAACATCACTTGCTACAACATGTACAGGAAATTTAAATTCCAATAATTTCTCTTATTAAAATTGGCAAGTTACTTATATGGATTTTCCTGGCCTAGATTACAGTTATAAAACTGTCTAAGTCACAAAAATACCTACACATGAATAGAATGCATTAAAATTCCTGGGTCTTAAAACAATATCTCTTCTAAAATTCTCGCTCTATATACTGCTAGTCTTCAGTATCCCAAACTCTTGACAAGTTTGATCCAAAGAACTAGACCACTGTTGTGTTACTGCACATCACAAAATTACTTCAATGCCACATGCTCAGTGGTGGACCCCTGTGCCTGCATATGCTTTCTAGAATGGCAAGAAGTCTCATAAATTATACAATTTACCTCAGTCATTTTATAGATGTGGGGAAATTACCAGCAGAGTGGGGCCCTGTGAATGAGGCGCGTGGCTGAAGTTATTGGCAGCAGCTCAGTCACACTCTCATGTGCATGTGATCTGTGATTATGTGGACACTTTGATTTTAAAAAGCTGAGATGAGTGATCACGATGCAACCTAAAATCACAAAAAAGGGTTTTTTCTATATGAATTTTTAGCTAATGGCCAACTTAGAAAGCAAACACACAGCGGTGCAATCAGAGCAGATCAGAAACACCCTGCTGACAGTATTGGAATGACATCAGCCTTCCTTCCGGGTCCCTCCTAGGACACAGTAAGAACCACAAGCATGGGCATTGGAGATTTACAGTCACTGGAGACACATGACTTTTATACAGACAGAGGAATCGATTTTTGAAAGAGCGAGAGAAGCCGCTCTTCCTTATCTATTTCCTCCCCTGAGAAATATGTTGAACGTCAACCTCCTAAACTGAAGATTCTGGATGAAGAAAAGATGGAAAAAATAGAAGTCTGCCCAGCTCTGGAATCACGGGTTGAGTTTTGGAAGATGGTTTGATCTTGAAACCTTTTTTACAGGTCCTTTCTTGGTATTCATTATCTTCTGATTAACGGGATTGTATCTTCCACTGAAATAAAATAAGCATTGATCATAATTTTTCTGTCATCGCTGTCTGCAAAAAAAAACAAAACAAACAAACAAACAAACAAAAAAAAAAACAAACGCCAAAACAATAAAAAACCAGCATATGCCACATATGGCTGACCTATCTCCTCTGGTCTGGAGGAAAGAAGTCTTCATTGACATGTTCTGCAGCTATGGGGTAACCACTGCAAATGCAGGCATTCAAAGGGTGAGGCTCCAGAAGTCGCCAGTCAGGTACTCACCACGGAAAGCCATGTCTAGAGAGAGGTGAGGGGTGCCAATCTGCTACTTACCTTTTAATTTGAATTTGTGTTCTTCTCTGAGATAGCAGAGGCTGCTTCATCTATGGTGCTTTTCAGATCTGTCTTAGAGAGTGGTCTCAGCCAAAGTGACAAGACCTGTCAGTTTCCCTCTAAGGAGGGAAACTTTTCTCTCCCCCAGACAAACAATGAGAAGTTGGCTAAAAGAGAGTGCCTTAGAGCTCTAGAAATCAAAAATCTGTAGGAAAATCTCAAGAATTCACAAAACAAAGAAAGTTGGGGACTTGATGAGAACACTGAGCTGTTCAGTATTTAATTACCCCTAGTCCTACTCCTACCCCTTACCTCCAAGAAAACTAAGAGCCCAAAGCTACGGTAAAACCAGGCACCAACAAATACGACAGGAGCTGCCAATCACTGACTGCAAAACTCATCTTTGGCCTTCCCTGGACATGGTCCAACATGAGCACTTCTCTTGGAGACTTTGCCAGAACAAACTGAAGCTATCATTTAATTTCATAGTTACTACCATCTAAAATTAAGCTAACCAGGAAAGTTAAAAGGCTGGGGTGGTTACTACTAAATTCCCACACATGTCTTGGGAACTGGAACACCATATTCATGTGTAACTATACATATCTAAACTCATGTGTTCCCAGGAAAGATTTCAAAAGGTCCTAAACTCTCACCTTGGGCTATATTTGAGGCACTCCAAGAGCAGAAGTGAAGGTGATGGCAGAGCTGTGCTTTTCCTGACTGAGTATAGAGAGCCTGTCCAAACACATATGCTGGGGCCCCAGGAAAGAAGGGAGTTATTGGTTTCAAGCACTTTAAATTTTTCTGTTAATCCTAAAGTAACCACTTAGCTAATCCAGCAGAGTATGAAGTGGCCACTCATGAGAAAGGACACCAACTCCACAGAATGAAGGTTACAAAGTCTTCAGCCCTGGAGAAGAGAGATGGCTATGTGATCTTCTATAAAATATCCAGTTTTGATGAAACAGAAGAAATAACCAAAGATACAGACACAATAAAGCTTGAATGACAGAGGAAAAATGAAGCTGTCAATAAAGCCTCAGTTTAAAACATGAAATGCTGAAACCACCATACTTAAAAATCAACACCAAAAGAGGTGAGGGCAGCACTTCAACATACAGCCACGGGTATTGATTTTCTGCCTAGCAACCCGGCAGCAAATGGGATCACAGGAAATTAAAAGCCTTGTGCACAGCAAGGAGACAACCAGAGGAGTGGAGAGAACCACAGAAGGGCGGACGTCCTGAAAAGCTATATTTCAGACAGGGAATTTATATCTAGAATATACTAAGGAATGCAAATATTAACCTCCCAAGCCCCAAAACTGCCAGTCAATAAATGGGCCAGTGAACTGAACAGTTGGTCCTCAAAAGAAGAAAAATAGTGCATTAAAAAAATTTGAAAAGGTATCCAACATCTTTGTCCATCTGAGAAATACAAAGAAAATGACTGTGAGATTCTGTCTCACCCGAGTCAGAATGGCTTTCAGCAGGGAAACTAATGACAACAAACATTGATGAGGATGTGTGGAAAGATGCTGTTGTTGGTAGAGGTACCAACTAGTACAGCCACTACAGAGAATGATGTGGGTGTTTCTCTAAAGGCTAAAAATAGTTAGCACATGAATCTGCTGTGCTACTTCTGATACATAACCAAAGGACTCTAACCCTGTGACAGAGATACACACACATATCTATGTTCACTGCTGTCCTGTTCACAGCAGCAAGGAAACAAGAGTCAGGCTAGATGTCCATTAACAGATGAATGGTGGAAACGTGGGACATACACACATCTGTGAAAATGAAACATAGATGAAAATGTAAAACTATTAAAAGAGGTAATGCAGGACTAGAAGACAAGTGCCACGTGCTCCTCCTATATGGATCTCAGCTCCTAATTTTTATGTGTGTTAATCTTGGAATAGTGTGGATGCCAAGAAACTAAACAGAGGCCTTTACATTTGAAAGGAGAAGAGTGGGAGGGAATGAAAGTGGAAAGGAGCATTCTGAGGTTAGAAGACTATAACAGAGGTATGTAGGCCATTTTATTCTCGATTTTCCTTTTCTTAGAGCACACTTGTTATTCACTGTTTTGTATATAGTTTTGTATTAAGCCTAAATCTTTTCTTTAGACTAAAAGGGGAATTGTAGTGAGATAGTCCTTCTGTGGCACTGACCATGCCCATTGGGGGTGGAGCCATGGGTGGAAGTGACCTGTGGAAGGAAGTCAGAGGGAGAGCCGGGAAAAGCTCTCTTGCTGGCGTGACTCAGACAGGAGAGCATTGGGTTGAATTTCCTGGTGTTCATCTGTCTAGGTTGTAAGTTATTTCTCCCTGAATAAATATCTATTCGGCCTATTTGTTTATCCTGATCCTTATTTAACCGCGGTATCTGGTGTCAGAAGTGGGATGTCTCTGTCATTTCTAGAGCTTATATATTATCCTTCTGTGGTCTTTGATGGAGTTGAAGACAGATAGTTATGGTTATTGTTTTCCTTAGTATTAAAGATAAGTTACTTAGACTTTAGACACAAAGATAGGATAGATGATGGAATATTTTCTTCAAATCTTGCTAAATATTAATGGACTAAATATTAACTGTGATTCTTATTTGATAACAGTTGTGTTATATATTTTGCTATGTTAAGGTTAAATAAAACCGTTCTTTTTATTTAGACAGAAAAGAGATGATGGGAGATGCCATTCTGTATATATGTTTCTCATACTGGTTAATGAATAAAGCACTGTTGGCCAATAGGAAAGGAAGATAGGAGGGGCTAGGAGGTAAGGAGGAAATAGGAAGTGGTAAGAGGAGCCAAGAGGGAGAGTCTGGAGAAGGAAGAACCGCCAGCCGCCTCTCCCTGGTAAGACCAGGTGGAAATACATAGGAATGTGCTAATAATTAAGACAGAGCTAGCGGATAAGAAACAAGTAACCGGGCCAACAGGATTATATCTAATACAGAGTCTCAGTGTGTTAATTGGGGCTGGCACAGCAGCGGGACAAGACCAGGCGGCGGGCGGAGAAACCTTACACCTTACACAGAGGGCTCAGAGAGAAGCAAGAGAGAGAGGATGGGGGTTGGAGGGACCACTCAAATCTAAGTATATGTAAAAATGCCACAGGGAAGCCTGTTACTTTGTATCCAAATAAATAAAAAGTGCATATAAAACGTTGTCAATAGTATCCATAGCAACATTATTCACATTATCAGAAACGTATAAATAATTCAAATCCCCATCAACCGAGGATTAGATAAGCAATGGTCTATAAAAATCTGGGTTGCTAGCTAATCACCATGATAAATCTGACTGTGCTCAACATGGATGATCTTGAGAACAAAAGCTAGACTGGCAAACCACACCCTGCACACTCTCAAATGACATGATAGGAAAACCTAACAGAAATAGAAAGGTTAGTGACCACCAAGAGCTACAGTGTGAGAACTGACTAATAATAGGTATGACACTGCTTTGGGAGTTGTAGGGGGGAAATGTTCTTGAGTCAGTAGTGATGGTTACTCAACCTAGAAAGTACACTAAAAACTACTTGGCTTTACTGTGTGTGACTGCAGATTGCTTCAGGTTACAATATTGTTCAGCTGTGCTGAACCCCTTTATATCTGGGTATTACAGAAATGATTCTAGCATAACAGTGTTACATAGTTGTTGTTTGCAAGTTCAAATACTGGTCATACTTTTTTTCCTCCCTTGACAAATGGTTGCTTTTTTTATTTTGCTTACTCTTTGTAGTTACTAATGTACTACATATTAGAAAGAAATAAAATTTGAAAATATTTATCAAGTCAGAAGTTTTTCAAAACCTTCTAATTCTCCTATCAATTATCCTTTATAGGTTTTACCCCCATTTTACAGGGGGGTAAACCGAGTCTGAGAGTGATTACTCATATAAAGGCACATTGGATACGCGGTAGAGGAAAACTGATTTTCTGTCTGCTCCAAAACCAGTCAGTGCAAACCTTCATTAACCATCATGCTTCTTGCTTTATTAAAGGAATAATACTGAATATACTGTTATTTTGATTTGGAGACTTCCACAAGCTAACTTATCATGGAATTTTTCTTCATTTTTTACTCTCATCAAAGTAATATAAAATTGTACAATTCATAAAAATACTAAAACTTGATAAATACAAATCATCTATAACCATACCAAATTATTTTACACTATACTTTTATTATAAATATTTCAACATCAGTTATATATTCTAGAATCTGCATTCTAGAATCTATTAGAACTTCTTAATGCTGTCAGAGTTTATTGAATGATTGTCTTAAGGTTGCAAATGGCTGTATTTCCTATATCTGCTTCTTGTCTCAAAAATAAGTTCTCCAAACAATCTGTCCCTCAGTGAGCCACAACTAATGTCCCACAGATGCTTTTATTCAGGAGCATGAAGGACTGCTCTGTCTTCCTTGAGTGCCTTCAATATAAAACTTTCATCAACAAAACAAAAAGGAGGCTGTATCACAAAGAAAAAGAAATGTCACAGTTGGTTCTTGGACGAGTTGTTGCTGTGGCATCCATCGCCATTGCAAAGTCTGATTTTCATGGCTAATATCCATGAATCATAGTCCAATGCTACCTATCAGCTTTGTAGAATTTTGGGAGTAACTTTCAAACCTATATCTAAAGAGTATTTCCCTTAACTATCTTGGTAATCCTTTTAAAACTCTATGTGCAAGAGGGCTTAGTGTAGATCTTTCAGTGAGATAGAGATACCTTGTTCATTTACAGTCACAATTCATGAAGTCAGAATATAATTGATAACATTCAACTGGGCAGAGTCTCTTTGCGATTGATGTTTTAAATACAATTTCTCTTAACTGGATCTCTTCTGGTACTCTGATTTATGCTAAGTGTCAAACAATATCATCAGCCAGTGTCCAAACAGTGGTGTTGCTAATATGGATGTTGCTGTGGCCCAAAGGTCCATGTGCAAAGTGACCCCTGGCAGTACCAGTGGGAGGGAGGCTGTGGGATCTGTGGGGGTCTGGGGCTGGTGCAAAGTCTCGGGGTCACTGGAAACATAACTCTGAAGCCAACGGTGGGAAGCACCGTTCCTCTTCGCCATTTCTCCCTGCCTTGTGTGTGGCAGTTTTGCTCCACCTTGTACCACCTGCCGTTAGTGGGCTGCTTGACACAGGCAGAGCACAGTGAGGGCAGCCAGCCCTAGACCAGAGCCTTTCAAACTAAGGCAAAATTAACCTTTTTCAAAAACAAGTGAATAACTTCAGGCTCTGTGTTACAGATGCAAGTTGACAAGCACATATGAGAATGTCAACATAGCAAACATTAAGGACATAGCGCTTGAGTTTTAAAATATCATCCAAACCATGGCATGTACGAAAGTGTGCAGACTATAAGCTCAAAGACCCAGGAAGCATCTTAAGTTTACACTCCAGTAACTTCTCCCCAGTCTTATAGATAAAATACTTCCATCCTATTGGAAGGCCCTCCTGTACTTCCTAATTCTCAGCCCCATTTGTAAGGACCATCCTATGTTCCTATACCCGCTGACTTCTCCCTCTTTGTATTTTATGTGAATGGAAACACATGTATATATTCCTTTACAGAAGACTATGAGAATTATCCAAATGTTGTATAAATAGTATTTTATTACTATTACTTATATGGCATATATGCATAGACATAAAAATATCCATTTCCTGATGAACATTTTAGGATTTTTCCACCTTTGACTATCATGGATAAAGCTGCTATGACAAGCATGTATATAGGTCTTTCGGTGTAAATGCAGAAGTAGAATTGTTGACAGACAGGATAGGTGTAGGGACATCTATAGAAGTGAATACTAAGCACCATTCCCAAACAGCCATCTAAATCCACACTCCACCTGCCCCCCCCCCACTCCAGTGTTCAATTCTGGCTGTGCCTCACAGTCAGTTGCCACTCTCCCCTGAAGGTGAGAGATGGTGCTACACCTCCTCCTAAGTTCATCAGCCATGTGCGGTCAACTCTGCTGTGAGGGGTTTAGCACCAATGTTGGTTATATGACTCAAATTTGAATAACCAACAAAAGAAGGATATCACAATCAGTGGTCAGGTCAGTAACTCAGAGACAATATTTTAAGGCAGTCTCAACTACATATGTGTATTCATATACCTACTCCAAAAGATAGAGATGTCCCTATTGGGTGGGGTCTGAGGGTGGCTGAGAGTTACAGACAGCGAAGGCCGTATTAGTCCACTTGGGTGCTTGACCTCTCATCAGCTCAGTAATCCTTTCAGAGATTCTTAAGCAGCAACCTACAGTGGAGAGTCTCTCCAACATTCAGATTAATCAGAGACAGGATGGATCTTGGTGGGAATTAGCAGCTCTGAAGGTTGTGAGGCAACTGAATGAGAGAGGTCCCGGCCCATGGCATCCACCTCCTACACCAGCACCTCAGGCTCAGCTCAGACCTATGTATCAGGGGCCCCAAACAAGCAGATGGAAGCATAGTGTATGGCCACTGCTCCACAAGAGGGCAGGTGGGGCTGGGCACCTTGGTGATCTTGAACATCCTTCAACCAAACCTGATGAGTTCTGGCAGGAAGCAGGACCCTCAGGCTGGTTATGACATGATTTCAGAGTATACTCTCTAATACAGCCAACCTCAAGAGTATTCAGTGAAAATCCAAAGTGTCCTCACAGTCACCATCTGGAGATGCTTATGGATCTGCACAATAATGTGGTGTGAATAAGGCTTGGGTTAGCTTTCCGAGTACCTTTTCAGTATCAAAGAAAATCTCAAAGTATTAGCAGTAGTATACTTTAAAAAGAGATGTGGATTAAAGGTAAAAATTAAAAGGTAGTTACGTAAGGTGGTTGTACAGAGAACAGATGAGATAGCAGCTGGGAATAACTATCCCCGGGAAAGATTGCCCATGAGGCACCTGGTGCTAACAGTTCCCTGTCCTAGTAAATAAAGCCTTGCCCTCGGTGTAGCAATGCCATCCTGTGCCTACACTGTCAGTCACACCTGCTTATCTTCTTGGGATCTAGAATGGTAGTAGGAGTTAGGTAGATGGGTGACCCTGGCCAATAGAAACCTTGGATGCTATGCAGCCAGTGAACCTCCCCAGGAGATGAAAGCCTTGTGTGCTGTTAATGTGCCACTGTAACTCATTCTTGGAAAGACTAAATGCCTGCTTAGACAGAATTTCACAAGCTGGCACCTAGTTCTCAAAGTCTTTATTCCAGGAGCCCTTCCCCTTGTGGACTTTAATTGTATCTTTTCTCTGTGACACATTCTAGCTCAAGCACAAATATGTCCCGAGTTCTAGAACCTATCATTGAGTCTTTTACCACCAAGATGGTCCTGGCAAAATCAGACACAGCGGTTTGATTCTTTTTCCATGGAGGTCTTTTGTCAAATTTTACTATTTAAAGTACATTATAATTCCATGATGAAAGTGTGTAAAGATAATTAATTGCAATTTAAGTAAGTAATGATTATTAATGAAAAAATATACTTCAATCTATCTATCTGAGAATTGAGCAAAATTGGGCTACATCATTAATCTTTACCAAAGAAACCTGTCTTATTACATATCCCTTGAGTACCTCTTGTCTTGACCATGGCTGGACAGGATTAATTTGTAACTAACTTACATCTTGGTTTAATTTTTCAGTTTCTATGTGAATATGCTCCTACACATGGGGGATAAGGTTATATAGGCAAGAATCTGGTGATTTCATATTTTCTACTGGACCTGGAAAGTTCACTCGTATATAAAGCCTTAGAAATACCTAAAAGTTCCTTTGTTCTTCATCATAAAGTGGCTTCGTTTACATGGGATGGGTAGTTTAAACTGTACCGTGTCCATAGCAACAAGCATGTTTCCTCTCTGAAAAGGTCAAGGCAGACACTAATTGTTTCTGTTATGTTATTAGTGTAGTTTTAAATCTCTCTGTTCTGTGCTGCCTTTGGTTAACATGTCACCTAGTGTGGAGACTAACAGTGCTTCTGGGAGCTCATATCTCATGTGTATGGAGTGTGAGGCCACTCGCTTCTCTGGAGTCTCTTACATGTGCATTTTTACATATTGCTGTAAAATCTAGAATTTCAGCTTCCAAAATATAAAGGACACCTGTTGCATGAATGCCGCTTGAGTGCCAGTATAATTAGTTAGTGCGGGGAGATCTACCTAGACGTACGTTTTCACCAGATTCTCTTTCATTCTAGGCAGCGGGTCCGTCTGTTGCCTTTTAGAAACTTGATTTAAGCCAGAAACCTGAAATACAAAAACAACATGTTTATTTTCTTACTTTCCAACTTATTTCTGGGCTAAAGCCACCCATTTTCAGTCAATTTCTTTTACAAATATGTTTCTTAGCATGTGCAGAAGAGGCTAAGAGTGACAGGAAGGAAGTTCATCAATTTTCTAATAGGATCCACCTTTTAAGTTTCTGCACAAACTCTCCCTTGGTCCCATAGTCCATGTGATTTTTAATTTAAATGCAGGGGAAAAAATTATGAAAACCAATCACTCGTGTGTATGGACCACTAGGAATTTCTGTGGTAGACATTAAACATACATAAAACATGGAGCAAGGCAGAAAAGGCAAGGAATAATATATTTAGTGAGAAAGCAGAAAGGTACTATAGTACTTCCATTACATCTATTTTGTAATTTTTCCAGCGTAGGCAAATGGATGCCTTAGGCAATTCAAGAACACTGGAGGCTGATCAACTTCTGGGTGGCTACTGAAGCCTTGAATGAATGAATTCATCCATCAAGGGCAATACTGGAAAGAATAAACTCAGTGATAAAAATCAAAGACAACAGCATCTGAGGGGCCAGGAGTGTCACACAAGATATCATGTCAACAGTAGGGAACCTACCCAATGCTGTCAGTGAAGATCCCACAGTTACCAGCTTAATGGGATCAGTGAGAGGTCCTATCACGTTAAAGTAGACTGGGATACCTGGTGGCCCCTCTGGCTTCCACTTGTACTCATATATTCTTTTATGAATATACCACACACGAGCTAGATGCAACACACACACACACACGTAAAATAAAAGAATTTAGAATTTCTGGACAGAGACTTGGTCTTTTATCTGAAACCAAAAGCATTTCTATCTAACACTCTCATACCCTTTGCTAAAATTCAGTGTCAACAGAACAAACACCAAGACTTTAGTTTATCAGGTGTCATAGCACTCTGGAAAGGCAGTCCTGCTGCATGCACTCTTTGATAATTTCTGCATCTGTGAGTCCTGGTGAAGCAGGGCCTCTATACAGTGTTAGTGGAAGACCTGTTTATGGGGAGCCAGTTTAAATCAAAACACATCCATCCTGGTTGTGAAGTTACAGTTTAGATATTAGCACACTTGAAAGGCACAGGAGTTGGACCCTCCCTCACAGTCAACAACTTGAAACCAAGAACTAAAACAGACTTTAATTATTGGCTAGAAAAGGAACCCAAGTCACATCTTTGGCCTGAGCTCATGAATGAAGAACTAACTAAACCTGGCTGAAGGTTTCCTAACCCTTTATAGGATGCTCTATGACAGGAGGCTTTCTGATAAAGAACAAAGACATACCATTGCTTCCTCCTCTAAACAGAGAACCAAACAGGCCTGTCAATCACCTGGACAGGACAAAGTCCCTCAGGAAAAGCTGCTTGTCCTGGAGATCTTAGAAAAATAGTATAATGGCTGCCTAGTGTGTAGGTCAGGCTCTGGGTTTCTGTCCATTGTCTGCTGACACCGCTTGAGAATGCATTTACTGTGCAATAAGCCATGCCTGTCCTCTACACTGCTCTCTTTATCTGTCTAAATTCTTCCCGTAGAGATCACAGGAAGGTGAGACAAGGAGAGCAGAGACCAACACAGGTGATGAGCACAGCGGATGGAGAATGAGACAGCCAGCAGGAGCACTACAGACGTATCCACAACAGACTGGGCAAACACAGTTCCCACGGGATCAATTATTTATGCATTCAGTGTGGGAAGAACAAAACTCACCCATTAACCTTCCCAGGCCCTGCAGTCTGCACATGGCCCAAACCACCTTTAATAATAAAGATGAACAATTCATTCTAGAGTGAAATCCTCATTAACATTTATACTGGGGACAGGATTAACAGCTTACTAGAAAGCTGTTGGCTTTGATTGTACATTCAATGAGTCTGCACAATGAGGAGGATTAGTCAGCCTAAGTGATTTGGGGGGGGGATAAATAAAGGTAAATGGATGTTTCAGAGGCAAAGACTTTCACTTTTAACCTTAGTCAAAGCTTCAAAGGTGTTTTATATGAATGAACTTTGTTCTGGTCATGGGCTTTTTATTATCAGTTGTGAAAATGCTTCTAAACACTGATAGTCTTTGTGGTAAAAAAAAATAAGGTGACGGGCATTCTATATGACCTCCAAAGGGACATATGGTTGAGCAAAGCAAACACATGTGTTCACTATGAGAGACCAGAAGGCAAATAGAAACCCCATCACAGAGCAAGAGCCTCCAAAGATCGGGAAAGAATGGGAAGGTAGCATCCTCCAGTCCCTGGAGCTTGGAGCCTCTGATGTGTCAGACATTTTACTCTGCTCTTCACACACAAGGCTCTTTCTTAAAGTATTCCATCAGACTGGACGATTGATGCTATTAGATCCTTCCTCAAGGGAAGGAAAGAAGTTAAGGTCCAGAAAGATCACACAGCAAGTAGGGGCTGGGGGGATATCTCAGGACCTAAAGGCTCAGAGATTGCAAACCTGAAGACTTCGGTTCAAATCCCCAGCATCCAAGCAAAAACCCAGACATGGCTCTACCCACCTGCAGTTTAGCTGGAAAGAGGAGAGGAGCAGACCCCCAGAGCTTTTTAACACAGCCTAACTGATATGGTAAGCTTCCAGCCAGAGGAAGAGGAAGACTATCTCAGGGTCGTGATGCAGAGGGCAACAGAAGACAGCAAGTGGCCTACTCTCACGTGTGTGTGTGTGTGTGTGTGTGTGTGTGTGTGTGTGTGTGTGCGCGCGCTCTTCAGATCTATGTCCCTCACACATGGTCCCTACTGTATCTCATTCCTTCACATGTCTGCAATTACCATCTATGTGCCAACAATTTCTAAATTTCCCTTTCCAATCTAGAATATCTTCCTCAGATTCACACATCCATCTGATATCCAGATGCTCCTGCATGGGTAATATTTACTGAAGAGTGAATGCATGCTCTAATCTTAAAACACATAGCAAAATAAATTTAATATAAATTAAATATGCATACAAGCATCCATTATCAAGGTGTATGTGTGCATGTATGCATGTGTGTATATTTGTGTGTGTGTTTGTGTTATGTGTGTCGTGTATGTGTTTGTATGTGTGTGTTTATGTCGTGTGTGTGTGCATGTGTATATGTGTATGTGCACACATGCATTCCTGTGTACTCATGCACATGTGTGTGCTTGTGTGTATGTTTGTATGTGTATATGAGTATGTGTGTGTTTGTGCGCACATGTGTGTGTATGCATGCATGCATGCATGTTTGTGTCTGTGTAGGTTTCTGTGTGTGTGTATGTGTGTGCACGCATTCGTGTGTGTCCGTGCACACATATGTGCATGCTTGTGTGTTTGTGTGTATGTGCATGCATGTGTGTGTGCATGAGCCAATGTGTACATGTGTGTATGCACGCATGCCTGTGTGTGTGTGTGTGAGAGAGAGAGAGAGAGAGCTGAACAATGTGGTGGATGTTATAAAGCATTAAGATGAAGATGATATTTAAAGCCATTAGGAAACCCAAGTCACAATGCTGGTGATGAAAAGCATGACCTCTGTGATGCTACCAGTGTCACAGATGAAACTAAAGTCAAATGGCAGCTATTAAGAGTCAGACACACATTGTATTGATCAATTTCCACTGATAGCCGTGCTTGGCCTGTAGCTCAGACCCACCACCAACAGTTAGGAAGTGACATGACTGGAACTTTATGACACCTGAAGGTTATCAGTTTATCTGCATCCTGGTTATTACAATCAAACTACACAAACTTGTCTTTCAACTGAGGAGACTGTTTCACCTCTTTATAAAAGTTATGTCTTTTCCTCTCCACTTTCCATATTTAAAAAACCCAGTCTGTTTCCTTTCTTAATTCCAACATTTGTTTCTCTGCCAAATAAACAAAAATGTAAAAACAAAAGGTTTATAGCCAGAGGAAACTTTTAGAATTTGCAACTAGAAGAGCTACCTGAGACATTTCTGCGATGTACGTCCGGCGCTCGTTGTTGGTCCTGTGGTACGCCTATTAAAAGATACAAACAGGTAAATCCTGCATGAGACAGGGATAGCCACACTACCAGTTCATTACCGAGTCTGGCTTTATGTCTCTTACTTTTTATATCACATAAAACAGTTTTACAAAAACTTCATGATTGTGAAATCAGTTTATAGAAAATACTAGAACCAAGTTGCAGCTTCAAGAACATTGCTACACATGGAGTTAAACCAACCTTGGATTCCTGCTCGAGTTTAAGCGCGTAGTCTTTCACTTGATTTTCAAGACTCCTTTTTTCTTTTTCTAGTTGTTTAAGTAATATGTTTAGAGATTCCTGAAAATATGAACAGTGAATTTTATGTACTTGTAATGCTAAGCAACAATTAAAAAATATTCATTAAAATGTTCACCCGAGAATGACTGCTACAGCCACATGTGACTGATTTCATGAGCTGCACTTGGCATTTTTAAAGTAACAACAATAATACGTAAAGTAATCATCATGTTTATTGAACTCTGTTCTGTGAGTTACATTAAATACCTTCTTGGTTTATTCCAAAATTACACCTGTTGTCCCAAATTGGACTAAGACTCAGAATTGTGCCTCTGCATGCAAGTTCCTAGTGAAAGGTAAAAAGCTTATAAAGTCTGAAGAGAAATCAGAATGTATGTATTTTCCATAGATGACTTCCTTTGGTTTGAGTCATGAGACAGCGTGTCTTTCTTTTTGATGTGGAGAAAACCACAGCCACAGGGGTCACATAGTTTGACCAAATATGTGTGAGTGATCAATGGAACCAGGACCCAGGTAAGATAGTTCTTGGGTCACACACACTGAAGTTGTCACACAACTGCTGCCACTGCAACAATGTGGTACAGGCCAAGACTCCAAATCTTCTGCCAACTGTACGCTCCCTGTCTGTTTTATACACTGGTGTAAACTACCAGACACCAGGCATCCACAGAGAGAAATAACTGAAGGTTCCTCTCCCCAAAAGAGGAGATGAAGCAGATCACGGTGACTAAGATCAATAACACTATCCATATTAAAGAGTTACAGAAATGTATGATTAAAATGCATCATGTAAATCTGTCAAAACCACTAGTTTCCTAGTAACATGGGCTCCAAGCCACTGATGATGAGGCCACTCTCTTGCCTATGAGGTGCAGGAGGAGCTGCAGCGGCATCCTCAGGGTCCTCTCCAGAGGCACTGTCACAGTTCTGGGATTCCTGTTATCCCTATCAGGACGCTATCCTTCACATAACAGATCCACCTGGCCTGGACACTCATCTGCCTCCACAGAGTGGCCTTCAACAGTGTCCTACCTCATTTGCTCTCCTCCCACTGTGGGACGGAGGCTTCACAAGAGCTCCCAAGAATTTTGTCGGGTCTCAGGCTTCAGATCTTGCTCATTAACAGGATGCAGTGCAACAACCCAGGAACCCTGTATTTCCAAAACTCCTGCCTTGAGGTTTCCCCCACAGTAACCTGACTGCTAGAACATGTTTTAGGGTCATGGTCAGGTCTTAGGAACCCAGCCGTCTCCCTGACCAGTTGGTATAATATGTACCAATCAGGACAGAAAGGAAGTTCTACCAGCAACCTCTTTTTTTTCCCCCATCAAAACTAATGTTAATTGCTGTGCTAAAGAAATAAACCACAGCAATAATAGGCAGGGGTGGGTAGCTACAAGTTAGAACATCGCATGGGATGTTTTAAGAGAGAAAAATGACAATAGGACTTAGTTAACCTACTTAGTTAATGGCAGCCACAAACAACACTAGCTCTGAGAAAAAAATCTTCACTGTGAGATTACAAGTGCCCCCTTGTGGGAAATTCTGATACATACACACACACACACACACACACACACACACACACACACACACACACACAAATCACATTGTCATCTTTTCTCTCTGGTTTGAAGCCATGTGCCTGCCTACAAGTAAACTGTTTTGCTCTTTGGGAGAGTGCAAATTGGGGGATGCATGCATTGATCACAGGCCTACCAGAATCCAAGATCAATTCATTAATCTTTTTATGATACACTTGTCGCATCAACTTAATATACTTTATACAAAATGTAAATTTGGGCGTCAATAGGCCTGTAGAAACCAACTTAGCGTTCAAACTAACTGACATCTGTGGTAGAATATTATTTTCAGATGAGTGTCTTTTGTTTATGCTGCATTTGTTTAACTCCGTGAAGCTGTGATTCTTTGCCTGTCTGAAACACCTGATGGTCTAATAAAGAGCTGAATGGCCAATAGTGAGGCAGGAGCAAGAAGAGGCGGGGGCAGAGAGCATAAATAGAATGAGAAACTAAGCAGGAGGAGCAGTGAGAAAACTAGGAGAGGGGGACATCAGGAGCCAGCCACTCAGTCACCCAGCCAGCCAGCCACAGAGTAAGAGGAAAAGTAAGGTTAATATAAGAAAAGCTGGCTAGAAATAAGCCAAGCTAAGGCTGGGCGCTCATAACTAAGAATAAGCCTCTGTGTGTGATTTATTTGGGAGCTGGGTGGTAGATCCCTCAAAAGACCCTCAAAGAGTCCAGAAATCAAGAGTTCACAAGCAACCAACAATAGAGACACCAAGTTCATGAGTATGTCTGCAGGAGATGTACCTAAAACTGACGATCCACTACAGAGATGGAGTCTGAAACTGGGGCTGGAGAGAGGCTTGGTGGTTAAAAGGGCTCTGTGATCGTGTACATCACACTTTTAGTTCCACACCAGGAGGCTCACAACTGCCTACAATTCCAGTTGCATGGAATCCAATGCCTTCCATCCTCTTGTGATCTTGGGACTTGATCAACAGCACTCCGAAGTCAGTGTTTGCTGCTCAGTCCTTGGGGAGATACTGTCATGAACAAGACTCTGCCTTGTTCCTTGTTGCTAGATCCCCAATGCCTGCTGCTCAGCAAACTACTGTTACTAAGAAGACATAAACATTAAATGTTTGTTATGTGAACTACAGACTCTTTCTGAAGGCAGGTTCCAGGCACGAAGAAGCAGGTGACCAAAGAATTTGCTTCTGTAGGAAGTATTTTACAGGTCCTATTCAAAGTCTACCTGTAACTGAGGAAGGGCACTTACAATAGCTGTAGCAGTCATATCTAAAAGTGACACAAGAGGGCGACATGAGCTGCCACAGAGGAGAAAAACCTGGCTTTTCCCATTTCAGAAAGAGGAGGGAAGGATGCTTTCCTTACCTTCCAAGGCATGAGTATTTCCAGGTCAGAGATAACAGAAATGTAGGCAAACACTACTTTCCCCTCGATTTGTCATGAACGAAAAAATGTGAGATTTCTCTGTATTGTTCACTAAGGGATGGCAGTTACTCAATGAAAAGCATTCGTATGTCCCCAGGTCCCCAGAAATCTGTGAGTGCACACAGTGCTCTGTCTGGAGCTGCTCAATGCAAGCTTGTCAGTTCTGACGAGCAGTTAGACTGTGGAGGAATGCCAGAGGGTAAGGTAAGACTGGCTCCATCTTAGGCAGGGTGGCCTGCCTGTCTGCACTCAGTGTCACCTGCTGCTATAAGGGACATTTGGCTTTATCTCACTTGGTATCTTGAGACTGGGATAAAGAATAGTAAATTCATTTTGTACCTTGTACATTTAATTAAAGACGAATACCATTACAATACCGAATCCTACAAATTCAGCTAAGTATCATATTAATATTCCCCCCACACAAAGTACCTTGTCCCCCAGCATACCACTATGCTTTTGTCTGGTTAATTTTCAAGTAAAAGTTCAGCATGGGCTCTGAGGAATGTCTGTCCCTCAGCAGCAAGAGCCGAGTGTGCGTCATGTCTTGGAGCATTTCTACTTTTTCAAGGAAAAAATTCACATGAGTAGAAAAGCACACACACTCTACAAAGGATAAAATATGTGAATGTGAAGGATAAAATGGGAAAGGATGTTAGGGCAACATTGAGAAGAAGGCCCAGTCAAGTTTTCTGTCATCATAGGGCAATCTTGGTTGCTTTGCTGATTTTGTGTGTACTTATGTATCTGTGTATGTTTTTGTATATACAGCCCTGTCTATATGTTTTGAGTTAATGTGGAAACAGAGGAACACATTTAAGATATGTAAAAGATGGTACTTGGTGGTCAACAGGCTTCTTCAGATGGTGTGAGGCAGTTGTCTTCAAGTTCCCAGCAAGCCTAGTATTTTACCCTGTATTCTGTCCTAGCCCAGGGTTTAAGGGCTGAGCTAGCCTGAGGCCTTGTTCCCTGTCCAGCTCCCCTGAGATTTATTCAGGTTTTGCATCAGTCTTTACAATTCTGGATGCCACTCCATGGTTCTTTTCAACTAGTCACCCTGTACTTACCACTGGCATTCTTTCATAGACACGAATGGAAGATAGTCTGTCTGCAAAAGAGCAAAACCAACAATTAGTATTGTTCATGGCTCCTCCACAGCTCCTCCACACACGGGGATTGCAGCTTCTGTACCTGAAGGATTTCCACGGACCTTTTCCATTTTCTCTTTCAGAGACACGATTTGCTTTTCCAATTGGTCATTCAGCTCCATCTGGGTCTCATACCTGGTTTTCCATTCACTGCCTGAATGAAAAAGGGGGGGCACAAGATCACACTAAATGCCACTTATTTGTTCATTAAAATAATACAAATCAGGGCTGGAGATAGTTCAGGTCATAAAGGGTCTGACGTGAGCATGGAGGACCTAGTTCCGATCTCAGCACACACACATAAAAATGAGGAAGACAGAGGAGGGCTTCTGTTACCCCAGAGCTGGGGTAGGAGCAGAGACAGGCAGACCGTGTCAGCTACAATAGCACTGTATTTAACAGGTTTGTTTTTGTTTTTGTTTTGTTTTCACTGAGTTTATGACCTCTGAGTTCAGTAAGTTTTAAGTCTTTAAAATTAGAAAATAAATAAAGAAGATGTGCTGGGCAGTGGTGGCACACACCTTTAATCCCAACACTCTGGAAGCAGATGCAGGCAAATCTCTGTGAGTCTGAGGCCAGCCTGGGCTACAAGAGTTAGTTCCAGGAGAGCCAGGAGTGTTACACAGAGAAACCCTGTCTCAAAAAAAATCAATAAAACAACCCCCCCAAAAATAACAAAGCCAAAACTAACTAAATAAATGAGTATTGTCTGCTGTAAGCTGACTGTGTTACAGTAAAAATAAAGATGTGTCATCACAGAAGCCAAGCATATTGGGCATATTGACCTCTATTCCTCACATGCATAGTGAGTTACCCAACACTTGATACACATATTAGAGAAGAAAGGACTGAACGCTAGGCCATTCCAAGTCTTGTTTTTAGAAATCTGGATGATGAGAAATGTCAAGTGCCCAGTACACAGGAGGACACAGAGAGATTCACACCCCAGAGGCCAAGAGAACAGAGTGTTTCAAAGATAAGTTTCTGATCAATGCTGGACACAGGTCCGGGGTGAGGACGCCCGGGGACTGTTTAGCTTGTGCACAGCATCGCTAGTGACCCTGATTAGGAGTTCCTCGTGACTGGAGGCTGATTTCCTGACTAGTGAACACAATTGTGAATGAGGCAATCAGGAACTCACTGCCGTAAACCTAGTTCATTTTCCACCTCCACCCCTTGTTACAGGGGAAATGTTTGCAAGCCTCAGTAAGCCAATGTTCCTGTCTCCAGATGAAAACCAAACCAAAACAAAAACCTGAGGAGCAAATGTCTTTCCTATTGGCTTGTTCCTGGGGCCTGAGATGACATTCAGATTCAGCTACTACCGGAAACCTCATTTTCTTCATATATGTGCCAATGCCAAGGGGCTTCAAGGGGCCTGTTTTGAAACAGGTTATGTTTGATTGCTCTCTCACCGGTAAATTAACCCATTAACAAGACAGATTAGATTAAATAAGAGAAAGATAAGAAAGTAGGTCACACAGAAAAGCACTGGTTTTTTGTAGTATGTTGCTTCATGGGCGCACTGTAGGGGAAGTCAGCTGAAGGAAAAAAAATGGATTAAAAGAAGTCTGTGCTGTCCCTCAGATGAAGGGAATTCAGCAACTTATCACAGACTGGGGGTGTCTAGAGCAGAAAGGGAAAAGAGGAAGGGTGGGGCCTGGCTCTGAAGTAACATCTGGAGTTAACCATTGGGAGCAGATGGAATTACACGTTCGTGAAGAGCTAACAGGGTTAGGCCAGGCCATCCAGCAGCAGGATAGGAGATAGGGAGCCAGAGGCAGTGAAGTGGGAAGCTTCCTTGGTGGAAGTGTCTTTGGGTCATTGTTCTTTCTCTCTGGAAGAAGAGGGTAAAGGCAGCAGTTGAAAAGAAGCAGGGGAGACAGTTTAGCATGTGGACATTACTCCCACGGTGAGTGTAACCACAGCTGTCATAACCTCAGAAGGTTGACACAGTAATAAAATCCAAAGCTTGAATGCCACAGTCACTATAAATGTGGATTCATTCATGAAGTAGCCTTCTTCACAATGTGTCTCCTTCATGACCCTCTCAGTTTCTCGCCACGGGCTGTGTCCTACTCCTGATTACTCAACATTCTCCCTAAATGGCTTTGTGTTTAGGACACCCATGGCAAACTATATGCACTTTATGCAGTATGTATGTATGTATGTATGTATGTATGTATGTATATATGTATGTATGTGCTTTGTGTGAGTATATTTCATGTGCATGAAGGTACAAGAGGCTAGAAGAGTTCAGTCCCTTGAAAGTATTGTTACAGGTGGTTGGAGCTGCCCCATGTGGGTGCTGTGAGCTAAACTCAGGTCCTCCTAAAGAGCAGGAAGTACCTTAGCTGCTGAACTGTCTCTCCAGGCCAGTGAAGTATATTTTGCAAATGGCTGAAATACTACATGCCACCACACAGGTCACATTGAAAGCTTGATACTATTACCCAGTATGTGCCACTTCATTCACCACAATAGCCACTAGGCATATGAGTCCCACATGTAAACATTTACTGTGTACCTGCATGGTCGCTGTTGAGGCTGGCCTCCAGCTCTACTATCTTATGCCGTATTTCAAGCATCGAGAGCTGCACAACATCCCTGTTAGTGGAAAGATTTTTGTTAACAATAATTCAATAAGAGAAGTGAGAAAACTAATACATAGATTTTTGTTAGTAATAATCAATAAAAAAAATATGTAAGAAAGTGAATGAATGTATAGCCACCCACCCAACTTCAGGACCAAATTATTCTGAAAGACCATTTACTGGAGGCACTGTGGTGAAAATGAAAGCTGATTATTAGTCAGTTCTAGGAGTTAAGATGCACCAAAGTCCAGAATCCCCCAGTAACCAGTATTTGTCTACACTCAAATATGATTCCAATGATGCTGTAACATGCTTCTCAGAATCCAACTAAATATTAGCATGAAGAATGGCTATGGTATAGGTGACAGCAGATAACCCCAAACACAGATGTGGGAGGCACTAATAATACACACAGAGAACAATTTCAAAAGTTGAAAGCACCTCAGAGGTTGTTTAAGACATGAGCGAGCCGCATGTTAGCACAATGCAATATGATGAGAGAATTGTTTGTTCAGTGACTATTTCTGAATGCCCATTGTGCTGAATGGGCTCCACTCCAAAGACAACACAGGGCTGAATGCTCAGTAGCTGACGGTGCTTGCCACAAAGTCTGAGAACCCGAGTTTGATCCCTGGAATCCATACGATGGAAGGGAAACCAAGTTGTCCTCAGACCTGTGTACTGTGACATACTAATGCCAAATACACATAATGAATGTAAAACAAAACAAAAAAGGCACAGTTGAGTGAGCATGTGCACAGGGATGGCAGCTGATGTCCTGGATGCTGATGGAACTAGCTGGGCTAAGAAGCTATGCTGGGTCTGTAGTTACTGGGTGTCAGAGCTGAGATGTGATTCCTTGCAGACTTGCTGTGTCCTGACCGCCTCAGAAACACACGGAGCCTGTACCCAGAATGCTCTCAGTTTGGTATAAGACCAAGAAACAGGTGACTAGCACTGTGATCAGGCTGAAGCCCTTATACTCAGAATAAGGGACTGGGAGGAGAGGAGGGAGGGGGGACTGCAGCCGGGATGTAAAATTAATAAATTAATTAAAAATATATAGAGTTTGAAAAATACTCAGAATACTCGAGGTCCTAAGATGAAATGCTGCATTATTTTCCTCCATACTAAGGACTGAATCCAGAGCCTGTGTATGCTACTCAAGAGCTCTTCTACAGAGCTACATCCTCAGCCCAGGTTTTATCCTGAAACAGTATGTGCAGTGTGCCCTAACTGCCCTCCAACCCTCTTCTACTATGCTGAGTCCCCCCCCCCCCCGCTCTGTGTGTGTGTTTGTGTCTGTCTCTCTGTATGTGTGTGTATGTCTGTGTCTATGTCTCTCTCGTGTCTCTCTCCCCCCTTTGCATTTAAGAGACAGGATACAGCCCCATGGTAGAACTCAGACTTAGCTACAAGCCCCCAACCTCCTCACCTCCACCATGTTCAACAGCATGGAGGGTCCCAGAGCCTATTTCTACAAAAGTGTCCAGATTTCTATGTTGTTTGTTTGTTTGTTTGAGACAGGGTTTCTCTGTGTAGCTTTGTAGACCACTCTGGCCTCAAACTCACAAAGATCCACTTGTCTCTGCCTCCTGAGTGCAGGGATTAAAGGAGTGTGCTACCACTGCCTGAATTAGTGCCCAGATTTCTGAAGGAAATCTTCAAAAGGAACAGAAAATATGAACTTAGTGGAACCATTAAAACCAGTCATTTACTTTCTTCAGCATTATAATTTCTTTGCACTTGACCTACAAAAGCAGGACAACTCGTATTTTCTTGGCTTCCACTAAACAAAAAGGTAAATGGGGACCGTACAGATGGCTCAGCGGTTAAGAGCTTTGGCTACTCCTGCTAAGAACTGGGTTTGGCTCTCAGCACCAACACAGAAGCTCAAAAGCGCCTGTAACTCTAGTTTTAGGGGATCCGGTGCCCTCTATTGGGAACCCTCAGATCTGGTGCCCTCTATTGGGTACCCTGGGAGCTGCACATATCTGTTACACACACACACACACACACACACACACACACACACACACAGACACACACACACACACACACACGAAAGCATGCACATACAATGAACATCTCCATAAACATTGTGAGCCCTGCATTAACCCCATCCACACACAGGAGCCTCCTCGTACACATTGGAGCTCCTGCACTGCAGGTCACGAGAAGCATAGCGTAGAGATGGAGCCCACAAGACCCACTCACTTCATGTGGATCTCCTCCAGCAGCTCCAGCTTCAGCCGGTCTGTGCTCACCCCCTCGAAAGTGTCTCCGCGGCCCTCTCCCATCGCCGCAGTTTAGAGACCTCCCGCGCCCTTCCCCTGCGCACCACCTAGAGCTTAAGATGTGCGGAGGCCTCAGAATCCCAGAAGAAAAATGCGTTGCCAGGAGCCATAGCATGACGTCATAGGGTGCCGCTCATGTCTGCAGGTCCTGGTGTGAGCTAGGTGTAAAACAGTCTGGGCCTGGTCCAGTGGGCTGTGTCTGGGATACAGATGTCCAGAACATCCAACTTTTTCTGTCCCGCTTCTGATTTTGCTTTCCTGGACACTGCCCTGTGCCTTGCTAGGGATGATGATGGATTAAGAGTGCCTGCACCTTCCTTTGCTTCAGGGCAGTGGGTTCAGCTTTGCAGAGATAGTTTTAACTTTGATGATTGTGAGCTTTCAGGCCAAGAAATTCTGCCTTGGAGTTTAGGCAGTTAGGCACTGACATGTTAATCACATTCACATTCCACTCTTGAAACATCTTGGTTTTAACATATTCTGCCTTCTCCCTTATCTTTTATCAGGAAGATGATAGGTTTTTGCCATGGATTGTGCCCATAAAAAATCATCTTGAAATATAATCTCTCAGACGATATTAAGGGCTGGGTCCAGTCAAGAAGCGATGGGAGGGGCTGGAGAGATGGTGCAGCCGATATGAGCACCCGAGCTGTTAGAAATGGATCCAGGGTCCCAAGAAAATGACAAAAGTAACCCAGTAAGGCAGAATGGTCATATCATCAGAAAAGCACACTCAGTAATGGGACCATTGGGTTTATTTCCACCACAAAACCTCAAGGGGTCATGTGCAGCATTTTGAGCGGTCAGACCTGGGCCTCATACTCCCATGCTGTGGGTTAGGGCACAAGTGATAAACTGTAACTGAGAACAGAAGGCAACCTGTCGGCATGTATTTTGACTTCAAGAAGTATTGACCCTAGAGGATTCAGATTTCTGCCAAGTGACTTCTTTACCACTTTTTAAAATAAGAGTTTTGTCTGATTTAATTCTTTGACAGAAAAGAGTACATTTTATTTGTCTTTCTCACATAGCTCTTGAGGACTCTGGGCACTTGGTTCCCTTCACTCACAGTGGATACTGGACCATCCAACTTCCTTTTCTGGTCTCTGCAGGCACTGCATGAGGGCAAAATATATCAACACATTTCAATTGACCAACACAGATCAACACTGGATCTTCATCCTCATGAGTAATCCTGTAGGTTTATGGGTTTGTGCATTATCTAAACTCCAGTTTGTCTGGGGTATCTCTTCTCCCTGGCTTACCCTTTTGGGTGCTCTGCACCCATCTTGGACATTGGATTAAAGGTATGTGCCACTATTGCCTGGCTACATCTGTGTTTTTTCTCCTCTGTAATGACAGCTGCATTCCTGGAACTCCATGAAGAAATGAAGAACCTGCAGGCCGCTTGGCCAATTAGAGAGGCTCTACTCCTCAGCAATTGCACTTGCTGATATAGTCTTGGGCAAAGGACAGCCTGTGGCTCTTGTAACTGTCGGTAGCTCCCTGGGCTCTGTGTCTTTCCTTTACTTCCAGTGTCTTCTTAACCACCCTCACTCTAGGAGGAAAGCAGCTGCATGACATGCTATAGTGACATAGCTCCTCAGGCTGTGCAATGTATAAAGACTAATGTCTCGTCACCAATCTGGCTGGCCCTCTGGAAGCACAAGCTTAAGATAAAGGTAGGTTCTCCATTAGTTCTGTTCCTAGAGGGCCTGGTCTTGACTTCCAAGATGGTGTACTGTTGCTTTGTCGATACATAGTACAAGGCTTCTTCCAACATGGAAAATAAGCACAAGGCCAGAAAAGGGGCCTTACTAACTTCCTCCAGCTCTTTCATAAGGCCCTAATCCCAGCTGTAAGCACAAAGGCTCTGTGGCCTAACCACCCTCTAAAGGTCCACCCTCTTGATACATTTGTACTATATCAAGTTTCAAAGTGAAATCTGGGAATGCAAGTACACAAACCATAGTAGGCCTCTAGACAATGAAAACTAGGCAAGGGAGATGTGATTAATTTTGTGAACTATGGTGAACACTGATATTTGGTGTTCTGTGAGATAGGATGGATATTTGTGGGCTGGAGGGCCACTTAGTGGCTTAGAGCACTGGATGCTCTTGCAGAGGTCTGGGATTTAATTCTCAGCACACAGAGCAGGTCACAACTGCTTGCAATTCCAGCTCCAAGGGATGTGATGTTCTCTTCTGGTCTTCACAGATATTGTAAAAAACATGGTACACATAAAGACATGTACACACACATAAATAAAATAATATTAATAACGGATACGCAATCTAAGTACCTGGCTCCTGACAAAGCTCTGAAACCCCTGGGGAGTCATAGAACATCTTTGATTGTTCATAATTCCCCTTTAAGCACACATGAGAAGTTTAATATCATATAGATGATGGGGCTGGTTGCCATAACTAATCAATCACGTAGTGAGTAAGTTGGGACTTTTGGCTCTGTCCTTTGATGCTTGACCTCAATGGGAATAAATACAAGACTGGAACTGAATTAATCTCCAATAGCCAATTATTTAATTACGCCTGTGTAACTGGTCTCCTTAAAGACCTTGAATGGTAAGGTTTGGAGAGCAAATTCACAAATCTGGTGTGGTTTGCTCCAACTCCCTGGAGATGAAGAGTCGTCTTCTTCAGTTTAAGTCAGGAACTTGGCACACTTTCTGTAAAGAGGTCAGCACTTTCAGTTTGGGGTCCTATATTCTTACAACAGTTGATGCATTGACAAAAGTAGCCATAGTGTAACACAAATGAGTGTAACTGCCCCAATAAAAAGTGATTTTGGAAGCTGAAGGGCTTCCAACAGGACTCAGCAACACGTGTGCTGAACTTCCAACCTTCTCCAACCTTCCCCCTCACAAGGAAGCCAGATACCCTTTCATGTGGGAAAGGACCAATCAGAAGTCAGTTGGCTGGCTCTGCATTTTCTTTATAGCAACAGTGAGGTGCAGAGCATAGCAACCGCTTTGGGAGAGCCTATAGACCATACCAACCTGTTAACCAATCAACACAGGACAGGTTGTTTAAGCCCAGAAGTGCACCAATCCTGAGACTGTTGGGACCCCCCTTGATATTCCCCAATATAGCCTCTGCCCCTCAGCCCCTCCAGGTCCTTCTCACCCTACCCACTGTGTTGGTCTGATGGATGGAGAAACCTAATTAATATAGTTAACTTATTTAACAATAAAAGACTCTTTGCTTTTGCATCAGAATGGGTTTTTGGTGATTTTGGGGTTCAGAATTTGGGCACAACAGAAGCAAGTGGCTAGGGATCTGGTCAGTGGAATGTGCTTGCCTATCTTTGGCCTAAGGTAGCTTTCAACCAAGGCCCTACTACTTGTCATTCTGTTTCTGAAACAAAAGCAGAGACTGGCTGGACAGTATTTACCAATACATTTCAACAACTGCTACATGTCCTTAGCCTATTGTAGTGAGATATTCACTTTGTCTGCACCTGTGGCACTGACCACGCCCATTGGGGGTGGGGACAGGGGTTGATGTTACCTGGGGGACCTAGGTCTGGGAAAGGGACCCCAGAGCACACTGTTGCTTGCAGCATGGGGACAGAAGAACATTTGGAGGCATCCTTGGGATCAGGAACCTGCTGGTGTTCATCTGTCTGTGTTGTGAGTTATTTCTCCCTGAATAAATATCTATTCAGCCTATTTGTTTTTCCTGATCCTTATTAAACCACAATACCCTGTGAGAAAAAAAATCCCCACTTGTTATGAATTCCTGAAATAGAAGCCCAATGAATAATGTGAGGTCCAGCAATTCAGACACCATTTTATTCTCAAAGCACATTCATTACCCAATTTCAAATGAAATCTATAAACTAGCCAATTACAGGTTCAGAAATGATTACAATAAACTGTAGCTATAAAAACCAATGTCAACCTTTAAAAAAAATCAACAAAAAATTAAAATAGCCATTGAGTACTTAATTGCATATTTGTAGCTTTAAAAAAAATCATAAAATGTCCATCCTGTCTTCTGCTGAAGTGGGGGCTATCCACCAAAGGATTCCATATTCTTTACCTTGATAGGTATAGGTTCCTCCCTTTTAAATCACCTACTGGCTTTTAGCATAAACTCCAATGACTGAGTAAAAATATATTACTACCACTAAATGCAATGTTTATGTTTTACTTTCTATAAGTTTAGAAAAAAACTTACAGAAGCAGAAATGGAAAAGTGATTTCTTAAAGCCAATAACAATTATTTCAAATTTTAATAGAATGCCAATCATACTTCAAAATCTCCTAGTCTATACCACACTCTTCCAGGCTTGGGGTACATGGGGGGGGGGAGGAGCTGAAGAGACTGTAAAAGTCAGAAGTCCAGAAGACTGGATGAACCGACATCTTCTGGATATGACAGGACCCCAGCACTTGCAAATTCACAGCAGCAGAGGGAGACTGCCTCCCCAAAATAAACCAGTCAACATCCCAGCATGGGCCTGGTCTCATCCCCCAGCCCTCACTAAGGAGCTATTGACAGTTAATGGCTTCTGGTGAGGGACAGCCAGTTTTCTTTAGGGGTATGGTTCCTGGCAGATGAACCATGCTCCAGTGGATGGCCCCCACCCTTGAGCATATGGGCAGCACAAATTAGATTATTCAGTGGGTTATTTAAAACTTAAGAACATGAAGTTGGGAGGAGGGATAGAGGTGGACCCAGGAGGAGTTAGGGGGAGAATGTAATCAAAACACATTTCATCCATGTACAAAATTCTCAAAGAATTAATAAAAATCATTCTAAGAAACATTTTCTTCAGTTTAAATCAAAAGGCCATTTTGGTTCCTAGTAGGCACGAGATCTAGCAAATAAGAGATAACATTACAGAAATGCATGGCGCTTCCATGGCCAGGCTCTTTCCTGTATAAGAAAGACTTCTAAAATGTTATCTGAGAACATGCTTTAAGATCATGGTTTATTTAGCTTATATGCTGAAAATTCTGTTGGGCATCTATTCAAAGATCCACAATTAGTGCAAAAAAAAAGAGGAGATGACATGAAGCCATTCTTTCCCAGCATAAACAGAATTCATGTGGCTGTGAAATTGTGTGTATAGTTTCCTGCCTTGCTTTCTGAAAGCTAGCACATACAAAAATAGATTGACATTAGGTTTTAGTCACATATATTATAAGCTTTATTTTAACTGCAAAAATATTTAAGCCACACTTAAGGGAAAATAAACTTACTGAGACTATAAACTGCATACTTCTAGAGGCCAGATGTAAGAATACTGATTATTTTTCTTGTAAGTGGACACATGCCCCAAACTTCTGACAGTCATTTTGCAGGGATGAATACACAGAAAACACTGCTCCAGTGTAGAAAGTCCACATCTGCTGCTCCACACTCTTCCATCTGGTAAGGCTTTGGTGTAGATTACTCCCAGAATGCCTGTTATTTATCTTTCCTCTTTGCCCCTTTCTTCTCTTCCTCCGTCTGTTCTTCTGTGTTTCTGCTCACATCTGTGCTTGCTGCTCCTCCTTGGCCTTCCTTCTGAGAGCCGTCAATGATCTGATAGTCCTCAAGGAGGGTGTGCCCCGTCTGCTTTGCAGTTTTCTTCACCATGGCTTTGATGCCAATGTTGTCAATATTGTAGGCAGTGAGGCCAACGTTGATAGCAGAGTCCACTGCGTCATGTGCAGCTTCTCCTGCATTGTGCCCATACCTAAATAAATAAATAAATAAATAAATAAATAAATAAATAAATAAGGCAAGAATGTAACAATGACACACACCATATTTCTGAAAACATTCTGAAATCAATAGTGATTTATTATATGACTTCTGTGCCATTCTTGAAAGCAAAACTGAAGCTTAGGTTTCAATTTAGTAAAAGAAGACATGGGAGAGAATAAAAACCAGTTACAAAGCTGTACCTCTCCTTTTAGCAATAAATAAATAAATAAATAAATAAATAAAGTGTGTGAAGATAAAAGACTAGCTAGACTAGTAATAAAAATGGTGAAAAAAACCCTAAATGTAACCATTGTTAACCATTTATTTAAATTTCCACTTCTCTTCCGAAAGTAATAAAGTAATAAATGTAGATGCTCCTTAACCAACAAGCATCTACTACCTAACCTCCGGCATCACAAATACCCTTAAACCATGAGCACCCGAGGGACACAGAACCTCCAGCATCACAAATACCCTTAAACCATGAGCATCTATCTATAGGACATGGAAACTCCAGCATCACAAATGCTCCTTAACCCACAAGCATTTGGTCTGCCTTTAAGCAGAGACCCTGAGACATTCTCCTGGCACCCCATTCCACTGCCAACTCACTGGCTGTTTTGCTATCTTTAAAACCCACTAAATCACAGAAGCTCAGGACCTCTGTTCTGTTTGCTCTCTGTCTAGACACGTCACGGCTCAAGGCCTCACCTGCCTTGTACTCAATGCTGCCTTCTTAGTTCTAACCTGCTTAGATGGCATTGGTCCATGCACCCCACTTCAATGACAAACAAGTCTATCGACTGACCTTTCTTCCTCCATAGCTCACCATTGTCTATACAGCCTTGAATGTATTAATGACAACTGTTTACATCTTTGTTTATTTCGCTATCATATAAACCCCACTGCAGAAGGAATTCTGCTTTGTTCACAAATGTACCCTATACTTCTGGGTGTCTGGCATCCAGTAAGTGTTTAATGAATGAATGATATGATATGATCAGTTGTGGCATCTCGTTCCTCTCTTTCTTTACTCCTCCTCCTCCACAGCCCTCCTTCCTGCATGGCCCAGGTTGATTGCAAGCTCAACCCTCTAGCCTCTGCCTTCTATTGCTGAGATTACATGCAGGTAAATCTGACCTGTCTCAGATTCTTCACCCAGCACGGAGCAGGTCACTGACAGACAATGGCACACCCATGTTTATCACTGCTTTTTGTAGTAGTCAGGTGCCCATTATTGGATGAATGGAGAAACAAAAGTGAAAAGATAAAGAAAACTAATGAGCTATAAACACAATCTAGCTTAGTCTAGCAACAAGGGAACGAACTGCTGTTAGAAGGGAAGTGAGGAGAGCCATATTCAGTGAGGGAAGCCAGTCGCACAAAGACGGCTGTTGAATGGTTTCTCTTACACATGGATCCTGAAGTGGGTGAAGAATTCAAGAGTGAAAAGTAGAGTCTGTTAGGGATATGGAAGAAAACGGGGACAGGAAGGTCAATACAGGGGTCTATTATATGGATGCATGGAAATGTCATAATGAAATTTACTGCTATGCCAATTAATATACAGTAATGAAAATGCACAGTAAAATACATGAGGAGCCAAAACAAGTCTACACAAGTACTTAATATTGACAATGCTAGTAAAGTCTTGAACACTGTGTCTCTGAGAAAGTAAATCTGAACTATATGAGGAGGGTACCACAATACCCCTTCCTTACCCTGCCCTGATGACAGGGTTTGAGAAGTCAGCAGTCAGTTCTCTTTTTCCATCCTCCTGCAGTATGGAGTTCAAGTGGCCAGGCCAGGCACTGAGGGTCAGCCCTGGACATTTGATAAGAACACTGCTCTGCTTTTTGCTTTAAGGAAATCTACTGCCAGCCTGCCTGACCAGAATAGGCTTGCGACCCCCTGGCTTTTCCAACCCAGTGCTGTAAGTCTACGGTCATCTTACTGTGGCCTGGATGGCTTCCCCCCAGGTCTTTCCTTAGCATGGAATTAATAATTACAACCACTAGACCCATAACCAGCCAAAACCTATCTCAGAACCATCTTGGAATGGGGACTTACTCATTAGGCACAAGACAGAAACACTTCCTGTAACTGCTTTCTGCAACCCCTCAGCATTGTGAAGGATTGGCTGCCCTGTAAAGAGACACTGCAGCCAAGGGAACTCTCAGTAGATCCACCAACTATGACTCAATGAAAGAATGAAATGTGAGCTTCAGCATGGAAAAATTATCATAACCCTCGGACAAGGATAACCAGGAAATCTTTAAAGTCAAGTCTGATAAGATTCAGCAGAGCATATCCTGGAGGATACTTTGCAGCACTGTGGGGTCACACAGAAATGATGCTGAGTTTAGCTATGAACAGGAAGTCGACCAGATGTATAAATGTTCAACCCTGAATTGCTGGAATGCCCTTGCTCAGCAGTTTGATGCCTCTCATGGAATGTGATATTTCTGTGTGGAATGCACTTGTAAAAGCTACTGATGAGTTAAATCAGTGTCTGTGTCTCTTGACTGCTTGTTCTTCAAGCTGTGACAACTGCTACAGTGTGGAAAACTCATACCAAGCTGGGAGTCAGGAAATGACATCAAACACTACTATGCAAGCAACTGGCCATAAGACCATAGCCAACTCTCCCTGTCTTTGTACTTCAATCTCTCCCTGCCCTCTCTCCTTCTGTATGTGTGTGTGTGTGTGTGTGTGTGTGTGTGTGTGTGTGTGTGTGTGTGTGTACACTTAGGAAATTCCAAAGTACATGGCTTTCAGTTACTGTTTATTTTTTAATATGTCCTCATTTATCAGCTTTAATATTTCTTACACACAAGTCTCCTTTTAAAGACATCTATTTTTCTCTTCCTAGATAATCACTCAGCACTTTACTGCATTTCAACTCAAAATTTGATGCATGCATTGCTCAAAACTCCTCAAGAGCATGTCTATGGTTAAGAACCTAAAGCTTAGTCTTGCTTTTTGACTTCTTAGTAAATGAGAGCTTCAGTTACACCTCATGGACAAACACCACAACTGGAGGAAAACAAAGTGACTGTGAAGATGTCCTACGTCAGAGGGCCTAATGTGTGATTTGAATCAGAATTGTTCAGATACACCCAATGTGTTCACTTATGTCAACAGGGACAGAACACTGCAGTGAGTCAACATCTTGGGATTAGTGCTTCAGTATGACAATGGTCACATCAATCAAGCCATACGCAGCCATCAATACTATGCTTAGAAATAGTGACTTGAAATATTTACAGGAGAAACAGATCTTATTCACCTATTTATTAAAAGGAGGCAGGCTGTGGCTAGTTTAGGAAGGCCATGTAGGTGAAGCTAAGGATTTTAAGTTTCTCATGAGAGCAATGGACGAAAAAAATAAGCCAAGGAATGAAATGGTCTAATGCATCTTTCCACAAATCCCTCTGAGTACAGTGGGAATACAAGGCAGGAAACAAGCTGTGTGCCAGACAAGACGGGTGCTTGTGAGGAGGGAACACACAGGAGCGGGGTCTATAATGGTATGTGACTGAGCCTAGAGAATAGGACAAAAAGTAGAATTGACATTGTTGGTGCAGATTTAAATAACTAAATTAAATGAAGAAATTTAGAAATAGCTCTTTTAGTCTCCCATTCTGTCACTGAGCTGTTGCTGGCTCAATTGATATGCTTTGCCTTCTCAGGTGCAAAATCTGAAACACTGGATCCAAGTCCCTAATCTCCCATGGCCTCTCCCTTCTTCCCAAGATTCTAACAGCATAAATTAAATCGCTCTTATAGTCACAAGTTCAATGCTGGGCAACCCTGCTTTACTTATTCACACATTGTATCTCTGTAGAAAATAATATGACACTAATACACAGCATCACAGGCCTGAATTCACTCAAGACCATTGTTAAAATACTGTGGGTTTGAATAAAAAGGGTTCCTATAGGCTCATAGGGAGTGGCACTATTGAGAGGTGTGGTCTTACTGAAGAAGTATGTCACTGGGCATGGGCTTAGGGGTTTCAGAAACCCAAGCCAGGCCCAGGGTCACTGTTTCTTCCTGCTGCCTGCTGATCCAAATGTAGAACTCTCAGATCTTTCTCCAGCATCCTGTCTGCCTGCATGCTGCCATGCTTCTCACCATGACGATAATAGTCTAAACCTCTAAAACTCTAAGCAAGCCCCAATTTAAGAGTTGCTGTGGTTATGGTGCCTCCTCACAGAAATAAAACCCTAAGATAAGTACCTTGTTCATCACACCAATCTCCTCACTAATGATCCACATGGTTTAGAAAAAAATCTAACAAACACTTTCACTTTCCAGTATCTGTGCTAAGAAATGGCAATCATAATTTACTCTGTATTTGTTTTCAGCTGTCTGAATAAACCTGACACCCAAGCTGATTTGTTATGTTGCTTTGAATCAAAGGCATACCCCACAATGAAAGAACAAAACAATTTAGGACTGAAATTAAATTTAGTACTACCTAATCTGAAAGCAATCTAAATAACAGCAGACTGATGGGTCCAGAAATCAGTCCAGAGCACAGGAAATGTACGAGTGGCCCACCAGATGCACAGGTGGCTTGGCACTCTTCCCTGAGTGTATGCAGAGCACGGGACATGGTGACAGAGACTTGGTGTATACCACAGCTCCACCACTGGACTAAGAATGTAAACTCTTTAACTTCTAATGTTTTGATTTCCTTCCACAGTTTCCTTATAAAACTGTGATAAAAATGTTAAAATGAAATAACATATGAGAAACCCTCAACACAGTCCAAATACATTAAGTAAAAACTCAACTAGTATCACTATTAATATTACATTTTGCATATGCATATTGCATGCATGTCTGCATATGCATGTGTGTGGAGGCCTGAAGCTGATCTGTTCTTTGATCACTCTCCACTTTATTAATTGAGGCAGGGTCTCTCACTGAACCCAGAGATCTCCAATTCCATCTTGCTGGACTGCTTGTCCAGGAAATCCATCTCTGCTGTTCCCCTTGCAGGGGGCTGCCATGCCTGTCTGTTTTTATGTTAGTTTGGGGATGTGAACTCCAGTTCTCAGGCTTATAAGGCAAGAACTTTAGCCACTGAGCCATCTCTCAAGCCCTACTGCTCCTTACTTCACAAATACATAGTAAGATCTGAACTAATTTTAAGCTAAGCAAACAACTCGGGTCCTACTAGATTTAGTTTTTAGACCATGATTTCTCTGATTCAGACAGAAGGAAAACAGAACATGACCATGCACTTGTGAAATGTCACACTCCATGCACTTGTGAAATGTCACACTGAAACTCAGCTCTGTATAATACATACATAAAAACCCTAAGTTCAAGCAAAGAAGATACCCAAAAGCCAGCGTTTTAATTAAATCTGTCCTTTAATAACACTGCCAAAGTATTGGCTCCTCAAAGTGTTTGGAACCAGGTATACCCTGCCACCTTTGGCCTAGTTTAAACTTTTAGTCTTTTTAGCTTGTGGTAATGTAGTTGATTTGTTCTGCTCACTGACTCGGCTCCACAAGCTCCACTCCACAACTGCTGACCATAACAAACCCTAAGGGCTGACACCAGCGTCCTGTGAGTGACTTCTCCTTTCAGTTTCTCTCCTCAGCCATCTCTCGCCTCCACCCAAAGCCAAAGGCCCATGGGTCTCAGTAAGGTCACAGGCCCTCTTCCTTCTCCTCCTGGTGCCCGCCTTCTGACTGAGGCCCTCGCTGCCCGCACACTGTGCCTGCGCTCTGGCTGTGACCCTGTGCCAGCACACTGCGTATCTGGAGAGTCAGGCTTCTAACTGCCCATATTTCACTGTGCCAGTCCCACTGTGTCTCACCAGTACACCAGTCAAGAAACGAGACACAGATCCAAGGGGCTTCCTGTGACAAAGACAACAGGCTATGAGCTGGACACGGGCTTTAGGTCATCTGCCAGGGTGAAGGGGTGAGTACGTCTGACAGCAGCCAGCAGGGCACCCTGAAGTCAGTGCTCTCCAGAGATATCAGAGCCAAAGCAGACAGAGAACGCACCACCAACTATCAGATAAGCTGTACCAATCCACTTCTGTCCTGTCCACTCAACGCATGAAACAGATGAGGCCTCTAGTCTAACATAAATGTGAAGTGGTAATCATAACTTAGCAGTCATGGTGCATGCATGAGCGAACTAATACACAGCCTCCAATCCAATCAAGTCTTGGTTTTTTCCTTCAAGCAAACACTACTGTCAAAATTATGTAGTTAAAAATTAAGCATTCTTTGCACTAATGAACGTTTGTAATAATTAGTAACATAAGCCAAAGCTGCAGGAGTTCTATCAGCTTGCTTAACATTTTTCCCTATTTAGGAAACAGTGAGTGAAAAAACTATGCTCATCAGAAATTTAACAAAAAGTAAGTACATAAATCTTAGCCATGATGGAATGAGTTGGTGATACAGGACATTTACTGATTCTCTAAAATGAAGCTACACTTACTTGTATCTGACGGTTTGTACAGTTTCTGCAGACACATTGTTGACGATGCATTTAGCCGCACACTCCAATCCCTGCCAGACAGTTGAAAATCCTGTGAATGTATTTAAAAGTCAGTATCATTCAAAGTACATAGCCTGCCTGAGTTCCTCAGGTAGGTCAGTGCCCTCTGAGAAATAAAAACAAAAGAACAAAAAAACCAAAACAACAACAACAACAAAAACAAACCCAGGGCCTTCGGTTACCTTGAACACTACTTGCTGCTACAACCATGGCACCATCGAGAGTGGATCTCCCATCTTTGTCTCTCTTGAGAGACTCTGGAACGAGTTTGCTTCCATGCTTCTTGACATGTGGAGCAAGCTCTTTGCCAACGCAATTTGCTACTGTGCAGACGCCATCAACTAGCAACCATAGAGAAAAGATGCAGAGAAATTGCTCTCCTGATTTCACCACCCACATCAAGCCAGTCCCCAAGCGGCTATCCACAATTGCTTTTCTGTATGGCGGTTACTGCCTCTGTTAACTGTGTTTGTTGTGTCTACGGAAACCCTGCCCCTTGGACAGACTTCCACTTTTACTTTTCTGATTCAAAGACTTGTCAAAACAAAAACAAACAAACAAACAAACAAACAAAGATAATCTTAGTGAATTAAATGGAAGTCTTGGGCTGTGATTCTCAAGATTCTCAAGTGTCCTGGGGATTCAGACACAGACTGCTGCCTTGCAGGGTTACAGGTTTAACTGTGGGGGAGGAGGAACTGCTTCATTCTCTTCCCTTGTGAGACTGAGCTGTGCGCCAGCATGCAGCCTGGTAGCCTGGTGTGGAGCAATGGCACAGTTTTGAGTTAGTTAGCCTGGACAAAGCACAATGGCACAGTTCTGAGTTAGTTAGCCTGGAGGAAGCTCAATGGCACAGTTCTGAGTTAGTTAGCCTGGAGGAAGCACTGGCACTTACCTAGGAACTGGCTGACTTTTGCTGCTCCTCCAGTTGCCTGCTTTGCTATGTAGAGGCCCTTGGTGACAGCTGGACTCACTTCCACTGGTTTTTCTTCAGGTTGAATGCGCTCTCGGAGTTTAGAAGCACCTTTTTGGATTGCTTTTCCAGTAAATTCAGCACCTTTGACTAAGCCCCAGCTCACCCAGGACGCACCTTTTACAGTGGAAATTTCAAATTGCAGAAATTAGGGCCAGTTATACCTTTAAGTTCTTTAATAACATGAACAGAAAACAAAGCTCAGTAGTTGATCCCAAAAGGGCCATGAATATGCCAACTGTATACCTACAGCTTCTTCCTGAAATAAATCTTTCTCTAGGGAAAACAAGATTTATTTGTATTTTATGTGTGCTTTGCACCAATGTGTGTACACCATGTGCATGCAGTACCCAAAGTGGCCACAAGAGGGTGGAAGATCCCCTGGAACTGAAGTTATAGGTGGTTGTGAGCCACTATGAGGATGCTGGGAACTAAACCCAGGTCCTCTGCAAGGTTGCCAGGGCTCTTAACCCCTCAGTCATCTATGTGGTCTGACTGCAGCCCTTTCTAACTATGCTTTTTACTTAGGTCACACATCTTTCTGGACCAGAACCCTGCATTCCTCTGGACTGTATCACAATGTGCAGGAATCTGCTACTGATCACACTTTTCTATGATCAGATCCTGATGTTGAATTCTGAATTGAGGTCATTGAGGCAGTATCTGGCAGGAGGAATGAAGCACTCTTGTCCTTTCTACCTTAGTTTAAGGCAACATTGCCCTTGTGAAATCCTGAGAAAGACTACTCAAGCCAGAAACCAAAGAACCTGTTGTGAAGACTCTTGCTTGCTTTAGGCTCAAGCATTCATTGGGGAGATCCTGTTCTCTCAATCCTATGCTCCACTCCGTGGGACTCAATTCCTTTCGGCATGCTGCATCCAATGACAGAATTATGAGCACACTGGAAGAGATGGGAGAGCCTGGCCTACAGCTGTCTTGTGGCACCAGCTCATCCTTAGCTTTACTAATGCTTCCCACAGCCTGAACCAGAGAAGCTGTTGCCACAGAGACATCAAGATAGCGGAGCCTTGTGTGGGAGGGAAGGACAACGTGGAAAAGGAGCTGGAGGAGCACAGAGGAGCAAGGGGAGCACCTCCTACTTTCCAGAGGCCGTGCAGTTCAATCTCCCTTAAAAACAGCTCCAGAACAAAAGGCTCCTAAACTCTAAGTTCATTCTCTCTAGATCTGCAGCAGAAAACACTGCAAGGTCACATGAAAATCACAGCTATTTATTCAAAGTATCAACAGTTCAAAGTTATAGTAACTAATTAGAAGACTTTCTTTTTCTTATCTCACTCAATCCCCTCTCAGTCTCTTACTCAAAGGCCACACAGGGAGCAGTGTTGGCAGCGGACCAGCTACCACCCAGGTGAGGAGACTCCCATGAGAACAAAGGCCTGAGGATGTCCATCCTAAAATGGGGGGGGGGCACAACTAGCAGTTAAGAGAATGCTACTCTTCTAAAAGACCTGAATTTGGTACCTAGTACCCATGCCTGGCAACTTGAAACCACCTCTAACTCTTGCTCCAGGACATCTGATGCCCTCTTGCACCTCCAAGGATATTGCATCCACATGCGTGCACACACACACAGCATATACATAAATAAAAACAATTCCTTTTTTTAAAAAATGTGTGTGTCTAGAATTCCTGACTTAGAGGTGGAAAAGTTGGGAAATAAAGTTTTTTTTTTTTTTTTTTAACCAGAATTTGAAGAACCAAGACTGACAAAAATCACAAAATAAGAAGCAATAGAACAAATGAGTCTATAATTGGGATTATATGAAACTATAAGAAACCAAAAGGAATATTCCTTTGTGACTATGAAAAATAAATGGAAATAAGATGTATGAAAAGTCATTGCTCTAAGGGAAGCCAGACTTGGATACTAAGCAAGAGCACGATACAGAGAGACAGTGTGAAGCCAGAGACACCATTACCAATGGTAAACATGGTTTCATGGCAGCGCCTTGGATCCTTTATGCACATATATATGGAGATAAATATCCATTATTTCTAGTCACAGCTGCATGGGGGGCCCTCAGCAGTGTTGACATGACAGACAGAAAACAACAAACAATTGCTGAGTGAACGAAAGGCTGGTGGTGACTGACTTTATCTGAGCCAAAGCCAAACACTACAGTTTCTGGGCCATCATTGACTTTCATTGACTAAGAAAAATCAACCATTTGTACTTGTACTGAAATAGAAAACTCAAATCATGGCTTCCTCCTCTGGCAGAAGGGAGCTGAGACCTGACGGGGAAACACATCTGACACCCTGATAGGCTTTCAATTATTTTATCATAAGAAATACTTTTAGAATACTGATGTCACTACATTTGGGCTTTGATAGTCAATAACTAGATAAAGGGATGCAATGGCATATGAGGGGCTACCGAGCTCCCAGTCACATGTCATGAGTTTCTCCTGTTTTATGTGACCTACCAAGCCTGTACGTGGCCTGTGTTAGTACCCCATCACCCTGAAGTCCATCAAATTATTAGTTGTGTGAATGCAGCGGAGTTCTCTGTGCCTGAAGGCTGCGTGAGGTCAGGGTGCTGCTGAGAAGTACTGTGGACCTAACAGACGGGAACTTAGGTCAAGCCTTATTACCTCAGAGGGAAGTATGGGACCTCCGCCCCTGCTGCTGCTCCTTGGCTGGCTTCTCATCTCCTCCTGTCTGTCAGTCTTACCAGAGGCACCCACCCATGGACTGTCACCTCCTGAACCATGAGGCAGGCATCCTCTGGTGTTCTGCTGCAGCAGCAGAAAGCTACTACACTTCTAAATACGCACAAGCAATTTTTCATTCTCTTGGAAGGTACTTTAGACTTTGTTGCTGTAACAAACACTGCAGAACTGTGGTTCATAAGCAGAAGAGGTTGGCTTCTTGTGGCCTGAGATTGGAAAGCCCATGACAGAGGTGCTGGTGAGGCATCCCTGAGGACACCTGAAGCAAGGCAGTCCCCCAGGCTCCTTCACTTGCAAAGGCTCCTCCCTTACAACCCAGGTGCTGCTCAAAGATCTCACCATCTATTTTGTGACTTTGGGGGTTGACACTTCAATATGGGGGTCATAGAGGAAACAAACCTCAGAACATGGTACTGAGTAAAGGGGAAAAAGGATGAGCACTCAAAAGACAGGACTATAATTTATACTCACATCTCTTTGTTAGCTGAGGGATCTGGGAAGAGCATACACTTACACAGAAATGGAGCCCTTCTAAGAAGCCCCGCCCATCTGTCAGTATTTCTTATCAGTTATTTAACATACACAAATCTATAAGTAACACTGTTACTGGTTTAAGGTGTGACACTATTGGGGATAATGAACAGCCCTGTGATACCTGACAGAATGTTGTGGGCCACTTTCTCACTCCATTCTGGTAGTTCTTTCGATTTTGTTTCTGCAGTTGGCTCACAGGGTACAATCTGACTCAAATTAACTTCTTCAGCTGAAGAATCTTTAGTCTAAACAGTAAAAATGTTTCAAAATGTAAAGGTTAGTGAAGTACAAGGGAAACTGAAAGCATTATATACTAAACTATCAACAAACACTAGCTGAGGTTAGTGAAAACATCTACCTTGCTAATAAAAAAAAGAAAACCAGAATTATTACAAAACTGAAAAGGATCTGGTCTTAAACACGCTCCCTCTAGTGAGAAAGATGCACCTTAGTAAACTGGTTTTGATAGAAGAAAAAGTTCTATTTGAAACCTGAATATCTAGATACACAATGGCCTGCCATTCCACTTAGAATTGGGAACACCAGCACTTCACAGAGAGCTTCAAAGATACTGGGAACACCAGCACTTCATAGATAGCTACAAAGATATTGGCCAACACCCAAACTCAGAGCCAAGTTCACCCATTCTAAGAACCCATGGACAGGATAGCCATAGGCCTCAAACTGTCATAAAATAACTTGAAAAAAAAAAAAAAAAAAAAAACAAAGGTTTTCTATGCCCAACAGATTAAAAAGGACTTGATGTAAAATGTACAAATAAATGGATTGTGGAATTTACACACACACACACACACACAGACAGACAGACAGACAGACACACACACACACAGAGAGAGAGAGAGAGAGAGAGAGAGAGAGAGAGAGAGAGAAAGAGAGAGAAAACAAAACAAAACAAAACAAAAAAATTTACTGGAGAAGAGCTCTACCTGCCATTAAAATGCAAAGACAATCTGTTGTATCACTAGGGTCAATGTCTCCAACATATAAAAACTCCTGGAGACAGAGAAGGAAAAGATTAACAACCCAATAGTAAAAATGGGTGGAGAGGAATAGATAGTACACAGAGTATCCAACATCATCCAAAACAAAATGAATGTAAACTAGAATATTCTAAAATTCAATTTCTTGACTATCACATTGCCAAGATATATAAAAAAAAAAACAAAACAAAACCGTAATCACCCACTCTGGCCCAGGCCATGAGGAATGACTATGCTGTTCCCCTATCTGCATGGGTGGATGCCTGCAGTCACAAGCAGTGCTCAGCTCTGCGAATGTTAGGAAATACCAGAACTAAGTTTTGCCATGCATATGATATATAGTGTATATGATAAAATTTAATTAGAAATTATCAACAAGGAATAGTAGATAGAATAATTAAGACAAAGCCTTACAAGAGCAAAAGCAGAACAAGCTTTTCTTCTTCACCGACAATCCACTCCTGTTTATTATTTACTGGGGGAAGGAGTGCAAATCCAAAGCAAGCTCCCAGCCAACCAGCAGAGGGAACATTAAAAATGTATGTGGTCCTTAGTGTAGCAACAAAAATCTTTTGAAAAACTGAAGAAGAATCCATCCCAAATATAAGGTCTCTCTTGAAGCATTTGGTAACTGGGTTTGGGGCTGTGACCAGTTTGTGTCATGCTGTTGTGGGGTGTAGCCATCAGATTGTGGACACACTTGCCACTACCTCATATCAACTTGCCTTTTTCCCACGCTTTCCTTTATGCCGAGCATCCTTGCTGCCTTGGTCTGTTGAAGAACCGGCCTGCCTGACATCGGCACCAGAAGCTTCCTTCCGTGGCTCAGAGGGGTCTCTTGCTCTCCCGGGGATTTGGAATTCATCTTCTCCTTCTGCTCTGTTCCAATTTGCCTGGAGCATAAAGGACTAGGTTTACCTCAGCTGACCTGTGCAGGACATTCCTCCAGGTACACCTCGCCATGTGCTCATAACACACACGTTCAAATAACAGTGTCTGACTACATAGATAACAACTGTTGCTATGTTTTCCTTTGTGTGTATGCGTGTGTGTATATATGTACTCATGTATACTTATCCATGTGTGTATCCATGGGTATCCATGCCATGAAGCACATGTGACAGTCTCAGGACAGTCTTTGGTACCAGCCCTCATCTTCAAACCACTGTTGTTTTGAGAGGGTCTCTTGAATGCTATTTGGCCAGGACCATCTTGGATTCCTGGAGATCTTGTGGCCTCTACCCTGCTACCTTGACAGGGCTGTGTTGGGATTACAGACACTAGTGCTACTGTATGCAGCTTTTAGCAGGTTCTAGGATCCACTCTCCCTCCTTGTAGGGCAGGTGCTTTGCCCTCTGAGTCATCATAGTCCCAGACCTTGTTTTCTTCTATCTAAACTTCTGCTTCACTTCCTTACCAAACCTTAAAACTCTCCAGTTCTTTGAGTTATGCAATGTGGCTGACAGTGAAGTTCAAAAGAAAAGACATAAAAGAAAACCATTAGCAGTTGTTCATGTAGGTTACCTTTAGATTGATATTGCTATGTAGTGATATCTGTCTCTGCACCTGTAGCATTGACCACACCCAAAAGGGTGTGGTCACAGGTGTGGACCTGACTGGTTAAAAGGAAAAAGGAAGGGGCTGAGAAGCCCTTTCTTCAGGTCACGGAGAGCATCCAGGTGGCAGGGTCGGCATCACTGGAGCAGGACCCCAAGACAGTCACTTGTTTTGTGTCTTTCCCTAAATAAACTCCATCATAATTATATTTGTCTAGTGAATCCTGACCTCCACACATCCATCTGGTGTCCATGTGGGAATTCTCGATGGACCAGCCAAGGGGCAACTTCTGACTTATGGTACCAGTATGTACTATTGGTAAAAAATTTTATACTAAATTTATATCTCCTTACTTCCCAGTACAGTTGTAGTCCCAATCACATAAAAATCAAAGCTGGCTGAATAAAATTCAGTTTCCGCCTCATATCAAAAGGCCACTATTGTCTTAACTATGTTTTCTCTCAAAAATCCTATTCCCTCACATGTATTTTCATCCTTATTGTTACCTTTCCCTGTAGGCTTACCTACTAAAGTTAAACTTTTTGTGCTGATACTAATGTTTAAGTCTTCCACAATGAAATTTTTTTTCCTAACAATAATATTTAAACTCTCCGGAAAGAAGATGGGGCCCCACTTCATCAATTCCACTTGACTTAACTTGATGTCTTTGAACTAGCAAACACCGCCTAAGGCCAGTTTGGGACTATACTGCTCTAGACAATTCCAAACCAGCTAGCTGAAGCATGCACCTTATTGCACCCTGGCCAGAGCTTCTGATTACAACTTCAGTCAAGCAACTCCTGCCAGGCAGACACTAGTTACAAATGTTACAGCTAGTCCTCTCCAGACTTTCTATTGCTTGCTTGCTTTATTTATTTATTTATTTATTTATTTTTCCTTACAGGAATCAGGGATCCCATTTCAGCAGGAAGTAACTCCAAGAAAAGCAATGCCCCTTTTTTGTTTTGTTTGTTTTTCTCTTATTGATGAAAAAAAAATAATTATCACCTGATTAGGATTGGCTTTAAGCTGTGTATGGAAGGTGATGCTCAGATTTGGGTATCTCTTTTAGATAAGTTTAAGGGCATGTATGGGAAGGGTATGGTTAGGATGGGATATAGGTAGATAAACATAGCTTATTGTGAACTAATTTTAGCAACTATAGCTATCAATAACTAAAACTGTTAGATTCTTGTATGTTGGTCCTTTCTGTTTATGATGTTTCGCACACAAATATAAAACTATCTTGATGTATATACATTTTGTATATTGATATAACTCAGGATATTTTATCATATTGCACTTTACAGTTCTAGCTCTAGTCAAGACATTTCAGTTCTACCTCTGTTATTGAGAATTATAAATATGTTTATAGTTACATGTTTTTAAAAGTCATTGTCCTTGCTAAATTATTTTGGAAAGTTTCAGTTATTGAGCAACTATGTTTCAAAATGATAGTTACCCATCTTTCTTATACCTATGAGGTAAGTCAGACATAGATATTTGATCTTCAAACACTTCAAAGATCTACAGAACAACAGACATGAGACACAATTGCTACTGACATCACTGAGCTATTCCAGAGAAAATGTTGGGCACTGATGTCACTCCTTCTGGAGTCCATTCTCTCCTTGGCTACTGGCCTTTTGGGTAAAGAACTGCCCCCTTGACCACTGACTTTGGACGTATTGTCCTCCTGTGCTTTCAGGAGATATACATATAGACTGCTGAACTCTGCCAAGTCAGGGTAAGACAGTCTTTTAACCTCCCTGCATCTGTGTTGGTCAGTTAGATACTCTAGATCTTAGCCAAAGCTGGCTGCCCCTAAGCTGCTGTGAGACTTTGGATGACTGTCCAGGTAGCCTGCTGTTTCTTTTGTACCTTTTGAAGACACTCACTTGCACTTCCTGCCTACCCTAGTATTGTTATCTTCCTTCTCAGGTCTTTGATGAGGTTGAATTTAGACTGTCACAATTATTGTCCTCTCTTCCTAGATAGAAATATTAGATACAAGACTTAAACTTTCCAGTGTAGGACAACTTTGTAGTAATCTCTGTTGTGCCTTTACCCTAGGACTGGATATGTAGTTCTTGACAATTGCTCTACGGTGTTTTACTGGTAGTAGGTCTTAAATTGTGTATATTTTTACCTTTCCTTCTCCTAGAGCATACTTGATATTTGCTATCACTGTATATAGTTTTATGTCAAGCCAAAATCTTCTTCTTTAGACTAAAAGAGGAATTGTAGTGATATCCATCTCTGTGCCTGTGGCACTGAACATGCCCAAAGAGTGTGGTCACAGGTGCGGACATGACTGGTTAAAAGGAAAAGGAAGAGGCTAAGATGCCCCTTCTTCAGAACACAGAGAGCATCTGGGTGGCAGAGTTGGCATGACTGGAGCAGGACCCCATGACAGTCACTTGTTTTGTTTAAGTTCTTTCCCTGAATAAACTCCACCTTAATTATACTGGTCTAGTGAATCCTGATCTCCATACATCACTGCTACTTTTGGATTTAATTAATGCAATAATAAATCTGAGGAGATATAGCAAGATGAGAATGAGTTCAAAGGCTAGGAATGAACAAAGCTCATTTATAACTGCATTATATTGTTGGAAGGGGCCAAGACTCTGCATTTAATGCCACAGGCATTGCAGTCTGCCGAATGAGCCAAATGTTTACATGTAAAAATCAGAACCAATACTTCTAGTTTACAACTGACATTCTGCAAAATCACAAAAACTAAAAATAAAATAGAGCCAAAGAATAAAATTAAATAGAGCAGTATCCTACAACCCTGGAGTCTACTTAGTTTTTTTCCCTAAATCCAGGCAGGGAAGGTCCACAGAAGTGAGGGAAAAAGTGTCCTATACTAGGTCTGTGAGCACCTACAAGTTATTGCAGAGAGCATGGTGGTTCTCGTGGGATTTAAAATGACCATGGAAAACTATCTCTAGGCACATCTGTGAGACATTATTGATCTATGTTAACTGAGGCAGGAAGACTTACTCTAAATGTTGGCAGCACCATCTTATGAGCTGGGGTCCTGACTAATAAAAGGACAGGGGTCTGAGCACCAGGACTCATCTCTCTCTGTTTCCTAACTAACAGGACCGGCTGCCTCCTGCTCCTGCTCCCAAGCACAGCCCTGTGATAGGTTACATCCTTCAAGTGTGAGCCAAAACAAACCTTCCCTTCTTTAAGTCCCTTCTGTCAGGTGCTTTGTTGCAGCAACAAGTAACTAATACAGAAAGTAAGCAGTAAAACTGGGATGTGGCCGGAATCACTCAAACAGGTTCCAACCTTCACAAATGCCTTCCTATGGACACACAGGCAGTGCTGTACTACACAGAGGCTATGTGCTATGGCGACACTGACTAAGTTCACACACACACACACACACACACACACACACACACCTACACAACTATATCTTTACATTCTCCTGGTCCTGTTCATGGCACTCTGACATTAACATACTTTAACTGGTTAATAAAAGAACCCAAATACCTGATTACTGAAGGAAAACAAAAGAGTACACTGTCATGCTGTCAACTGAATTTAGCTGCAAGTTAACTATCAATACTCAATTAAAAAAAGAAACTTCACCATACTTATTTAACTCAAGCCCTTGGCTGACAAACACACAGACAGAGCAAACACACTAAATAAGGAGGGTGATTTTTACAGTTTGCATATGAGGTGTCCCCTAAAAGGCTCCAGTGCTAAGACTAAAGGCTTTGTCTCCAGGGACGGACCTTGTCACTCAATAGGGATTGGCTTGTGAGGGCGCTGATTTGAGTCAATAGAGTAATGTACTGACAGACTATAGAGATCTGGTAGGAACTGGAAGGTAGGCCTAACTCCAGGAAGAGGACCTCTAGGGGATGTGCATTTAAAGGATGAATCAGTCCCTGGCTTCTTCCTCGGTCTGTCTGTGTGTGTGTCTGTCTGTCTCTGCTTCATGGCTGACATGAGGTGAGCGGTGTTCCTTTGCCATGCCCTCCTGTCATGTCTGTGCCTTGTCACAGATCAAAAAGTATGGTTCCAGTAGCCATGGACTAAAACCCCTTGAAAGCATGAACTGAATAAATGTTTCCTCCTCTGGGGACCAAAAACATAACATGCACAATGATCATATCACTTTTTATTTGGCCTTCATTCACCATGAGAATAAAAAACATTGTGTCCACCAAAATCTCTCTTGAAATACCACACATACACTTAACATGTCCAATCTACTAATGTAGAACTATCCTCAGAATTTCACATCTTATGCCATCCTCATTGTAAACAGTAGTAAAATAGGCACCATTCACTGGGCATGATCACTGCTAGCTGTCAATGAGAGCTTCAGTTCCCACCACTGCTCAGGGAGGTGGACATTATCCCTGACCCTGTGTTACAGTGAGAAAACTACAGGCAGAGCAGGTTGGTAACAGCTGAGGCTAACAGCTACCATACAGTGAATTTAACTCCAGCACCTATTATCTGAACAATCAACGGCAGATTGTTCTCATCTCTATGTCATAAAAAAGAAGAAGAGGAGGAAGAGAAATAGGAAGAGGAGGAGGAAGAGAAAGAGGAAGAGGAGGAGGAGGAAGAGAAAGAGGAAGAGGAGGAGGAGGAAGAGAAAGAGCAAGAGGAGGAGGAAGAGGAGAAGGAGAAGGAAGAGGAAGAGGAGGAGGAAGAAAGCCTCTACAAAGCTTGTTAGAGGTCTTTGAAAGTACATCTTTGGTGCTCAAGTTAAAGTCAGTTTACCTAGGAATCTGGGTTACCTGTAGCCGAAGGTCAGACATCTGCCTCAACAGATCCTCAAACAGCTCCCTGTCATCTTCTGGGAGCTCAGATGACAGAACTACCCCTACAAAGCACCCCGCGGCTTGTAACATGGTGTCTGGAAACATGTAGGCTCCCACTGTGCACTTCAGAACTGGTGATCTATCAGGAACCAGAGGGTACAACCAGTCACACACCTGAAAGAATGAAGACAAAATCTCCATCAGTGAATGGGTCTCCAACAGAGTAAGTATTACAGTAAAAGCAAATCTGTCAGAGTTTGATGCATGCCATGGTTTTATAGACCCACCATCAGCAACCCCAACTTAAATAAACCTCTACCTTGACCTTCCTGCATTAAAAATGACTGCAAATGCTCCACTAACATAGTCTTACAGTTGGTGGCCTTAAGGGCTCCTGAATTTGACTAAAGATAATGATGGTAGCTTTAGATAAAAGGTGGTTAGTGTAAACCAAGGGCTGATTATTCTAACTAGATCCCTTTAAAGCACAAAATTATTTTCTAATACAGTATTTGATGATACCCATTTAATCCTCACAGCATTCTATCAAACTAGCTAGTCCCTTTCACTGTTAACTGATAAATAAAATAAAAACACTGTACATTCTAACAGGGTAACCAATAACGCTCTGATGCAGTTAAACATATTACACCCTCAGAAACCCAGCAGGTCTTCATAGTGAAAACTTAAATCTCTTCTCAAAGCGCAGCTGGTCATTCCTTACTTAGTACCCTTTCCTCTCACCCCATCTACTCTCCACATACCATGGCTTCTAGTAACCATCACTCCACTCTCAGCCTTTAGATCATGTGGTACTTGACCCACTGTGTCTGACTATTTTCACTTAACAGAATGACCTCCGATGGCATTTGTGGTGCATGGTACCTTGCCTATGCACATTGTGCATTCTCTTCATCCCCATGAACGATTAGGTCATTTCCACTGTGAAAATGGTGTGTCACAGTCCTTTTATGACAAAAGCTGAGGCACAGCCAGGCCACTCAGGTTCTCAGCACTGACCACTAGAAAGTACAGCTTGCACCTGAGAATGTACTTTGTTTCAGAAACACGGAGTTATTACTTAGGTTTTGCTTTGCCCAGGGAGCCTGATGTTTCAGACACAGAGTAGAACATTGTATGTCAGGAGATTGTGACATTAAAGCCAAATGACAACTGCATTACCACCTGGGGAAGTCAATTTGTCCTAACACACAAACTTAAGCTCATATTATCCTGGCTATCCAAAGGGAATTCCTAAATGTATTCCTTTCTCCTGTATTACATTCTCTAGCAACTGAAGTATAGCTGCCCCATCCTTACACCACCATCCACCATGAAGAAACCCAAGGGACTGACCAATCTACTGAAACAAAGGGAACTGAACACATCGCCCCCTTCTGTTCAGCAGAGGGAGATAATGTGCACAGACCACACTGCTCAAGGCTGACTCCTAGAAAAGGATTTTCAAAATCTGTTTTTAAAATGGATTTTCTTCTCTGTTTCAAAAGCCATCAATTTAGTACAGTAAAATTCATGTAGATTAGAACAAAGCTAACTGCAATATTTTCCAAAGTATGAAGTGATGCCAGGGAACTCAGAAACCTTAAAAAAAAAAGTGGTTTCTTATTAATATGTATTAGAAAAAATCTGCTTATTGAAAATAACCTTACTCTCATGTCCTAAATATATTAATAATATTTTTAGAGCTCAGGAGATTTTTTACCTAATTTATAATAGACAGATATGTTACTACCTGTGTGTTTGTTTTAGGATAAATACATTCAGTAGACACTCCAGAAAACTGCTACAAATAGCTAATATGTGAATGATAGCTGATTCATTAAAAGTGGGGTGTACCTCTACTTTTATTTAGTACCCAAACACGAGGTATGTAAACTGTTAACCAAATTAAATCAAATGAGAGGGGACAAACTGCTGGTGGAGTCAGAGCATCTTCCCATCTGAGATCCAGCAGCCAAGGGCCATCTTTCTGATGCTCTCTTCCTGTACCTCCTGAGCCAAAGACCTAGAGAGCTCTTAGGTCTAGCGACTATGCAACACTGTTACCAGACCAGCAGAAACTGTCTGTAGCCCTTCCCCTAAATGCAGTCCTGAGCCTGCTCTTTTTTAACCCCAGGGCTTCCTCCTTGAGAAAACTGAGTCATTTCTTCTTGTCCAGTAATCAGTCCTTCAACTGTGCCCCAAGAATTTGTTTTCACATCTGATTAGCTTCCAACTCTTGTTAAATGACTTTTAATCTGACTTCCGTAAGAACAAAGGCAAAGCAGTATGAGGACTGTAGATAGCCAGTGCCTAGCTAAATTTCCTTATCTGACTCTGGCTGGACACAAGCAACAGCTTTGTTTAAACAGTGACCTCTCTTCCACACAAACCTACTGAGTGTACACTGTGCCCCCGTTTTCAAGAGCCCATCTCCTGGCACCGCCATGCAACCTTCTCAGGCAGATTGTTGCTGGACTGAACCGGAGCAGACCTCACCAGGGCCCGAGCAATGCCCTGACACACATGTTGATTCACTTTTGAACCATTCTGGTCCCCCTACTTGCAGCTTAGCCCTCGAGGCCAGGGCTTCTTAGCCTCCACCTGACTGAGGTTTAGGGATGGATAACTTTCTCCTGATGGGCTGTACTGTGTGGTCATTGATTGCTCATTTCATTGATTGCTCTAATACACCAGGTAACCACCACCCTTCAGCTGTAATGAAAACACTTTCAGATACTGTCAAAAATGGTCCCTCAAGGGGCAAACACTGCCCCTGGCTGAGTGGTTTTAGGCCAGGTCACACCCCCAGGCGGGTCTTGATATTTACAGGTACATAGTCTCCTCATGATTCTCTTAAATTCCTTTTGAAATTCAAGTAACAGCATGTCTTCTTCAGATTAAAAAAAAAAAAAATAGCTCTATTAGGTCCTAAAATCAATCACAAATAAAACCCAAACCAGACTTTCTAACATTAAAAACAGAAGAAAACCCAGCCAACACAATCATGGATGTGTTCAGAACTCAGTAGAACCTTGTTTCCGTCTGCTCTTATCCTGTGTGTTACAAACATCAACAAAAGTAAACGAGACATTCTTCATTTCTTGGCTTACGCTCGACCTTTGCTTCAAAAAGCTTACCTGGAGAAACCCAGGAGGGCGGTTCAGAACCGTATCCAGAGAATTATCCAGGAACCTCACGATGCGCAGGTACCCCGGGTATGACGGAGCGCTAACCTCTCCCGCAGGGTTTACAAAAAAGATCTGCACTCCGCTTGGTATCAAAATCAGCTCATCTGCATCAAGCCCCAAGGTCTCGAGAGGGGGCGGCTGGGAACGGCTCCTGTAGAAGTCTTCTCCCACGGAGGAAAACTCCCCAGAGTCTGTCCCATAGGAAACAGTGTAGTGACCCTCGGCAGCTTGGGGCGTGTAGGCTGGGGGTGCTTCGGCAGGATAGCTGGGCGAAGGTAAGGGCCCAGCAGAGGGTGCAGCACCGGGCGCAGCACCTGTGGCACCTGCAACAGAGATACTCCCATCTACTTCAGCATGCTGGGGCGCTGAACTAACCGAATCTGGCTCTGGGGACGTCTTGCATGTGTCCTTAGGAGGGAACTCTGGGTATAACTTGGGCACATCCTGAAGATCATTCCGCAGAGATGTGGCAAGGCCCTTCTCTAGAATCTCTAGCCTGGTGCGGACGTTCTGAAGTGTTTCCCTCATTTTCTGTTGCATCTGTCTGGCTGATTCCCACGCAGGGCCTGTGCACCCTGGCTCCGCTGCCGTGATACTGATGCCCCTAAGCAGGTGTCCTATTCCCTGCTTGTAGTAGTTCTTTGCTTCCTCCTTTTGCCCCAACTCATCCGTGTTCAGTCCTTTATTAACAAACAAAAAGGCCTTCTCGTATGCTTCCTTGATGATCTTAATCTCAGCGGGCTCTCCATTTTCTGAATCTCGCTCCATCTCTGCAAGACAAGAAACATCACCAGCCATTACCCAGTAAAGTGTTTTGTGTGCTTAGCCTTCTTTCCTACACAAATATATTTCAAGGTCAGGGTCTGCCTCACTGATCTTTGTCCTGCTCCCAGTCCTTCAGAGAGAGCATTCAGTAAGAACTTCAGAGTTGGTAAATGAATGTGGGTCAGAGTTCAGCTCCAGGGGGCCTCTTCTGAAGACACTAACCCCAGGGCAGGGGAGGTGGGTTCCTGGGGCTCACTGGCAGGCTAGTTGTCTACTTGGTCAGCAAAAGATCCTATCTCAAACAAAGTAAGAAACAAAGTGATGGCTCCTGAGGAACACCACCACCTACAGCTGACCTCTAAGGGGGGAAAAAAAATCTATAACACAAAAGATATGCATGTGGCCAAAATGACACCCCCCCTCAAAAAAAATGAGCTTTTAGAAATCACACATAAAATAGCTGGAAGGTAAACTCAGTGAAGAGAGAAAGAGTCTATAAAGTTAAGAGAAAATGCCCAGAATGGAAAGCAATGAAATAAAAGAATGAATGAACAACAGGAAATGAAAATAAAACTAGGACTTTGTCCAGAAGGCCCCATGTGGATGCCAAAATGCTCTGAAATGTGTAATAGAGAAAATGACGTATGGAAGAGAGCGGATAAATCCAAAAGAGGAAGCACAGGTTCCTGGGTTTGAACAGAGCTGACAGAGCTGGAAAGCAGGTTCGGGGGACCTTAAAGCATGGGGTGAGAGGCAGACCTGGGGACAGTTATTGCACACTGGGAGTGGAATCCCAGGGCTGAAGATGGGATTCCTAGAGTGGTTCCAGAGTGACATCCAGACGGGAAGACACTTCAGTAAGCACCCAGGAAATAAAAACTGACAATGTCTGCTGTGTTTCTAGGTTTTAGGAATGATTTATACAACCCTGGAAGAATTCAGGATTTAATTAGTAAAATTGAAAAAAATCACAGCAATAAAAAATCAAGATAATTAGTAATTCCAAATAGAACATGCCAAAGAAAAACCATGAAGTACTCAGGTCGTATTCTGTTTTGCTTGGTGTCATAACACTGAAAATAGTGGATCTTGGTGCTAACAAAATGATACAGTAAACCGGGCTGAGAGAACAGGAAGATGCGTGGATGGAAAGTCTGTGTGACAGGATGAAGGAGCCAAAACCTCTTTAGTGGGGCTTTAATTGTAATGACCAGGATTAAAAAACAAAAGGTAGTGATGTTATTATACTGCTGAGAGATACGGACACACCAAGAATTGGGTCAGAAAACCAATCCCAGCTACCTTTGGAAGGAGAGAGGCTGGCTTACAAAGATATTTAATTCTTTATGTACATGGTGAAAGGTGAGTTACTTACTTTACAAAATAAGTACAAGCCTTGCAGCAGCCCTTGTCCAGAAGGATTACAAAATTAATTTTTGTTTTCCAGGAACCACTAACAAAGTAAAAGAAAACAGGTGAAGTTTCAATGATAGCTTTTATTTTCCTAATATAACCAAAGTATTATTCTGACATGTATAAAAATGATTTATGGAGTATTCTACTTTTCTTTGTGTTATATCTTCCAAAGACAGCCTATGCCATACATCAAAGTGTATGTCAAGTCCAACATACTTCACAGCAAACGTTCAACACCCACATTTGCCTGTGCTGGGCACTGTGCACTCCTTACAGCTTCTCAGGCCAGAAAAAGAAAAAAAAAAAAAAAATCAAGGGACATAAGAGTATCTCCATAGCTGTCTACACAATGAAGTTGCCACAGACTTTAATAGTCAGACTTCTCAGAACTGAAAAACGGACAGGCCTATAGCCGGCCCAATCACAGCAACTTCATGTAGTGGAACTCAGTTCCCAATTCAGGAAATATCACACACCAGTGGCCATATACAAAGTGATAATGCCCCATCCCTGTATCACTACTGAAATTAAGCCCACACTCTCCCTGTAACTATACCCTGCTATGACATCATAATGTCACTGGGTTCCATAGATCCCAACCACTTTCTCCTCCCAAGAGCCACACAACAAATGTTCCACAGTTCGTTTTTCTTGGGACACAAGGAGGCATGGACTCAGACGTGTACAACCTTCTAAAAGCATCATCTGCGTTGTGCTGGCCTGCATTCATGGCTGTCTATTCTGGGCTGGGTGTGGTCTCAGGGCAGCAGGCTGGGCTCATGTGCTTACAATATAACAACAGTGAACCAAGCAATGTCCAGGCATATTCCTGAGAAAAATGTTTACTGTATGTCTTGAAAAGATTGAAAAGTTGTTAGTGACTTCATATGCTTTAATCCGCATAGTTTGGAAAGTCAATCTCAAATATTAAACAGTGCATTATTAACTTGATATTCAAATTATCAAATCATGAACCAATACCTGCTTCTAGATAACAATGGTGGACTTTTAAACATTTCTCTTTTCTTATCGTTGTGTGAACAAATCTCCATGTGAAATGTTGGCAGACATGTGCCCCAGGGCCGAGGGAAGTCAGAGTGTCTTGGCCGTTCACTTTGTCTAAGACCGGTTTTTGTTTTTGGTTTGATTTGGTTTTCCTTGCTCCATAGACAAGGCTAGCTTCTGGGGGAGTCTCTTGTCTCTGCCCTCCATCTCCTAGCAGGAGGGCTAAGATTACAGTTTTACACCGTTTTGGGGGGATCTAAACTCAGGTCCTCGAGCATAGGTCTTTAAACTTAGCCATCTCTTCAGCTTGTTTAAACATTCTAATAAAAATTTAAGAGGCACCTACTTGAGACATAGCCGTGTAAGTGTGTGTGTGTGTGTGTGTTTCACTTTGTACTAGCAGAGGTAAAATTCTGTTTCAAAAGACTTGGAAACTGGGTTCCATTCCATGACAGAAAAGGTAGCAAACAATGGTGCTCAATAGAAACAGCAACAGAAGTTCTAATGCCAGCATGCCTGGTCTGTTACAAAAACGGGAGAATGGAAAGGATTTGTTATTTAAAGTAAACACTGACAAATTACATATAGACATTTATAGGGCACGTGATAGTGCAGTCTGACTTTTGAACTATACTGATCTTTTAAAGATTTGTTTTTATTATTTTTAATTATGCACATGTGGGGAAGGGCAGGTATGTGCTCCTGAGTGTAGATACCCAGTGGCATTGGATCCCCTGAAGCTGGAAAGAGGCACACAGATATGGGCTCTGGGAACTGAACTTGGGTCCTCTGTTACATTATTCTGGTTTCTTAAAAAATGAAATATGGAATGACGAAACAAAGCTAACTTACTCATCACCCCAGATATGTGACATTTTAAAAAATAAAAACAGTTGAGACTCGGTGTATAATATTCCATGATTAGCTACAGTCAGCAGTCTGTACTACGATCCCAATAAGGAACATGGGGGACCGATACACGGGGTGGGTTTCTATTCGACTCCTGTATTATCCTAGCCAATTCTGGCTTGCTAGAGGACTGTTTTTTTTTTTTTCAGAAAGCACCACGCATGGGTAGCAAACCACATTCCACATTAGTACAGAAGTTTCCTGTTTCAAACAAGTCCTCCACAGCCATCAATTACGACGTCAGGGCACGAACCAAGAGCAGTTCCCCAGGAACTAGGAGCACTCTTCTACTGACCTATTATTATTCGCCTAATTGCTTCTGTAATTTTAACACAGTTGCTAACTTCTTAGATAACCGAAGGTCATTTTATCAAAACAAAGAAAAAAAGTTATCTTAAAAAAAAAAAAAAACTAGAAGACAAAATCGTTAAGTGTGTAACACAATAAAGCAAACCTCGAGGATCATCAAGAAACAACACAACCATGGGAGTAACGGAGCCAGCCATACACTAACGCAATGTTGCAGCGTCACAAAACCGTGCGCATTCCCAGAGAAAACTTTTTCCAGATATGAAGTTAGGCCGCAGGAGACGCTGGATGCCAGCAACCAGTGTATTACAATGAGCAAAACCCCCAGTGATGCGGCTTCTGGAGCCAGCTGCCCACCCATGGGCAAGCTGTAGGCCCTGGGGAGCGAAAAAAGCTAATGGGGTTTGGAAAGAGAACCGTGGAGGACGAACCCTAGGGATGAGTAGGGATCAGGGATGGGAGGACTCAGGTTAAGAATTCGGAGGGACCAGTTGTGGAAGGACTCACACTGGGACCAAAGCTGGGCATACCCGCACCGGGATGCGCGGCGTCCTGGGGCGGGAGGATCTAGGACCTGAGCGCCACTCCCGGGGCAGCCCTGTGGAGGATGCAGGGAGAGCGAAGGCTCCTTCAGTACTAGCTGGAATACCCTCTGCAGGACTGCTGGAAACTTCTGCGGCAGACGAGCTCCCTGCAAGATGCCGGCGTGGCGCGGGCCGCAGCCCCCCCACAGCCCGCGGCGTATCCCGGGTTAGTCCTGGCTCACAAAGCCCCGAATGACGCCCTCTGAGTCCGGGCCCGCCCACGCGTCACCACACCCGCGCCGAGCTGAGCTTTGGCCCACTCTGACCTTCCAGAAGGCGCACCGGAGGCCAGCGGTCCGCTACGAACCCGGGAGCCCACTGAGAGGGCGTCGCACACCGCCGTCACCCTCCCGCTCCAGCCAGGGCCCGGCCACGTCGGACCGCGCCTGCGCACTCCGTACCGGCCGCCCTGGGGCCGCTGAGGGGACCCGCAGAGCCACGGGCGATGACAGTCTCTGACCGCCAGGGGGAGCCCTGGGTCGAGCACTAAGGACCTGAAAAACTAATGTTGACTGGACCCTGGGACCCTACCTGACCTGTCATCCAAAGTGTTAAATCTGTTGTGACACAAGAAAAAAAAAAAAAAAAAAAAAAAAAAAAAAAACTAGGCCTGGGAATGAAGAGGTGGCTCAGCAGCGAAGAAGAGGTCGTTATTTCTTACTTGGATCTACAATGCATAATTTATAAAAGCAACGATTAAAAGTGAATAAACGGTTTATATTTCTTCAGACAAGCTATACAGACCACTAGAAAGAGCATCGAAAGATGGTCAATACCATAAGTTTTCAGGCTTACATCAGAATGAGGTGTGACTTCTGTCTCCTCAGACTGAATGTAATTAAAACATAGGCAGTAACAGGATTGGCAAGATGGATTTCAGAGCCCTTCTGCATTACTGGTGGGAATTTTAAGTAACCAAAAACAGCGCAGCAAGTCTACCCTTAGAATTGTGCAGACAAGTACTCATTTGCCTTGATTCCAATAATTAAATGGATAGTATAAAATTCCTTTCACTCTCTTGACATCACCTGTCATAGAGTCTCAGTGGGGGATGGTCTGTGTTACGTCAATGTGTATATGTGGGGTCTTAGGTTAACTGATGTGGGATGACACATCCCACTGTGGGCAGCTCCATTCCCTAGGCAGGGAGTCCTGAAAGAGTGGAGAAATTGTGCTGAGCTCAAGCAAGAGGCCAAGCGAGCATGCTTGTATGTATGCATTCATTCATTCCTCTCTGCTCTTGATTGTGGATGGAGTATGTCTATATGTTTGAAGTTTCTGCTCACTTCTTCACATCAGCAAACCTGTAACCTGGAATGGTGAGCTAAACCAAACCCCTTTCCCCCACAAGTTGCTTTTTTGTTGAAATATTTTCTCACAGCAACAAATGAAACTAGGACACACCCCTATTTATTTTATTTAAATTAATCAGACAGATTTTATAACAGCATCCTGCCTCAATTCTTTGAACTGCTTCCAAATTATATGCTCCAAATCACTTTACAATGTCATATCCACACTGTGTTAATGCAATAAATCCATTTCTTCAGGCAATAAAAAAAATTGAATCACTTGACTGCAAAACTATTTGCTGCCAACTAATTATATTTATTCACTCAGTTTCTAGGAACTACTTCAAAATGGCTTTACAAAGATTGACAGTTTGGAGTGTTTGTAACCTGGTATTTCAGAATGCCATGTTCAAATTAATGTCTTCATCCTCTAGAGGAGGAAGCACCCTACACATTTGCAGCCATGCTCTTAACACCCTCCCTTCAGCAACTGGTAGAAGAGGTAGGAGAGATGCTGGGACCCTTCCTCTTTGGGGAGGATAGCTCACCAAATGCTGGCCATGGAGCCTTTTTAGGCTGAAACAGTCTGGGTGGTTTCCATCTCAGTGACTTGGCATGAGAGAAGGAGATGGCAGAATGAAGGAGAGGCAGAGAGAAGAAGGGAGAGAAGACTGGATTCAAATTTCAAAAACCTCTGCTGTACTTATTAAGTCTTAGATTTTTTTTTAAGAGGGATGTTTCTTCATTCACTGCATGCTCTTAAGAAATTTGTAGAGACTTAAATTATACACACACACACACACACACACACACACACACACACACACACATACTTTTTTTCCTCTGGGAGTCTACAGAGCAGCAAAAAGAATGGCTTCAATGAAAAATGTGTAGTAAATCCAAAATTGGTATAAAAATTTCATCAGAGGCTTTATCTTAATCAACTTTGATCAATGTGATTGCACCAACAATATCACCTTTCTATTTTAAACTCTCAGCATGATACATATTACTTGTCTACCCATGAGGGTTCTTACTATGCATGGCTCCTGCTAAGCCAGCTCCAGATATGAACTCTGTGGTCATATGTATTTTGGTAAAATTCAGGGGCTCTTCCCAGTTAAAACCACTGACTTCGAATCTGAGCTTTCTTTTGTCCTCAATGTCAAAAAGGCTGTGGGTATTCGGGGATCTGGACAAGAACTTAAGTTCTAGGTGAATATGATCAGTCTTTGTTTTTTGAGATAAATTTGTGCTCACTATGGCTTCTGTGTATGACTATGCTATTGCTTGCCATAGTGGTGAAATACTGACTTCCAGGACTATCCTCACTGCCAACTGCAGGCTCAATTGACCTGTGTGAGCTTGTGTACAGACACTGTCCACAGGCCACATCACTTTCATAATTGCATCTTGCGAGTCAAGTACCTCTCATCCAAAATGCAAAAGAGCAGAAATACCTCAGGCTTCACATATTTTAAAATTCAGAATATTTGTACAGATACAGTGAAGTATTATGGAGATGAAGAGACCTACATTTAAATAAAATTTATCTATGTTTAAGTATAACTTATACACATAGGCTGAAGGTAATTTTATGCAGTTTTAGTGAGTTTACATCCTGTCACTTAACAAATTAAATCAAATGAAGAAGTTTACCCTTTGCACCATGGTACGAAATGCTTTCCAATCCTGGACCTTTCCAGTCCCTAGATTAGGGATGACTAACCTGTACAATGTTCAGCAACATGTGAGTGGAACAGAGGCAAGAATGAACTTCACAGGACCAAAAAGCAGTCTAAGGAGAATTAGTTCAATTGGTAGACTCAGAAAAATATAATTAAAGGCATTGCTTTTTTTCATCAACACCTTGTCAAACTCTCTGTTAGTGGTCTTCAAATTTTGTGAGGAGATGGCTCAGTGGCTAAGGGCATGTTCTGAACAAACATGAAGACATGGGTTTGAATTCCCAGCATATAATAGGCTAATAATGGCCATGCCACAGCAATGTGACCACATGAATAACAGGAGGATTGCATGGACTTGCTGGGACTATCTCACTCCAGACTCAGTGAGAAACCCTGTCTCAATAATGTTGAAGAATCATAGAATAGGGCACCAAGTGTCCTCCAGTCTCTGCAATTCGCATGCCACCCCCACACTGATAATAGTTCAGAATTAGCAATATTAAATTATGAAGCTAAAATAGATTTGCCTAAATTCTGTAAATAGTCTTGACAACACTAAAGGAGATGAATTTTACCTATTCATTTACTCTCTCTGGAAACCTTACAAAGGTTCCTAATGAGGGTTACAAAAAGGAAGGTTGTTTAGATCAATTAAATTCAATAGTGTTCATTTGAGCAAAACAAGCTGCTGTGGGAAGCAGAGCTATAGCAGTCTCTGGGAAATCCAACATGATCGGAAGGCACCTACAGAAAAAAACGAAAGGCAGTTTAGAGCTATGTAATGAGTTCCGCTCAGTCAACCAGTCAATTGGTTACAGTTTAACTAGTCAGTTACAACTCAATTAGTTAATAAGTTACAGGCCTTTTGCAACCCAGCAAGACCAACTTTCTAAAAAACTAAATTTGGATCAATACTGTTTTCCCAAACCAAGCAGAGGTGTCTGGCTGTTTTATTTCATCCTTCTGGGGCTAGAAAGACAGCAGTGCCTAAGAGCAGAAGACCTAGGTTCAGTTTCCAACTCCCTCATGGTAGCTCAACCAATCTCTAACTCCTGTTCCAGGGGATCCGTCACCCTCTTCTGGCCATGGGTACTGCACATATGGGGTACATGTACATATATTCAGGCAAAAACAAAACAAAACAAAAAAACATACACATGAAGTAAAAATAAGCACCTTTTTAATGTAATTTCTCATGGACCAATCAGATGACTACCCCCTGACAAAACAGATAAAAGCCCTAAAGGTTTTTATAGTGGGTTCCAGACCCCAGCAAGGGCCTGCCAGAGCCAGATTTCTACCCCTTTCAGACCTGTAACTCTGCTGGAATTTGTTCTGCACTAACCACCATGCACACAGCACAAATGGTTTGCATGCATCATCCTTGAATCCCTATCCAAACACTGTGCAATGAAATTTGTTGACAGGAAATGTGGTCAAGGTCTTGTAGCTAGTATGAACTACAGTTTAAACTGGAGTTTGTGATTTTAAACCTTGGCCATGCCTGGTGTTCTTTATCCCAAGAGGTGATATATTTTACAAAAACCAGAAAGACCTTCATAAAGAAAGTGATGTTGCCAAGGTAGAGGGGACGGCCTCCTCAGGTAGGCACTAAAAACAAACATATTTAAAAGCATGGACTATCAGAGGAACTTGTATTTGAATCTTTCCATCTTGCTTGAACTTAGATGTCCCATTTACTAACCTCAAAACTTCATTTCCTGATGTGTATAATTTGGATAGCAGTGATCTCTTCAAAGGCCTATGCTCTGGATTAAATATGATAATATATGCAAAGCTCTGACTCTGGGTGGAGGGAACAGATTGCTGAGCAATCTGTGCAAGAGCACAGACCCTGAAGCCCAGCACCCACCCTGAAACTCTGAGTCTGCGGCTGCTAATCTCTGGGACTGTGGGCCAGTTTGCTGTGACCACTTGAACCTCCGTTTTCTTGCTGCTAAAACACAGCAATGATAGCCAAACACTGCTTCCTGTCATTGTGCATGAAGTGCCTATCGGAATGTCTGGCATAGTATATACACAAAGCTGTTTGTTTTGATTTGTTTTGTTTTAACAAATCTCTTTGAGGGGGGTTGAGATAGTTCAGCAGTTGAGAGCACTGGCTGTTCTTGAAGAGAATCTGGGTTCAACTTCTAGCACCCACATGGCAGTTCACAATCATCTGTAACTCCAGTTCTGGACCCTCTTCTGGCCTCTTCTGGCAATGCACACACGTGGTGCCTGAACATACATGCAGACAAAATATCTGTATGCAAAAATTAAAACAAATTACCCCTAAATAAGTGGAAGCCACTTGACACGGTGATCACTTATACAGGTTAAAACTGGTTTCCCACAGTGCTAC